CCCCTAACCCCTAACCCCTAACCCCTAACCCCTAACCCCTAACCCCTAACCCCTAACCCCTAACCCCTAACCCCTAACCCTCGTTCTCGTTCCCGTTCTCGTTCTCGCCATCAAAGGCGACGTCGACGGCAGCCCCTAGAACCTCTCGCAAGACCTGCCGACTACGAGCATCGAAACCGGCTGGTCCTCCTGCGACGTCCTCCTCCTCCTCGGCTGAAGGCAAGACGACTTCGATGAGAACCTCTAGAGGAGGTGTTGTTGATGATTGTGCTGGTCCTTGTTCATTGTCGGTCGGGGTAGACATAGTTGTCCACGAAAGGCTGGTAGTATCCTGGACTGGTTCGTTATGCCGTACCCGACTGCGGTGTCATCTGGACGTCGATGTACTTCGAACCAAACCGTCTATCGGTTCTCCTGATCTGTCGATATGATATGGATAGTGTACTTATGGAATGTAGGGACGACTTTGTAGGGTTGATGAGAGTCGAAAGGTAGGCATGGCACTGTACATCGAGATCATCATCACCCATCGACCTCGAACTTGTAACCATCCGCTTCCGCTCGAGAACTCTCTGGAGACTTTAAAAGGTCAAACACTTGAACATCAAGGGAATGATTCAACTCATCCATCCTCATGACATGGCTCACAGACCTCTCCTCTCTAGCATCTCCTCAAGACCTCATCACTCGATCATACAAGAAACTCAACAACCACAAGACGGCCGGAACCCAGACCAACGCCGTCATCAAGTCCATCCCGCCGGTCGAAGGCGGTGTGGTCGAAGGATGGTTCAGTGCTCCGGCATGGCCTGGATCTTCTCCCGGCTCGTCGCATGAACGGCTAAGGGTCCGAAAATTCGTCCAGATAGGAGTGATAATGGTAGTAGTAACAGTAATCATGATCAGTAAAACAAAGTATCTCCCCAAAACAAAATCGGAGAGAACCCCATCGCACCTACCGCTTCCGTACACGTCAAACGAGTCGATCCGGGTGGTCTCCTCGTCCCCCTGATTGTCCTTGACGAGGATCTACCCCCGAAACATCGCCCAACAGATTCCAGAACCCAGATCAGCTCAAGATCACTCCGGTTACACTGCCCTCTCGTCCCTTCCCTGAGCGAACAGAGAAGGAACAGATCTCGGAAACCTCGAAAAACTCACATGCAAACTATTAACGTTCTGGAACCTGACAAACCTCAGATCGATCCTATTTCCGCCCTTGACGTCCCCCTCGCTCAAAACCAATTCCTGTGTCGGTTCGTGAGAATCCGCATCGGCGAAATCGAACTGCGGCTGGTTGATAAACAGCTGGACCGTCTTGGGCCCCTGGGGTGGGGAGATGCCGGAGAAGAACGAGATGGATTTGATCTTGACCGGTTGATTGAACTGTGAGTCATGCCCCGTCAAAGTATCGTCATCGCAATTGCAATTCCCCCGATGTGCAAACGGCCAACGTCGTCGAACCGAAATCAGTCTCAAGTAAGCCAACTCCCGCCCAACTCCATGAACTCGGACTGACCGGCAAATAGACCAACAACTCCGGATCGCTCTCGCTCTCCAAATAACTACTCCCCTTCTTCCCCGCTCCACTGCCGACGATGCTCTTGATCCCATGATCGGCGCTCTCGTTCAAGCAGGTGAGCTGGGCGGTATGCACTTGCGGGAGTAGCGATTCCTTCGAGCCCGAATCAAGGCATCATTTCAGAATTAGACAAAAGAGTCGGTTGGTTAGCGATACATTCTCCTTTCTTTTACTTTCCGTAGCTCGGCTCAAACTGTGTGAGCGAGCGAGTGAGAGAAAAAGACTCACCACACCAGGTTCCGCCGGAGCCGAAGCCGACGACCCCGCTCCAGCACCAGCTCCGGCCCCGGTCGAGCTCGATCCAGCAGGAGGAGCCGCCCCAGCGTGCGTCTTGATCAGGTTCGCGAGTCCGGCCGGGTTGGCGCCCATCATCTATCGAATTCCCCCAAGCCCAAGTCCAAGCCCAAGATCAAGATCAAGATCAAAATCCAAGTCCGAAGGTTACCAGGTTGCCAGGTTGCCGGACAGTATAGAGGTAGAAATAGGTTATTCTTCCGTCAGCTTTCCCACCATTGGCGTTTATAGATTTCTGTGTTGATCGAGATGAAAAGAAAAAGGAAGCCAGACATGGAACACAATACTGACCTCCCCGACCTTCTGCCCACCCTTGATCACGATGAACGTCGGCATCGCCCGGATCCCATACCTCGCTGCTACGGGTTGAAGTCTGTCCACGTCGACTTTCTACCAACACCAAGCCCACCGGTAAAAGGTAAGAACAAGGCGTGCCACAACAAAATGGAACCAGGAAGAAAATCAGCACGACGAGAAAAGCAAAGAAGGAAAGGGAAAGGGAAAGGAAGTAGGAGTGATCGTATCGTATAGGGGACTTACTAAGAACTGCGCATGAGGGGTCGTCCCAGCGTGTTTCTCAAAGATCGGTCCGATCATCTTGCCTGCAAATATCCACCACCGTCCAGATCCCACAGTGTCGTTCTGTCAGCCACCATCCCCATCTGAACCTCGAACAACCCATGCCAACCTCGGGGGCGCAGGGGGACTCACAGGGCGGACACCAAGTCGCAGTAAAGTCCACGAAACAAGCTTTAGAAGCCGGAAGGCCCTTGATGATCGAGTCGAACTCTGCCGGTCGTGCACAGGAAGACAAAATCAAACCTCAACATGAGCTCCGTCGGTGAGACTGGTGAGTGAGGGGAGGACTGACCGTTCACGCTCTGAACGTCCTTCAAATTGGGCCCCGGCATACTTGTGGTAGATGTAGTCTCCTAGCTGTATCGCTCGTGTAAGGGGGTTCAAGAGAGTCTGATAGGTCGATGTTATGAGAGTCATGAAGAGGTATATGAGAAGTGGTCGAAGGATTCGAATATGCTCAATCAACCCTCGCGAGGACTTGATGACGAAGCGACAAAGGGAGGGGGCGACGCGATTGAAGAGGGTCAGTTAGGACCTGTAATAAGTCTGGATTGACCTGTCATGCCTGTCAGCACCTCCCTCTGACCTCAAGACAAGTGTGGGTTCTTTGTTTTCCGCTTGTTTTGTGGGGGGGCACCGTAGCTGCGAAAATTTAGTATTGGGCGTGAACTCGTGGTCAGCCATCAGCGATGGATCCAATAGCCAATAGCCATAATAATGGCTTGCTGCCGGGTCACAATACTTCCATCAGACACCCCCTCTTTGACACAATGTCACCAGGAAGATGCGTGTTGCTGTACGGGCGACATTATTTTCGAATCTTTATTGGGCGGAAAGGAAAGAAGTGAGGAAGACGAAAGGAGGAAAAGAAGATTATCATACTTGTCCGTCAAAAGGTAGATTTCGTTTCAAATTTCGAAAAGTACAAATGTGATCGCATATACCCTCCCCAGCTTCGTCTAATCGGAATCGGGGTACAGTGTCGGTGTCTGTCGAGTCGTGCCGGGGCCGAAAGGAAACATGCGTATAGTATAGGGCCGAAGAGTGAGAGATAGATATATCGTGGTGTAAGGTAATATTGACCAGTGATCCAGATCCCCCTAAGATGTGTGTCATTTTTTTGTCTTCTCTATCGTCGGCTTGTCGGATTATCGGATGGAGTGAAAGGCTGCCCAGATTGCTTTTTCTATTACGCCTCCTCGTTGCCCGGGTCGGTTGAAGATGAGGTAGGAGTGGCCTATGCGGTGATCTCCGGGCCCGTACCTCCAGGTATCAACTGTATCGAACAGAAAACGAAAAAGTATGATAGAATATCAGTATTCCTGCACTCTGCTCGTTGGACCCATCGTACCGCATAGCCAAGTATGACGGAAGAAAGAGAGCGTGGACTGACCATAGCGATCGAGCTCCCGTTCAGTAGCGTCTTCCCTAGCGGCGTAGCGACGGTCCCCGTTAATGTCACTTGACTTTATTTTTTTTGGTGTAGATGAAGATTGTTTAGGATGGCGGAGCCATGCCATGAAAGCACAGATGAGAAGCAGGGAGAAAAGACGAAAGAGTAGAGAGAAGAAAGAGAAGAAAAAAAGAGTTCGTCGAGGTCAGCGAGAGTGAGATAAGAAGGATCGATAATCGGACGGTACAGCCAACAGGTAAGAACAATGAAAGGGGAGTGGGTCGGACTTACTATTCAGTCACGTCCTTGAGTACCATATCTACATCAGTCACATCAGGAAAAAAACGCAACACCAAATATCAGTAACAACCCCGAAAAGCACGCACAGATGCACCCCATCTCTCGCTCGACACATCAACACCCTACACCCATCGTCCACCCAACACCCATCGTCCATCCCACTCCGAGTACGTAGCCTCATACACTCGTGTGACCGGATACTCACTAACATAATCGTCGAACCCCATGAGCGTCCCTACGAACTCCCTATCACCCTTCATGATGACCCAGATTCGGGAGTTGATGCATCGGTCGATGAGTTCTGCCGGGCGAGCGAGCGAGTGGAACAAGAGAGCAGTGTCGAGTGGGTCATGTATTGTTCGGGAGCCGGTGCAGGTCACGCCAACGCCGGAGATTAGGTTGGGGTTGGGTCAGGTTGGGACGAGGATGACGTTAGAACGAGGTGGAGATCGAGGTCGAGGTCAGTGAGCGTGCAAACAAGGTGGATTGTATAGAGGAAGCCAGGCGTTCTCACTCACCTAGGGGAAGGATCGTGGAAGCCATCTTTTGCGGATCGTAGTTAGATGGATAAGATAACTACCTCAAATCTTGATAGGCAATACCGTTCAATGATCAATGTCGAAGTTGTTGACGAGATCGACCTTGAACAAGGTTACCTTCATCGCTCCAGGTTCCTTTAGCACTGGTCGTCGGATCCGAAGTGGTAGCTGATTAGTTGTATTACCTAATCGGTCCGCTCGCTCTTTGTCAGGATGAGCGCGGACCGCGTCGAGAACTGCGACTCCCGCGCCGAGGCCCTGCATATCTTGACGGGGATCGCATCGGACCTGCGGCGCAACACTCATCGTGCTCGCTAAACAAACAACGTCCGGTGCACTCGAACGGCAGAAAGGGTTACTTGATCGAGGTTGCTCCTAAACCGACGCTTTGATTCGTACACCCGCCGTAGACCGAGCTCGATTGTCAGGTCTACAACCAATCCGTGATGGCGAGTCTGACACCCGTCGATCGCCCCTGACCGCGTCGACCTCGCTTTCGAGGGATGGCGTCGATACTGTCAAGCGAATAAGGTTAGACATTGCCAGTGAACCCTGGTCCAATCCCTCCTCTTTCCCTTGTTTGCGCCACGTTACCATTCAAACGACGATGGATGCGAGCGCGACCACGTTGCCTCAGTTCGGACGTGCATCAGGTGTTAAACAACGATGAGGATCCCTTGTACATTGCCAAACTCTTCAGACGTGACGAGCGGTAAGCCATATATATATTTCATGAGCCATGTTGGAAAAGTCTTCAGATCTACATCCGCTCAGTTCATCGACGCCTATCTCCGTTGCCCATACGAAGACTGAAGGATAACGATCAATCGAGACTGAAAGACGATCACCCGATGCTTCAGGATGATGGCTCACGACAGGCAAACTCGTTTGCAAAGCTGGGACTCGCAAATCCAAATCAATGCCCTTGCCTGCGAGTAAAGAGCCGAGTCTTACCAGAGTATATCACCTCAATCGGAATGCCAAAACCGTCAGGAATCGGGCCTAAACAAACCCCTCTTTATCCCTCCGGACAATAACTCGAGAATACAGTCAATAAAAGAGTACTGTATCTCCTCCAATAGGCATTGTAGCATTCCAGCAGCCGGAACTCGGATCGGATTGCGAAACCTTCGACGTTGACGTTGGGTCGGGCGATAGCTACAATATATGGTCCCTCATGCCAGTCCATCAATATATTGGTATACGGATCCTATACAGATGGACCTCATGCCAACGTACCTAACACATTCCGTGTTCCCAGCCCATCGCTTCTCTTCTCATATCGGGCATTATCACCCCGACGAAAGCCACACTCCTCTCCAGCGCTCCCGGTTCAGGATACACGCTACTCCTCCTGCGTTGATGTTGCTAGGACCGCAGTAATACCTCCCATCTCAGCTTTATCCCGATACTCAGCTGTTGTACGACGAGCTTCCGGTTCGTTTCATCCGGGAAAGCAGTCACTACCACAGCATCTCCTGTTCGTCAACACTGCAACCAGCCGATGAATCGGATTCCCGAGCAATCAGACTTTCCCTAGGTAGTCTTACCCGGTCGGTCGTATGTATGTACATATATTCGTATGCTATGACTGGCATCAGGCATCATCGATACGATATGATTGGATGGCGCCCTTCGAGATGGATGTCGTGGAAATGTTTTGCAAGCCCGTATTGTCGCCTGATTTGACCGCCTTCATTTCATCGCGCCACAACCTGTTAGGCGAGATCCGTTATAGATATCTTGGCCCTCTAGCAAGCTATCAGTCTATCGAAATTGCGCGAGCCACAAGACAGTACAACTTTAAGATTCGTTGGAATGACATCCATGTAAGCGAGAAACTGCAGACCTGTGTAAGAGCTGCCGTTTCGATGAAACCCGCAAGGTTTGCCATCTGATACATCTGATCAATCCAAGTCATTCTTGTGCAGCCGGCGCAGGCTTACCGAGGGAGAGAATGGGATTACACTGCGGCCTGGCTACTTTCTCCTCACCTAAATAGCGGCCACAATCGTCGCTCTGGCTGATTAAAAGTCGCCCCCCTCGCGTCTTAGACGTACAGTATGCGACGTGAAAGGGTTCCTGCAATTCCAACAACGAGACATTTGTTGAAGCGATCACTGTGCAATCGATGAACCGAGATCGTTTGTAGCTTGCAACGCATATTGTACGAACCTACTGTAGCGGCTCGTGGACTCCACTTAAGTCGTTCCATACAGTATCACATGACGACAGCCGGCACATCTCAAAGATCTTCAAGCTCACTGTTTGGCACATCATCCAGCGATCACCGATCATGATCGACATGCTCTCCCTTCACTCAACAAGGTCAATCTCGTTGTAAGTGACAAGACCGATGGGGCCTCGCGTTATGCCTCACTATCTATCACCCAGAAGCAGGAAGTATTGTACATGACATCGTGTACGGAGATGACATGCTGGAGATTCCTTGGAGCTGGGGTGAATTGCTACTATTGTATGCAATCAATCAGAAGCCATAAGCATCATTTAGACATTCCGTCAACAACAAACGGCGACACGCTCACCTCTGTTTCTGTATGAAGGCCTACTGTACCAACTCACGCTGCTTCTGGGTGACAACCATCCGCTGGGTCCTGTTTATACCTGACTGGTCCGCTACAGTATACTCGACAAGCGTAGTCGTTCTCCAAAGATTTTACCGCGGACATGTCGGTGGACTGCGAGCCTATTGTAGCCAGGCAAGCAAGCATTGATTGATGCGGATCAAGGGGATACGGCCCGATCTCGCACGATATGATACCATGTCTGGGAGATGTACAATAGCGGGTCCGGCGATACAGTATGGAACAGAGTTGTTTTTTGAGCGAGACGAAGCGCCTGCAAGAAGGCACAAGACGAGAGGTCGACATATTGGATCTTGACCCGAGGTTTTGCGTTCCGTATCGTATCAGAGGATCCTTTGACCAAGGCGTGACAAGAGGACTCAGGACGTACTAAGTTCAGGTTCTTGCTGATCAGGTTCATCCCCCCGAAGAAATAGTACTGACAAGTGAGGCTACAATAGGTCCCGCCGGGCGTACTCCGAAGAAGAAGCAAAAGGCGCCTTTGTCCGACTTTTCTCGCTGGGCTCGGTCTCGCTGCACTTCCGACCGACGTCATTCTCCGGCAACGACAGCAACTAGACCCACGACTACAGCTACTGGACTGCATTCGCTGAGGAGAGATATCTCGACGCTATCTGCCACCCGGACCTGATCTCTGCCGCAAACGTATCCGATCGCTTTATCCCTGCACGCGACCGGCTCACCAATTTCGCTGTCGAGGCATACTGCCGCATGTCACTGCGAAAGTACGTCGGCTTGCTCCAGTCCATGTCCGTTGTATTCGCCAGTCTTCATTTATTGACACGCTTTGACCTCACAGATGGGAAATGGCCGGATTGAGCGCATGGGTCGCTCCTTTGGCGCTGGCGGACAATGACAAAACCCTTGGGCATCTATGCCCCCCTGCCCACCACGGCTGCCTGCCTGACAGAGCTCCTGGCGCGTCATACAGTAAATTATATCCACCTATCCCTCACCGTCGTTGCTATCATCGTCCGTTTCATCTTACGCGTTTCATCTCCGTGTTCGTCGCGCGAAACACTCGAAGGATGACACGCGGGAACAATCAATCAAGCTCGAGCCGTTGACGCAGACGACGACGAGACGTGATTGATCGGCTAGAAGAGATGCAGGAACTGCGGCTACTGCGAAGTTATGGAACGACGACATCCATACATACCCGGTCCGGTCGCTCGATTTTTCGATCCAAAGGACCTTGAGCGGTGTGATCCGCACGTTCGTGAAATCCTCTTATTCGGTCGTTTGCGCGGGATTTGCTGCATCAGCTCAAGGGGCAAAAATCGTATATATCAGTCTGACCCATTGTCCGAGAGTTGAATGAACTGCCCTCCATACATCCAGGATCATCAGAATTCATCAAATTTGGCACACTCGTCGCAGGTCGACAGACGATTCGTTAAACCTTCGCCCGACACTTCGTAAGTCCTTTGCAGCCCCTTTCCAGTCGACACGGAAGCGAGTCTCATCACCTTTTGACAACCGGCCCTCATCCATAGTCCTCCTCGAAGCGCCGGACGTCTCTCGAGCTCTTACCCGCCCCTTCAACCCAAGTCACCATCGCCAACGCCACCACCATGTTCTGCGGCTCAGTCCTCGTCGCCGTCAGCCTTCTGGCCCGGTCGGCCTTGGCCTACACCCAAGTCAACTTCAACCAGCCCATCTTTTACAAGAACATTGACCCTCTGGTCTTCACCGGTAGCTACACCAGATCCCACTTGCATACCTTTTTCGGATCCGACGGTGTGACGGCGCATACTACGACCAGCAGCGAGTTGCAAGCGGGGTGTACGAACGGGGAGAACCCGAATGATTTTTCCGTCTATTGGGTCCCGACGCTTCTGTACAAGGATGCCGAGGGGGTTTTCAAGCCCGTACCTTTGTCCCGCTTCAGCGCTTACTATAACCTCGGTCAAGATCCTGCCGAAGTGAGTCTCAGATAGAGGATCAACCTATATGAGACCTATATCAATAGCTATCGCCCGTCCGCTGACTTGGACCGTATATCGTCCTGCGCCAATCGACCAGGTACCCATACCCCAGAACCTCATGATGCTAGCCGGAAACGCCGCCAACCAAGCTTCCGGGACCCTCGATCCATCCGCTGGCATCCAATGGTTTTGCGAAGGCCAAGACGTCCCGGTCGGTACCAACGGGTTCCCCACATCCACCTGCAACACGCACCTCCAGACTTTACTCCTGTTCCCTTCGTGCGTCAACGAACAGACCTTGAAGACGGCTTATAAGAGCGCGGGGTATGGGACGCCGAATAGGTGTCCGGAGGGGATGAAGTCGATGAGCCAATTAAGATTTAGTATTCGGTATGATCTTCGGAAGGCTCTTCCCGGTGGCTGGACGGGGGAAGCGCCTTTGAAGTTGGCTTGTGGGAATGCGTATTGCTCGCATGGCGACTTTATCAACGGGTGGACCGAAGGTGAGTCGTATTCCCGTCTCGAGTGATGGTCCTCCTACTTCCGCTGATCGAACAAAATATTACTGGTACCTTGCTACAGAATCGGCAATCACGATGGTTGACACCACTAGGGAGAAACGGGTCTTCTACCCTATCGATGGCACGCTCGGAGGGTACAAAGATCGCCCGACCTGCAAGCCCGCCGATAAGGAACCTCAGCTCGGGACGTCGGACTATGATGAGAGCGTGAAGATCTTGGGCAAGAGGGCTTGGGGTTCTCGTATCTAGTCTGCGCATAGCCGAACGGGTTGGCCGGGCTACCGGATGAGCATTCTTGGCAGGTCGTAGCGCCTCCTGGCTTTTTGCTTGGTCGGCTTGTCAGATTCTAGCTATACTGTAGGGGTCGTGTCGGACGTTTGTTATTTTCATGCCACTAGCTACGATGTTGATCATCGATCTGTGCTTAGCTCACTGACCTTGCGATATTTGAACTGCCTTCTGACGTCGTGCGCCGTTCTGCCGCAGTGCCGTTTGCTGTTGTTATGCCGTAGTGGACTGCGTGCATGTTTCAAGTGGTGATACGTGCATGTTTGAACCTTGGCAGTGGCCTTGGTCAACGCCAGGTCAGATCTAGAACCGTCCAGCCCAGACCCTCCCCCCTCCACCCCCCCACCCCCCAATCAACTCTTTTGTATGTGAGATCTCTCTTGTCGGTAGTCGTTGTAGTCCCTGCTGGTCTTCCTAAGCTTTCCGGCAATAGGCATTGCCTTGCTTACCAAGTTTGCTCTCTTCGCTTGATGTCCCTTGTCCTGCTCGTCGTCTTCAAATAGAAATTCGGCAATGATGTGCCGTCCGGCGAAAATTAGCTTCTGCATATCTACGTTTCGGACGACATCACCTCGCTCGGCGATGATCACATTCTGAAAGCCTGACTTCAAAGTCGCTTCCAGACCCCGCATGTCGATCAATGTTAGCCAAGAATTCCGCGCCGAGAGGAAACTTCCTGACCTGCCGATCGAAGGCGAGGATGTGTTTGATGGTGGTGACACACTGTTCCCCGCCAAAAACAGTCCGCGCAGTCTTGAAAACCCCACATGAGCCATCGATCGTAGACATCGATGATCAGTTGCCCCCGTTTCAATTGTTCCTTGTGGGTCATGAGGTTGAAGCGGTTGGAAAGATAGGAAACCTACCAGAACACCGGTGAAGGATATCGGTGTTTGAATCGATTGGTAATGCAGAGTGGTATGTTGGATCCCGGAACCGCCAGATCACAATCCTCAACTGGCGCACAGGAGCTTCGCTTTACTGTAACGTCAAGCGAATACCGACTGAATGGAGTCGAAGTAGACTGCGGAAAGCTCATTATGATGTATGAAGCGAGTGATAGAACGCGTTGCGCTTGTTGATCTCGATGGTTTGGCAGCTGGGAAGGCCGACTAGGGAGTTCCTGTTAGGTTGTATGTAGACAGGCGAGGCGGAACAAGAGCCAAATCCCTTCTTCGCCAGTTCGAGCACGAAGTTCATCGCATGTTCTTACATCTTGATATCTCATATTCGTCTTGGTATAACGTTCTCAGTACATGATCGTATTACGCTCCACCATCCGCGGGACTTTTCTCAATACCGGATCGTCCTTGGCCACGGCCCACAGGTATCCATCTGCGGATTCGCAAAAGTATAATTATCAGCCGCCTGCTGTAGAAAAATTTAAACTCGCTGTAGGGTGTATTTTGGACTTACCGATATCCGCCTCATCAACCGTACCCAACCACCCAAACCCTTCCCTCCCCTCGATCTCCCGTACACGTTCCAATATAACCTTCCCCGCATCCAACGCGGCAGCCCGGACGGTATACGCTTCTTGGGCCATCACCCGGGGTCCGTCGACGTGCTTGGGGATCCCATCTAGTTCTTCTTTAGTCTTGCCTTTCACGCTGACTCGGAATTCGTTGGCCGAAGTGTTCCACGAGGATAGAGTTGGGACGGTGCAAGATGAGAGGTCGAGGATCTCTAGGTGAACGAGCATTGTACACAGGACATTATCTATGAACATAGGGAGGGCGTGGGCGGAGGGGACTGTCCGTTGAGCGGACTTGTCGCTCCCCTTTGTACTTGTACTTGTAGCAACGGGTGATCGAGGGTCGAGCCGTTGATAAAGAGCGAAGAGGAGGAAGAATGCTTTCTTGTAGATGTACACCGGTCGAGGTGGGTCGAGGAGGGTTAAAGTGGTCTGGTCGGCGAACCCGGGAATGGTGGTGACGAGCTGCCAGAACAAAGTCGGAAATATCAGCGAGGTAATTGGAGAGTGAGAGGATCGCAATTAAGGACAATGTATCTCCAGCACTCACTCTCTCGATAAAGTGATCAGCCCCAGCTGCATCCCCCTTGCTCTCCGTAATCTTCTCAGCCTCATCCAAGATCTCGACGACCAAATCTCCCAAGCTCTCATACCCAGCCTCCACCAAAGCCCTTCCAGTCTCATTGCACGCCCTGACGACCAAATCGACGGCCTCGGCGACCTCCCCTTCTTTAGTCCCCACCGTCACCCCGGGTAGACTCTCGTGAGGTTTCTCACTAAACAGTGAGACACCCAAGATCCCAGCGATCTCCTCTGGAGTCAATTCGCTCAGACCTCGGCTAGTCAGCTTTTCGTCCTCCCCGGTGATGAACAGCCCGACGAGGATCTTGATGATATTCTGGTAAGCCCCATCCCCAGTAGCTTTGTGCAGAGGTAATCGGTACCCTGACAACGTGTTCAAGAGGGAGAGGATGGCTAAGAAGTTGATCTCGCTGACGAGCGTGGGGAAACGGAGTGGAAAGGCCGATACGCCGTGATGGGATTTGAGACGGTTGAAATCGGATTCGTTGAGGGTCTGGGTGAGGAACTTGTCGATAGCTTCGATCGAGATCTGTCAAGGATGAGGGTTAAGTATAATAGTCAGCTTTAGGACTGTACTTGACATCTGATGATTACCGAACACTCACCTTGATCCCCGCATCCTGCCTGACGTTCCTGCAACTCGTCCGAACCTGTTCGATGAACGATCCCGACGAAGGAAACGAGGTCATGCTGATGAAAGATCTATGGTTTATATGATAAACCTGTTGCTATCTCGCCACCATCCACCTCGCAGTAAGACCAGTCGTCTAGTCTTGCTTTATATGTTTTCAAGCAGCAGACGTCGCTCATCGCTCGAGATGGTTGTTGACTCGAGAATTACTACCGAGTTCACTCCAAAACCCACCGAGAACCTTATCTCCCTGACTCGTCCATCGGATCCGAGATTGACATCGTTGCATCTTCATCTACAAGGAACCCCTCAGCGAGTCAAGTCGAGTCTATCGATACCCCGCATCCACCTGTCCGAAATAACTACTGCTCCTCCTCGCCATCCCCATCTTCCCACTTCCCATACCACCTCCACCTCCACCTCCTCCGGGACTCGGGAGTACGCTCGGCGTGTACGGTTTTTCCGTCTTGAGCACCTTGACCTTGACTTCCTTTTCCGCCCGGGTGAGGATCCGGAGTGCGAACGCTGCCGTCGTCCATACCCCGCCTAAACTCAAGTCAAGTCAAAGTTCAAGTCATGCGCAAAACGAGCTCGAGACTCAGCGGCGAGTACGGTTTGTAGTGCGAGACGAGATGTGACAGGACTCACCGATCACCCCAGCCAACCTGATCAAGAACTGATACAACGTCGTCGTCCTCTCCTCGACCGTCATGCTCAGCGCCTCGAGGTCAAACTTGAAAAAGATGCCGGGGACGCCTCGTCCGTGTTCTACCGTACGGGAATAGTCGGTCACCGCGTACTACAAGGGGGCAATGTTGGGTGGAGGGTCATAAGTTGAAGAGGGGGGATCAGGTCAGAAGATTAGCCAACGATTCCTCTTCTATGGATCGACTTTTTTTTTTTTTTTGACACTCACCTGACTAGTCTGGATCTTGCGTCGACTCGAATCGATATACGTCGTCGGGACCACGCTCAAAAAGTATTGAAAGATCGGGAATTCTGGCACAGCGAATCAACACCATCGTCATCATTTTGTCAGCGAGCTCGAATTTGCGTAAAGTTGATTTTGCTTCGCAACACGAGATATGATGCGACGTGAATCGAGAGGACTCGGGACTCGGGACTCACTCTCCTCGGTCTTGACGTAGGTCATGTCCAAAGGCTGGGCGATCGCAGGGAAGAAAGGCCCAAACGAGAACTCGTGGATGATGTGCGAGAGATTCATCACTGCCCGAAGTCACAGATCAAATCATACGTCAAACGTCAACCTCTCGACTTTTCTCGTTTCACTGAAACGACCCCAGTACAGAACATAGAGGTAGAGAGAGAGGAAGAACGTGGTACTGACGATCATGCCCCGTATGTTCCCAACTCATATACCCATGCCCCAACGTCGTAACATGTAAATTCCCCGTAACCCGCTTCACCCCGACGCTCCCGTACACCCGACAAGCCTTCCCCTGCTCAGGCCCTTCGGTCGGTCTCCAATTCTCCGTCTTCCTGAACCCTTTAATGTTCCTCCGTAAGTTATCTTTCGGGCTAGGAGGGCGTCGGTTGGATACGTTCGGGTTCACAGGTTGGGATGAAGATGAGGAGGAGGAGCCGAAGAGGGAAGAAAATATTCGACGGAGGCCGGAGCTGGTAGATGTTTGCCTGGTTGGTTTAGGGAGAGTCAAGGGGGTTCGGGAACCGCGATGGGCGTCATGGACGACCTGGTTGGCAGAGGGGATCGTCGCTGCCGCAGGTCTATCAGGTTCGTATATTTGATTTATCAGCCAAGATCTAAGAACGTTCGCAGAGGTCTTGTTGACCCGACACGCCCCGCCGGGACTCACTGTACGTTCAACGCTCGACCCGTCTCCCAAACGGTCCCATCCTTGACGAAATCGTCCGACAAGTGCAACCTATCCCCAACGACGTCCCTCACGTCGATCGACAGGTCTACAATCGACAAACGGACAAAGCGACAGAACCGTCACATTAGCTAGCTATTCCTTAGGGTCCCATTGGAGAGCGATCCCAGTCGACTATTACTCACAGTGACAAGGCATAGCAACGGTCAGATCCACATTCAACTGCAACTCTTTCGTATCCACCGTAGGATCTACGTGGAACGAAAACGTCGGGGCGCCGAACATGAACTCTCCCAGGTCGTTCTGCGTTTCCACGTCCACGTCCCATCATCCATAATATTCCATATCAACCCAAAACACAATATGTTAGCCAGATGTTAACCAGATGTCCAAATGATGATATAATGGTAGAGTATATTATGAGCGAGGAAGGGTGACTGAGGGTCATGGGAAGGAGACGTACGAGGATGAGGAGAAAGATGATCCCCCCGACGAGGGCTGTTAGGATGCCTCCTCTTCTGGACCGCTCGGTGTATGTCGATTGTACCTGCCATCACATTCCACCAGACCCAGCGAACAGAACACCAGATCTCATTAGCTATAGTTTCCGACTGATAGAAACGTCGTAAAACATATGGTTACATGGAACATGGACTCACCTTTGGAAACGCATCGAAAGCCTTGATCGGAGCGATCCTATCCAACTCGGCCAGCAAGTCCTTGGCGGACGTGTTCGAGTCGTCGTTGAACGACTTGTTATCCCCTCCTGAAGGGTCGTTCATCCCGAGGTGCGGTTCGAACATGCTGGCCAATACCCAGCTCTGGATTCTATGTGTATACCTTGTGGGATATTGGATAAGGGCGTATAGGGATATGAAAAGTGGGAAGATGTAGGATCAAGTTGAATTGAAAGGGACTCTACTCTAGCTACTCTGGCTCTTCGCTGTCTGCCCCGCGTCAGTCGTGAAAGTGACGAACCCCGACATTCACAACACAGGCCTGATCACACGATTCGACTTGACTTACCAAAACAGCCTCATGACAATCCTCTCCAATGGGTTCAACTCCGCGCAGATCAGGGGGAACCAGCGGAGCAGTGTGCAAGGCGGCACCGTCTCGATTCGCACGCAACGCATGGTCCCTTTGCCTGGTTATCGACGTATTCCGAACCGCACAGCCAAGGTCGATCTTTCGACGCGCAGTAACTGCAGGGGACGACATTGGTCCTGGCAGCCTTGCTGACCAGGGCATTGTAGGCGGTAGCGTAGTGGCTCATCTGATATATATAGAGAGAGAGGATCAATTTCCAGACAGGAGGTTGACGGAGATTGACTAGCTCACGCTGTTCATTTGGGCATTGACAGTATTTCCAGAATAGGGAGGGCAGTTGAGCAGAGACGAAAAATTGAGGCAGCAATCTTTGATTGATTAGCGGTGGGCAGCATATGTGTAGTCGCTGTGGTGGGCGGAGCACATGGCCAACAATATGATTGGTGAAGATAAAGCTCAGCACAATTTCGTGGGGCATTGCAATTACGTATTGCATGGCATGGCATGGGTGGATGTACAACGATGCTTTACGTTTATGATCATGATCATGGTTATGGTTATGGTTGTAATTTTGCTGTAAGGCGAGGCGTAGATAGAGGAAGAACAAGGGTGGGGTGAGGGAGGGGGACGAAGGGATCGAAACGGACGTTCGTGATTTTCGTAAACAGAGAAAAAGGCGAGGATGACTAACAAGAGTCGATGCCGACGCTATGCCTCGTCCGAGGTGGTCTCGTTCGACTTTTGCACCCCACCACCGCCGCCGTTAGATCGAGATCGAGGTCTAGATCCCTCCGACTTGGGCTCATCGTCGTCCAACCCGAGCGCGACCTGCCCGACCCGACTCGTCAACTCGTCCAGCGCCTTGAAATCCTCCTTGTCGCCCTGCCCAACAGCGCTGGTCTCGTTAGGTACCGGCTGAGTGCTATGATACGCAGGGAAAGGGCTCATCGTCGGTAAAGCCTTCAGAGGGTCGGTCTCTGGCGTTCTCAAGTTGGACGAGGTGAGGTAAGGGTCGGTAGGGTTGCCGAGCGGGTTGGTAGTCGCGGCAGGACTGTTGAACGGTTGGAAAGCCGCGCTCGAGCTCGAACCGTTGATCATGGCGAGTTCACTGGGGGAGACGTTCCCCGGCGTCACAGTCGGGGGGAAAGGACCGGCTCCGACAGAGTAGGCTCGTTTACCTGGGTGTTGCGAAGGTTGCGGCTGCGCGTACCCGGAGTTGCTGGAGGATCCGTAGGCGTTGCCGTTACCATTGCCAAACTCGGCGCCGTATGACGGACCTCGCTGTTGTCGTCGACCCGTCGACTCGGACGGTCGGCGGCTACCTTGACCTTGACCTGGACCTGGACCTTGACTCGGACCTGGTCCGACGCTGCCACCCATCCTAGGACCGCCGACACCGGGCAACCCGCGTGGTGCTTGGCGAGGCGAAGGTCCGGTGCTCCACGTCCCGCTGTAATTTCTCGGCTCATTGTGAAGACCGCTCGACGATTTCACAGGCGAGATCGGTGCCGATGCCGACCCGGCGGCCATGTTGTTGAAAGGCACGGGCATTCCACCCTCGCTGAACGACCCGGCTCGAGGGTGTGGCGGTTCATCCCCATACCCGCCCATATCGTGATGACGCCCTCCCATATCACGACCTCGGAACCCTTCACCTCCGTGATATCCCGTCGATTGGTGCGAATGCCAAGCGTCCTGTGCGGAATATGGACCCGAGTCTCCCCCTGCGTCCGATCGTCGTCCGCGTCGTGCAGTTCCCTGAGCGGAATACGAACGCCGGCCAAAGTCGTCCATCTCCCCGCCACTACCACCACCGGGCATCATCCCGTTCATCGTCTGCGACATGCGGTCGAACGGCCCGATCGTCATGTTGTTGCTCTTCCATCCGCTCGGCCCATAACCTCGAGGTCCCGACATGGATCGCGGGGCGGGTGACGAGGATCGTGGGGCGCGTGCGAGCTCGTCTTCTCGTTCGATACACAGTTCGGCCAGGGCCAACACTGCACGCTCGGGTCGGGCGGTCAAGATCTGAGGTAGACGGAGCAGTTGCTGATGAGCGCCAAATCACGAGCTCGAGCGGGATTTGCAAACTTACCCTTGTCGCACGCATGAATTCGCCGCGGATCTGTAGTCCCGGAAGCACGGTAGAATTCAGTGACGAGATCCGCAGAGAATCACGCGAATGCACTCACGGTATACAGCCCGTCCTTGGTTACCGTCCTCGCGACATTGTAAGGCGTCTCGAACGGGTCCTGTCCAAACAACTCCCGTCCGTTAGAGCCTTTCTCTCGTAATACCCAAATGCCTGGCAGGAATTCACCTCGATGCATAATCTGTTCCTGTCCCTCGCATTCTCGTTAAGCCCACCGACGTCGATCTGAGCGTTCCAAAAAGACAAGAGGTCAGCTCCTTGGTTTGTCTCTGACCCTGCAACACTCTCGACTCACGTCGTTCATCCACCCTTTGCTCTCCTTGGTCAAATGCCCCGCTCTGATCGAGATGACCGTGTTGTTGTACTGGAAATCGTGAGAAAAGTATCGGAAAAAGTCGATGAGGCTGACAACACACATCCGCAGCGTCAAGTCAACATTCGCCTTGCGAAATACGATCCGTTGAAAGTGTCGACTCACAGCTCGCCCACGCTCTCAAAGTTGGCAGAACTCCATTCTTTCCGCAACGTCTCGGTATCATCGAAAAACCAGACGTCCCTCCCTTCGAGCGTCATCTCCTCCTGCCGTATCCATCGGAAAATCAAACGCCAAACAGGTCAATCGAAGTCACTTTTCCTCGGGTTCTTTGATTCGAAATCCCTGCTCACCTTGGTCATCGGCCGAAGAGGAGCTATCCGTTGCAAATTTGGTAGTACAGGAGGGTTCTTGACGTGTACGAGGTAGAAGATGACCATCAGAGTGTAGCCGTCTACATTGATACGAGATCATAATCGTCAACCTCTATATGCAGAGGGTGGTCCGACGACTTTGGGCTTACAGGATGAAAGCGTGCCCTTGTACGGAGAGTTGATTTTTCTCCGTTTACTCCATACTTTCACTGCGAACAGGCAAGGACAGGTGACAATCGTCAGAAATTTACCAGTTGATTGAAAGACAAGGTGGGAAAGTCGACTTACGGAACAAGACCAACGTCCTGATCCTCGCCGGATCGATCGTCGCGTACGTCAAGAGCAACCTCGTATTCTCCAGGGCCAATCGGTTTTCGAACCCGATATCACATGCGATGCCTGCAATTACGATTGCGATTGCAATGGCGATTATGGTCAAGCAAAGTGCAAGTCCAAGTACAAGTACAAGTCAGTGCTGTGCGATTCTCTGTGGAAGAAATCTGGTTGAGTGAAGATGATGTACCGTAAGGAAGCCCAGGGGAAGGCTGGAGAGTCAACTTGATAATCGGGATCCTAGCTTTCGGTAGCGGTTTCACTTCAAAGTTCGTCTCTACCCGTCACACACAAAATGTTCAAGATCAGCTGCTATGTCCGTGTCCCTTGCCGGATTTCACAACGACTTGGAATGTCTTGGAATGTCTTGTCGTGCCGTGAGGAATGGGCAAAAGGACAGCAACTGACCTCGTTCTAATAAGTCGCCGATCATCGCTACCAAGTCCGAGGCGTGTAAAGCTGCTTCTTTGTTATCGATCAGGCATACTAGGTCCATATCTATGAAGCGAAACCAAGTAAATTCAGCTCAGAGGTAAATTTTCTGGAAACACCGGTCTTGTTGGCGTCTAACTCGACTACAGCTAGGCGTCGAGCTCCGAGCGCTCAAAAAAGCGTCCTCGGTAGGTGTTCCACCTCCTCTGAACCGAAAACGAAGACACTCACCACTGTTCCTCAACCCGAAACTATTACAACTACTCCCAAAGCTCGCCAGTCTGGAACTCGGCTCGATCGTCTTGATCAACCGTTCGATCAACACCCTCACCTCTTCCTTCGTCGCCAACTCTTCTGCTGTGGGTAGAAGAGGTAGTACGAAACTGAAGAGAGAGGTGGAGAGGTCGGTCAGGTATTGCCGTGTGGAGAGGGCATGAGGACCTCCTTGAGGATGTGATGGCATGGCGGGGACGGTATAGGATGGGTTCATCTTGACGGTCCAGTCCTGCTGTTTGTGCTCTATCTAGCTATGGCGTTGTATTCTTCTACTGTTCCAGATGCTGATGCTTGTGCGTTCTCCTTCAGCCCAGACCGAGTTATTGACCGGATGACGAAGATGGGTTGTAATCGAGCTGGTTCTCGAATTCCCAACAAACTTTTGATGCAAAACGAGCGAATGGGGGCGTAAAGTGCGATGACGGCGATGCTGATGTTTCGTTCCAAGTGTCCCGATCGACGAGAGATGCTAGACGTGACGATGCAGAACTTGCCAGACTTGGGATAGATGGCGATCGTCGAGCTCGAGGACGTTTTGGCAAAGGAGTTCTCTGAATCTTGGTCGCTCTGCAGCTAGGGGAATATGATCGCTATTCTACTAATCGTTCGTTGCGCTTCCAATTGGCAGCGTCACTACACGCGCGCTTAACCACCTCGCCCCCCCAGGCGCAAACCTCAACCATCATCACGTCGTGATATATCGAATGCTACCAAGTACAACACACAAGTCTACCACCCAGCTCTCACTCGACGTCCATCTCATCGACCTCGTCCTCCACCTCTTCGACCACGCCCACATGTTTGCCCGCAGGCGGTGGTGTAAAGTACTCGACCTGTTTAGGGTATTGACGCTTGTACAACGACATGCTATAGAAGAGTAGCCAACGAAAGAGGTGTGATCGGTTAGCATCCAGATCTAATTCAATGCTGTGTCGAATATCGAGATCATGCGGCAACGAAGGACGTACCAAACGGTATCCATCTGTTGAATCGGTTGATCAAAGATGGCCTTGAAGTATCCATGCGTACCCAGAGGTTCTAAAAAGTCAAGTAAAACATCAGCATCTCAAGCCAGGACTGCGTCGCTTTCGAGTGTCTCGGCGACTCACCTTTGATATGACCCGTCCTCCCATACTTGGTATGCAACTCGATAGGCGCAAAGTACTCGATATCGTCTGTAGAGTTAAAACCAAAGTGAAAAAGTCCCCACAACAAACCTCGTATCAGCACGATTGACATCGACACCACCTCAAGCTTGCTTTTGGTCATAGAATGTAAGCAGGGGACTGACCTCGGTTGAAGAACATGTATCGCACGGTAGCCGTCTTCCTGTGCACCTTGAACGGGTGTCCGGTGAGGATGATCCGCTTGGCGATGATCCGGGTCGGGTCGGCGCTCATAAAAGATCCCATGGCGACCAAGTGGGGGCCTAGAACGGGACGTAAGACAAAGCACAGCGAAATGATGCGATCAGCTAGGGATTCACGCCGCAGTAGATGAAAGACGAGGACGTACATTCCAAATCCTCGGACTCTCTCAACAACAAGCAAGACTGTTTACCGAATACCACCGGACCGTACGTCGTAGCCACCACCGCGGTACCGTGTCGCAAGTATCGTTCGGATTTGTGAACGTTGTTGACGCCCTTGCCACCCCCACGGGTGTGTTGCGAGTAGAGCGGGTTGATACGGTATCGACGAGGTCCGACGCAGAGGATGAGGGGGTCCTGAGAGCGTAGAGAAGATGTCGTTTTAGCCTCGAGTACATTGAGCATATCGTTGAAGACGTAGCAGAGCGGGGCGACTCACCTTGGCCCGGACCGTCGCTTCGTACTCGGTATTTCGCTGGACGGCAAAATGCAAGACCGACTGCTTGTGTTCGTGCTGCAACAACCCGTAGACGACCAGAGGGTGTTGAATGTCTCGCGCCTCGACGAGCGCACGAGGGACATCCCGGATCCGAAGTTGTACACGGGTTCCGACCTTGATAATACGCCGAGGAATGGATATCAGCCGTTTGTCTCGCAACCCCATTTCGACCAGCTCTGGAAGTGACCCACCTCGACCCCCTCTTCCCGCCCAGCCTCTTCAGCCCGTCTCCTCGTCCTCTCGTAATCCTCAAACTGGAAGATCTTGGCATAGTCGAGCGGCAAGTCTTCGTACGAATCCCAAGGCGACGTCCTGAAACTCTTGAGACCACGGTATCGCTGGAACCGGGTCTGAGCCAAGCCGTGCCGAGGGGTATCCTTTTCGTCGGGGAAATGGAGGTCATCGGCGTCCTCCTTGTTGCGCTGTTTTCGGTAAGCTTGGAGTCTGTCAAAGGGGAGGGATCAGATTCAGCCGCCGCGATACACCTGCCATTTTCATTTGATTTGTGCGGCGCGAAACTCACTGTCTCTCTTCCTCGGCGTCGTCCAGCTCTTCCTCCTCGTCATGTCGTTCATCGAGCTCGACATCCTCCGTCTCTTCCACCTCGTCATCCCCATCTTCCACCCTCGCGCCCCTTCCGAACCCGGCCTCGGCCCCGAGATCCCCTTCGTCCAAATCATCCCCATCCTCTTGCATCAAATCCTCATCATCATCATCGTCGGCATCCTCGATCACGTCGTTCTCATCCTCGTCATCCAAGATCCAAGCGGCCTGATAAGCGCTCGTCCCCTTGGGCACCCTCTTCACCCGGATAGGTTTCTTCTCCGCGTTCCTCATAGCCGCTTCACCTTCGGCCATCTCTTCCTCTGTCGGCCAAGTCTGTTCGTTGCCCAGCGTATCGACTTCGTTGAGCGCGGTAAGATCGTCGGCTTGTTCGCCCGGCGTACTGAGGACTCCGGACTGCAACGGGTCCAGGTCGGTCTGCATCGACTTGACGTGTACACGGTGTGCGCCTCGGGGGACGACGGACGCGTTGATGGATTCTAGTTGATAATCGCCCCAACCGGGAATATGCACCAACCTGTCCGCGCTCAGACGAGCGCCCCGGATGGTTCCCGTGACTGACAAGACCCCCCTGTCGGCTTCTGGCGAGTCGAGCTCGTACCTCAACGCTTGGTCGTCGCCAGTCTCCGCCTGTCTCGTATCCCCCGTCTCCGCTACCAACCACCCTCGTCCATCCCTCCCCCTCCCTTTAATCCCAGCTCCGCCTCGTTCAATGTTGATACTACTAGCCCCCGTAGGTACGCCTTCGAGGACGGACCGGGCGAGGTTGTTGGCATCGCTCGAAGTCGCGTCCGGTCGAGTGGGTACGACGTGCACTTTGGAGACGGCTGGGAAGAAATAGTTTGTAAACGACAAGAGGGATTTGAGGACGCCCGGGCGGTCTTGAGGGGACATGGGTTGACGGCGAGGTGACTAGCATTGGCGGTAGCGAGTAGTACCCCAGGATTGAGTTAGGATCAGCAATCGAACCAGATTACCAAACAGATTTCAAACCCGCATCCATGAGACGCGACTCACGTGCACACAAGCGATGACCTCGGCCTGCCCACCCCCGCCCCCAATAACGCTCTGAAGACACCGCAAGATCCGTTCACCCTCTTCCGTCACTTCATGTTCGGAAGAAAGGAGAAGGACGACATAGTCGCTCGCCAGGGCCGCGTCGAGTGTGGCATAGAGGGAAAGAGGAGGGAGGTGAATCAATTGCAGGGAGGTCTTGAATTTCGGGGCGCTGCGGTGGAGATCGGTCGAGGGTTCAGTAGATGCTTCCTCCAAGAGGAATGAAGTGAGATAAAGGAACTAGCTGGGGGGACGTACCTCATGATCCAACTACCTCGATCTGACAAGCTCCCAACAACCCTCTCCTTCTCCTCCTCACCCAGCCCCAAGACCTCGACGAAACCCCTCCCGAAATCCTCACACCGTACAGCCGAATGCAAGGGGATCACACTGACAACCCTCGGAACCGCCTTCCCCCCAGAGACCGTACTGAAAAACTTGGAATCCTGTCCTACGGCCTTTTGGTGGGACGAACGGATCTGAGATCGGTGGTTCATCCGGTTCTTCTTCTCTTGAGCCGCTTTCGCTCGGTGTGTGCTAGCGGCGGAAGAGGTGCTAGGTGAGGCATTGTCGATCTTGCCTTTGGCGGCGTTTTTAAGGGATGATTTTGTGGCATGGCGGGATTTGAAACCTTTGTTTTTCTGTTTCCATACACACGAATCGAATTAGGTTAGAAGATGGATCAGATGGAAAGAGGCGAGAGATAGAGCGTAATCTGCGAGCGAGATCGGGCTGGACATGGACTTGCCTGTTTCAACGTCGGTCGATGGCTGTGTCCGGACATGATTGCTAAGGCTCTAGATGTATAACGACCCCTTGAGTTCGACAACAAGCTGAGGTTTACCGGTTTGATCAAGATGACGATGGCCATGTCGAAGAGGTCGAGATCATGAACAACGAACCATCAGCCCCTCACAAACACTCGAATTTCCACATTTTGCATCCGGAAGCTTCGGATGAAAATCACGTGACACGGTCGTCGTCGTCGTCGTACTATAACAGCCTTGATACCCTGAATTCATCGAGAACAGTCAAGGCGCAGGTCTTTACCTTGCACTTTGAGCATCTGGCATTGCCTGATGATTTGAAATACCCAGCGCAAGGAGGTGTCCGCACCGATCTTCACACCATTCCGATCAATCGTGGAAATTTTGGGAGTGCAGAATTAACTAGACCATCGTGTATCATCAAGAGCAGACAGAGCGTTTCAACCCCGCCAGTAGCTAGTCGATCAATGTTATAGTCATAGCAGTCTGTATCTAGTATTTCGAAACATCGGTCCAGACGGGCCATCTTTCCTCGGCTCCAACTCTCCTAGATTGATGGTAATTTTTGACAGACATATACAACGATTCCACAGGACTACCATCGACAGTTCGTGCTCGAGGTACGAGCATCAAGTAGCCTAACAACTTCCACTCACTCAGATCTATTCGCTCGCCTTGGCATTAGGATCGATAGGTCGCGGTCCAGTCACCCAATCAATCTCGCTCCTACCCAGGGTCATCCTGACATCCTTCGCTTCGACGACCATCACCTGCGGCAACTCCGGATTGAACAAACTCAAGTTAAAAAAAATTGGTAGGGAATCCATGTCTAAACCCCGTGGCTCGGTCGATAGCGTCCATTTCCCCCTGGGTGAGCGTGAGGCGGACCCCAGGGAGGTTGTCCAGCAGGTGAGAGACCTTTCTGCACCCGATGATCGGGAAGACGTAAGGAGCTTTCTGCATCACGTAGGCCAGTGCCATATGGAGGATCGTAGTTGATCCTTCCCGCTTCGCCGCGAGATCCTCGAGCACCCCAGAGATCCTCTTATCATGCTCGTCGAGCGGGATAAAATTCCTCCCCCTCTTTAGACCTCTCACGCTCTCGGAACCCTTCCCGGGTCTGGAACCGCCCTTGATTGAGCACACCACAGGGGGCCAAGGCCATCCCTTCGTTTAAGACCATAGGGATGATCTCCCGTTCAAAGTCCCTCATGGCGGCGTTCCACATGCCTTGATACACGCTGAATTGCCGTAAGCCATGATCCCGCGCATATTGGTTGGCCTTGGAGACGACCCACGCGGGAGTATCAGAGATCCCTAGGTACATGACCTTGCCCGCAGCGACGAGATCGTCCAAACCGTGCATGAGCTCCGGAATAGAAGTCGTATAATCCCAAATGTGTAGGTAAAAGAGGTCGATATAACTCGTTCTCAGGCGTTTCAACGAGTTTTCCAGCGATCGCTTCATGGATTTCGTACCGTTCCCCGTATAGTTGGCGGTGATATCGCCCGTTGCTTTGGGTAGGTAGTTGTTAGTGTATTTGGTGGCCAGGACGAGCTGATCTCGGTTACCTCTAGATGACATCCATTCTCCTATCTATTCTTCCCCTTCGCCGTCCCGGTACCTTCAATAATGAAATATACAACATGCAAATATCCAAGCGAAGCACTAGTATGCGACATCACCCCCCAAAGCCCCCTGGGTAAAAACTCACACATTGGCGGTATCCAAAAAATTCCCACCCTTCTCTACGAACGTATCCAAGATCTCAAAACTGGTAGCCTTGTCGCAGTTCCCGTACCTCTCCGAATGGGCCTCTCCGAACGTCATCGTCCCTAGACAGATAGGCGAGACCATGACGGAAGCGGTCGGGATCTGGCGGTATCGCGCGAGAGGTGACATATGATGGTTTATTTCGATGGTCGTGTCTGTAATAGTCAATGTGTTGATCTCGTTTCTTGGGGGCTACTGTAAGAGTCGTACAGTAGTATGTCTCGTCTTGCTGTAACCAACCGAATCGAATCGTGAATCCATGATCATCGCTCTATATCTCCATACCGGTCTCTGCCCAACGATAATCAACCACATACTCTGCGATCTATGATCTGGTGCGGCGCAGTCGGTCGTCAATCCGTCATTCTCGCACCAAGACGGCTACGTTTCCGCGTTTCACCTTGCCCACCTCCACCTCCACCTCTACAGTGTACCTCCACCTCCACCCACCCTGTACCTTGCTTCAAAAGTCTCGCCCCGCTTGGGTCTTGCAAGAAGGGAAATCAGCTGCAAGAATTGTGGATGATACGATCTATGCTAATCGAGTACGTCGAGGACGTGCTGGACAACCAAAGAGCGCCGCCAGGAAAGCGTTGGGAATCAGATACTCTCGTGTTTGCTGAAGCCTTGCGCTCGGCATTTCGATCGCGGCCGACGTGATCATACGAAGATTGCATCTACATTTCGTCCAGCGCGAATCGAACATCGGCGTGCTCCTCTAGATGATCCATCCAAGCTGTGAGGTACTTGGACCCTTGACTGACGGTCGACGAGTCGCCCACGACGCACTGTAGAAGCGCGGGTTAGTAACGCTGGAAGGGCTCCACATCAGGAGCCGGCTTACCAGTTGGCGCTTGGCCCTGGTCATGGCTACGTTGAGCCGTCGCTCTTCGGCCAAGAACCCGACTTCTCTCGTGGCATTACTTCGTACCAAGCTCAGGACGACCGCCTACAGCTCGGAGATGTAAGCCATGTGTAGTGCGCTCAGAGTCACGCCTTGATACTCACCTCTCTCTCCTGCCCCTGCATCCCATCGACTGACCCACAGACCAGATCAGGGAACTCTTCCCTCAACATCGAGGCGATGTGAGCGACTTGCGCTTGGTACGGCGTGATGATGGCGATCTCAGGTTCCGGTACACCAAGCGCGATCTGTCGACGCGGGCATGGCTTAGCAGAGATCAAAAGGCCGCGACGAAACCTCGTACTTACTAGCTTGCGGACCCATCTGGAGACGATTTCGGCCTCGTTCTCATTGTATCTTGACCCTTCGCCAACCTTTCCCTTTTGGACGGACCCGTCCTCACCGTCACCCTCGAGCCGTTCGTACATTTCCGAACCGGCCGTATCGAAGAATACGAGCGTAGGGGTGAGAGTATCCTGTGCGTCTTCGCTCGTCGGGTCCGTTATACTTGGCAGGTCGATCAGTCGTCTCTTCGCGACCGACTCATGGTTGACCAACTGGGAATTGTACAAGGCGTCTGAAGGAAAGGCGGATATCGTCTCGTTCATACTTTGACACGAGCAGTCTCAGTACGCCAATTTTTCCGCCCTGGATGTCAAGTACTCACCGGTACTGAACCGCCAGCAGCCGCTTGATTCCCGGACCGTAGATCCGTTCCAGCCGGTCGAAAAGCGTCGTCTCCAGGGTCCGAGGAGGGCGTAGCTCTGTCCGTCGTTTGTCTATCGTCGACCGACCTAGCGCATCCAAGATGTCTCCCATTTCGTCCACGTTGTCCTCCCCTAGGTTGACGACAACCTCCTTCTCTGTGCCGTTAGGATCACCTGACTGGTCTGGCAGCGGGATAGGCTTCAATTTGACCTTGGTCTGGGTCGACTTGTTATTTGCGCTGAGAATCGTGGGCGGTAGCTGCGAGATCGTCCGGGATCAACAAAACATCTTTAGTGCAAAACCGTATCGACCGGCCTACTTGTAACGGGTCACCGGCGAGGATGAGCTTTTTCGACTTTAATATCGGAATCCAGCAAACCTATTGGTGATTCAATGTCCCGGTCTTCGAATCAGTTGGAGCCGTCGGAACAACACGATTGATGGGACTCGGACTGACCGCCTCGACCGCTTGCGTAGCCTACGATACCTCGACGTTCACAATCAGCTCCACTACAAAACACCCGCGCACGGATCCCGACCACTCACCTCATCGATGATGCAGACATCAAAGTCCATATTGTTGATCTGTCGACTACCAGCTCCGTGACACGTAGACAGCACGACCTGTGTTATCATCACGGTCAGCCACCCGGGCTTCACACAGAGATTTCGAGCTCGTCTGGCACTGACCTGCGCACCGGCCACGACGTTCTTCACCACCTTGGCTTCTCTCGTCCGATACCTACGACATTCACAAAGAGATCAGACCGACGAAAAATCGCGCCAAGCCAGCCTGAGCCAAATCAGACGCGACTACCCACTCTTTACGCAACTCCCTGACCTCCTCCCAGACTTTCCCCCTCTCCTTCCCCCAGACGCGGCCCTTCTCCCCCTTGCCCTTTTGTAGAGTCTTCATGTTCCCCTCGAGCTCGCCCTTGACATCCCGGACCAAGTCGGCCTCTTCCGAGTGCGAGGCTTGGTAATCCAACGTTCGAGGGAGGAGCAAGGGGGAGATCCTTGCGGGATGTCCTAGTCGAAGCAGCGTTTTGGGTGGGAAGAGGGGAGAGAGGCGGGTGAGGAGATTGTCTAGCAGCCGCGCAATCGGCTTCTCGTCAGCATGTCGTGATACTTATTTAGCAGAGCAGCTGCGATCAACACACCGACAGCCAGATTCGACGCCCCGCATACCAAAACCCGTTTACCCTGTACCAATACCAACTGCCGGATGATCTCGACGAGCGTAAACGTCTTGCCCGTCTACATGCGTCCGTACCAGACCGACATCATTCCCAAAGAGATATCAGCCTCCCTGTCGCACCTAACAGTATCGTCACCCCACGTTCGAATGTAACACATCGACAGGGGGACTTGCAAGCTCACCCCGGGCGGACCATGTATACACCCAACCTCCTCCATCCCCAGCACAAACTCCACCGCCCTCTTCTGACTCTCATTCAAGGTCTCATCGAACCATTGCACTGGTTCCGTCTCCTCTTTCGGTCTCAAGGTCGGTTGTCTCAGTCCGAAGAGGACTTGAAGGAGCGGTGCGTTCTCAACAGAGTTGGAACTCGAAGGTAGTTGGCCGTAGGCGATGAATTCGGGAGCGAGTATCAGGCGGGCTAAGTGGCGCAGGGTGGATTCCATCCTGCGTACGAGTTGAACGGTACTGTATCAGCCGGGATTGCCCGATAGGGGTGTCTCTGGTCGCCGGATGACTTACCGATCGAACGTAGCGCTGTTGGCCAACTTCAACCTTGTTCAACCAGGACCACACCCAGAACCAGAATCAAATCGAAGGCGCAAGCGCAACCGTATTCCTTCTGATTAGCTCACATTCTCCTCTCTCCAACTAACTTCCCCTCTCCCCATCCTCTCTTCCGAAACCCCTTCGATCGCGATCGCGAAGAGAGCAAGCGAGGCAACAAACAGATGATAAAGACGACTCACAACCTCAACCGATCCCCCAACCCTCCTAACCCCCCTTCAGCCTCCCCGCCGGACGCCGACCCCGACTCGCTCAGGCTGAGTACGATCTTCTCGTTAGTCACCCTCGCGACGACGCCTTCTACGCCTGGCGAGTCTTTATCTTTATCCTTATCCCGTGCGCTCGATGTTGTCGAGCTGGACTTTCTTGACGAGGATGGGGCGGGTTCCAGACGAGCTGGATCTCCGGTCCTTTAGATTGAGATTTAGATGGTGGAGGTAGAGAAGACGCAGGAGAGAGAATGGTAGAGGGGGGGGGGAGACGAAAGCGTTCGCATCAGCTCGATCCCTACCCCGGTCACCCGAGCTCCAGCTCAAGTAGAGTGGAAAGGTAGTCCGGTGGCTTACCGAAACGTATGACTAGGCAAAATTGTCGAATTATGATGAGCTTGCGGGAGGTAGAGTTCGATCAACCTGGATGTTCGTCACCAGGAAGAAGAGCAAAAATGAAAAAGTACGGAGGATCAGTATTATAGAGATTATAGCAAACAGATAGCGAAATGATAGCAAAAAGTGGAAAGAAAAAGGTGGGAGGAACAGAGGAGAAAGCGGGGTCGGTACTAACGTCTTGCCCCCTAATCCGATGGACGTGCTCGATATCGAAAGACCTGCATACAACCAAGAATTCCGCATCCCGCTTACGATCAGCCTAACTACTCTTTCCCTCACTCGCTCTACCCTCAACCTGCAGATAAACAGGACTCACCTCCTATAGCCAACCCCCGCTTTTCCAACAACCTCGGCGAACAATTACTCGCCAACAAGCTCGTCTGGTCGATCTCTGCCTGTCTTTCCGCTGCGAGCAAGTGTAGCTGGCGAGTGAGGAATGCGTGTAGGGTGGATTGTGAGGGTGGGTGTGGGGTGTATAGCGGTGGTGGGGGAGGGGAGGGGGTCATCTTGGTCAGGCTATAGCTTGTCTGGAGGCTAAGGGTGACCCTTTGTATGTCCCGGATGATGATGTAGGATACGAGCCGGAATGAGAAGTTGCAAAGTCTATGATGATAAGTCTACCTCGAGCTACCTCTCTACTTCAAGGTCCTCACGATATAGCTTACGTCATACCAAATCTAGCGAAAACGCGTATCTTCCAGCTGAAGTTTAGCGTTCTTACGTCATTCCCTACTGAAATTCTAGCGATTCTGGCTGTATGTCCGCCTTTTCTCTAAAAGATGGTTTGATGTCCGTGTGCGAGTGATCGTTCTTTCGAATCAGACCGTCTGCATATCGTCACTGTCATGGTCAAGTCCCATCATCAAGTAGCTTTCACCAAGGTATAACATTTCAGTCTTGATCGATCGTACAGAGTCTCTTGGACATCTTCTTACTTCTCAAAAAAACATCAAGACCACTAGAAAGCAGTCTATCATGGCACGAGGAGCATCAGGCGCAGCGTCTTCCCGAGGACGAGGGTGAGCTCCATCTCACAGCCTACACAATTGACGATTCGATAAAGCGTTGCGTTGCTGATTGAGCATCTTGCCTTCTGGAATTCCATCTCCGCCCCTGTGCTTTTCCTACCGCATTCATCCTCGTTTCTTTCGTTTCGTAGCAAATTCAAGGTCTCACGAGGAGGAGGCCGTCATTTCTCCCGAGACGTCACTGCGATCGACCACGAGATGGAGACTCTCGGTCTCGAAGACGAGGGCTCCGACTCCAATAACGTCTCGGAAGAATCTGAAGAGGAATCTTCCGACGATGGCCTCGGCGGCGGCTCTTCTGCTAAACAACAACAACAAGAACCGGAGATGTCGAGGGCCGAGAGGAAAGCGCTCAAGAAGGCTCAGGGAGGGAAGAAGAAGGGTGGGGTTCCGGCTGTTGGGGATTTACCGGAGAATAGCGATGAGGAGAGTGAGGAGGAGCCGTTGAAGTTGCCGAATCCGAAGGATAAGAAGTTGGAACCTAGTAGGAGAGAGAGGTACGTGGTCGGTCTCTGCTCATCGCCACTTTCTTCTTGATCTTCCGATTCTCTTCTTCTGATTCTGACTCTTGCATTCTTTTTTCCCTCTCCTCTTTTGATCTCAAACGACCTCGCCTGCTCAAACCCGCTTCCTTCTCCACCCTCCACCTTTCACCTTCCACCTTTCACCCTCCTCCTTCCTCCTCCCTCCTACCTCAACTCTAATTCGAACGACGCACAGGGAAGAAGCCCAGAAAAAGGCCGCCGCCGAGCATTACCAAAAGATGCACGCCGCGGGCAAGACGGACCAGTTCAAAAAGGACATGGAGCGTCTGCAAGAGGTGAAACGACGTAGGGAACGGGAGGCTGCGGAGAGGAAGGCTAAAGAGGACGGTAAGTCGCGCCGGGTTTTTTTTTTTCGACTTCCATTGTTGGGGCGCCTAGCCTAGCCTAGCGTCTTGAAAGAGAGAGATGGGGGCTGATGATTCTCTTTGGAACTGGGTTTCGATTTTTCTGAATGTGGTACTGTGGGTAGAGGCCAAGAAGGAGGCCGAGGACAAGCGTCAAGCCAGGTTGGCGGGGAAACGATAAAACCCACCCGACCGATCTCGATTTCGACGACCCTACATTACCTACTTTTTCACTTTGTGTGTCTCGTACCCGTGTATAGCGGAGGTGTTTCTTGGCCCCTTTTCAGGGGGTAGATGTAATATCAATACAGTATGCGGGCTTTGAGGCCGGGACGAAGTAGTGAGGTGTTATGGCTCTCGTTGTGATCCCTTTGGCCTCGAGATGTAACTTACATGTGAATGTCGCACATGATTCGGAGTTGACCGATATCAAGCAGAAGAGCGCCAACATCGAGGTCGACCTCCGGGACTCTATACTACTGGTCTTTATTCGTCGTTGACTACTACATCTCTCTTCGACTGTAGCTCTGAGAGACACTCTACGTCAACCAGTTTCTAGCGGCCGACGAGGTGATTTAGAGAGAACACAGCACGAACTCGATAACGACCTGTCGACCCGTACCATGCTGTTTACCAAGCTGACTCTGGATACGCCGTAAGTGAGCCTCATCAACTTCTCATCTCGTGCCGTGTCCAATCATCAACGCCTCGCCCTGATCCGCTATACCTCGCTCTGTGTCATTTTAGCATCCTCATCGTAGGTGGAACGGGCACGATCGGCTCCAGCACGGCCCTCCACCTGCGTCGTCGAGGATATACCAACCTGAAGCTCATCGACTCTTACCCCTTCCCCAGCGGCGGGTCCGGTAACTCACAGTCGGCAGGAGGAAGTGATTTGAACAAGATCGTCGGGTATGCCGATGGTGGTGTAAGGGGGGAGTTGGCCGAGGAGACGATGAGAGGTTGGAGGGAGGATCCGGTTTTTAGAGAGCATTATTACGAGGTTGGGGAGGTGAGTCCAGACGTACCCATTTTCATGTTCATAAGATATACCGGGTGGCTGGCTCAACTCGTTCGATTCGGTCACAACGCACTGTAGCTCGCACTAGCTTCCCTCCTATCCAACATCGCCTCCCTCCGCTCCGAATACATCCACCACAAGACCTCTCCTTCAAACCACCCAGACCCGGATCCTCTGGAATGGCTCTCCACGCCATCCGATATCATCCATCGAGCACCACACCTAAAAGCTGAAAGTATTCAGGGATGGCAAGGTACTTATCGGCCCCGAGCTGGGTGGGCGGGAGCGATGGATGCGATTGATAGTGTAGGGGAAGAGTTGAAGAGGCTGGGTGGGGTGGAGATGGTCTTTGGCAGGCGAGTCTTACGTTCAACTTCATGTTCACATTTTCACGCCACACGCCATCACCAAAGTCGAACTTAGAGCTGATAAGACTCTCCACTATTATTACCTTACCCGATGTAACCCAAATCTTGCGCCGCATTGTTATGCCTCTTCGACAGCTCCGGCTCCTTCTCCCGCCCGCTCATAGACCCCCTAACGAGCCGGTGTATCGGCGTGATCGCCAAAGACGGGACTCGACATTTCGCAGAGCGGGTCGTCATGGCCACCGGAGCGTGGACGCCTAGCTTAGTTGATCTGGAGGGACAGTGTGTTTCCAAGGCGAGTACGGTTCTGGTATCTACAGATGACGTGACATGACGCGACAGCCATGCTGATCTGGCAAATTGGTGATCGGGCGGGAACAGTGCTGGATCGTAGCTCATCTAGAATTGACGGACGCAGAAGCCGCGCGGTATAGAGGCATCCCAGTGGTTTACAACGAAGAGGTCGTGAGTCGCCCTCTTTTCCCCTTCTGCCTCTTCCTCCCCCCCCCCCCTAGACGCCTCCGATAGCCTATATGATATCATTTTCTATCCTTCTTTCCGGCCGACTTACCTCCCTCTCTCTCTCTCTCTTTGTGGAACGATCGCAGGGCTTCCTCTTCGAACCCCGTTACGTCCTCGACCCTTCCACAGGCACCTCTCGCTGGATAATCAAGCTGTGCGACGAGTTCCCCGGGTATACACGGTACTTGCCCGCCCGGCCCTTCAGGCCCGGTTCGGATAAGAAACACGAATCCATCGAAGTCTCGGTGCCGAGGTCTCATTCGGATCATCCGACGGATACAGTTCCTGATGAGGGGATGGAGAGGTTACGCAGGGTTGTCGAGGTCATGTTACCAGAGTTTAGGGAGAGGGAGTTTGTCAAGAGTTATTGTTGTTGGTGTACAGGTACGTATCGTCCCGCCCGCACTCTTCACATCTTCTTCGATCGCTGATTGTTCGAGTCGTACCGTGTTCATTCTCGTGGTGTGCGGTCTGTGACTGTGATCACAGACACCGACGACGCGGAATGGCTCTTCTGCGAACACCCGTCTTGTCCCGGATTGTTTTTGGCTACAGGGGACAGTGGGCACTCGTTCACCTCGTTACCTGTCGTCGGCGGACAAGTGGCCGACTTGCTCGAAGGCAAGGTGAGAGACTCCCTTTCCACCTACATCTCACACGCAACCTCACATAAGCCAATACATTGAAATCATCTTTCGACGCTAATAGATGTCACCCGAACGCATGGAACGACTCGGTTGGAGGCCCGGTCGAGGAGACCCGGATCATACCGGTCGAGGAGGTCCGCCGGCAAAGGATCTGGGTGATCTTCCCGGTTGGGCTCATGGTGACGATCCAAAGGAGGTATGACCCGTTGAAATCGCGTAGGCGAGTCGTAGCAATATTTGGCAGTATAGCTTGGTGCCTTTGAGAATGTTGTTTAGTTTGGGTGACAAAGGATGGAATACAGCAGAAGGCAACATCTTGCCGGAACACAATGGTCGACTTGACTGCTTTAGGTGAACAAAAAGGCATGGAGGGCGACGCGCGCGCGCAGCGTGTTTCTCAACTCTTTTCTATTGTTGTTCCCGCGTTTCAGGTTGGGACGATGGCGACCTCTTTGTCCGCGCATGAAGAACAATGAGCGCAGGAGTCGTTGCCTGGTGGGATACATATACCAAAAGCCTCGACACCGATATCATTTGTGTATCTTCCAGGTCGCCCTTCCACCGCATCGAGACCGATTATACAAAATTTGACGTTAACCACGACGACGACGACGACGACGACGACGACGCGCACACGATGAGCTATTCCGACCTCGACGCCGCAGCGTTTTACCAAGCCGCCTTTACCGACGACAACCACGACAACAACGACACCATCGAATCGCCCCGCTTGCCTCTTCTCAAAAAATCTCCACGTACACGAGGACTCGATCTGAAGATGTCCCAACAACCGTTGATGATCCAAGTCAGACCTCTGGATCTGAGACGGAAGGGAGCGAGTGGGGGTGGGTATCAGAGGATCTCGATGAAGCCAAGTGAGTTGGTTCTTAAGAAAATCGTATAGTGCTTCATACTGATGTCGGGCTCCGAAACGCGAACTCGTAGGTATCCAATCCGGCTCAATCCCAGATTCAGCTTCCACGAAACACCTCAGCCCTCCCATCGAGGACGAACCCGCCACCTCTTGTCTTACCGACGATCCTACGAGCTCGCTCTCCCTCGGCCCTCAACGATCGCCATTCAATACGACACCCTTATCCCTCAGCTTGGACGCGGTCGGCCAACATTTCCTAGGCATGACCTTATCCTCTGCCGGTCATCCTCGTCTTGATAGTTATAACCCTCCGACCGAGAAGGACAAGGACCAGAGTTTCGTCCCCATCTCCTCCGTCAAACCACTCCGACCCCACCGCCCGTCTTTCCACCAGACGTCTACTTCGACTTCAACTTCAACTTCGTCCCCGTTGGATTTCAGGTCATATTCTCATGCCTTTGACTATTGCAACGACGATGTCAGACCCGGTTTGAGTCCGCCCATCACACCGTTTGCCACGGGAAACGAGTCGGCTTCGTCTTCATCGAGGATGATGACTCCGAGGTCGATGTCTTCACCTCTTCTTCCTCCGAGACGGGGGTCTGATTTCGGCCCGACTACCACTACCACTACCAGCACCGGCACCGGCACGAACAACCCCATCAAACCCGCTCCTATTTCCTCTCGAACCCCAAACCTGAACCCGAACGCCCTACCTATCCCTATACCTATCCCGACGAAAGCTTCAGAAACCCTAGGCGCGTTGACGCTCGACGAGACGTACCTCGACGAACGTCCTATGACCCCCTTGAGGGCGGGGGCAAAGGCGTTGGCGTTATTAGGAGGGTTGGAAGACTTGAATTTGAATGCGTCCATCGGAGGGATCGGGGGGATGGGAGGGAAGAAAGGTTTTATAGGAAATAGGGGAAGGAAGGAGTATTCGCTCGTTGGGTGAGTCACTTTGTGTCCCTTTCATAGGATGTTAATTTTGCGTGAGAGTTCCTTTGTACTAATTCAATACCCGGGGTTGTTCTTATTACGCTCGTCAGGTCCAACTCGAAGGCGGACTCGAACTCGAAAGACAAGGGTCCTGACACCAATGAGAACCAGAACAAGTTCCCGATGTATTCGCTCAAGGGAAAGAACCGCAAGGTCGCTCCGGCTGCCGCTCCTCCCTCGACATTCGCCTCTCCATCCGCCCGCCCATCTCTTGACGCCGATGAGAAGGTCATCGGCGTCCTCCCCTTGCCCCGAAAATTCGACTCTCCACTCTCACGCTCCCGTTGTCCCTCACCGGACACCCAATCCGAACGGTCCTTTGAGGATCAAACCCACGCTAGGCGAAGCGCCGAGTCTCTCTTGGACGACGTCGTCATCGTCGGGCAAGACGGCCACCGTTCGAGCGGTGATCACGATCACGAACGATCGGAATACGAAGTCAAAATGGGAATGGTCGATCTGAACGTCAAATCGATCCCTCGTAAAAAGATCGCTTCGTCCGATATGGCCTTTCTCGCCTCTGATCCTTATGCTCGAAGACGAGATCGAGGACCATCCCCGGTGACCGCTCAGAAGCGTCGTCCGCCGCCCTTGGCTTTGACTTTGTCGAACGGCAAGACGACGTCGATGCCGGACCGGATTCCCCAAAGCCACCAGCAGCGAGAACATCAGCGACAGCAACAACAACAAGTCCGACTCGCTCCGGAACATATTCGCCAGAACGATCTCGTGCACCGTCTTCCCGCCCGGATCAGCAGTCTCCCCTTTACTCCCTTCACTCGACCTCGTACCGCCCCTGCCCCGCCTAAAATCGGTAGGAGCAGCTCGGAGTCGATCACCCGCCCGTTGTTCGACAACGATCTCCCCGTCGACGTCTCCACCACTTCCGAGCCCAACGAGATCGTCGTCGTACAAGACCCCCACCGGAAAGGTCGGTCGTTTTTCATCGAGGACGAGTCGCCGACACAAGGCACGTTTGGAATGTCGCTCGCCAAGAAGATCACTTTGAAGGGGATGGGAGAGAGCTGGAAGAAGGCGGTTGCCAATCGGGTCTGATGGAATGGTCTGCATGATTATGATGATGATGATGATAAGGACAAGGTAGTTTTCTTTTCCGGTTTGCCAGCGAGTCGACAACTTGTAGCATGTAAAGAGCCTATCTATGCGAATAATATACCCTGCGATACCTCTCGATGCTTGCTATGTTGGCAAAAAGTTGGCCCTATAACATTCCAACCTTTCGTGAGCCCAAATACCACCGAAAAAAGAAACCTCGCTCCTAGACACTCACGCATCGCCATACATCTCCTCGGTCGTCTTCTTGAACACCATGATCCCCGCGAAAACAGCCGAGACGAACACCAGCGAACTAAACGTCGTCCAGAACAAGAACCACATCGACGCCGGCCATCCGAGGAGTTCTTGGAATTGTGTACAGTCCGAGCAATTCATCTTGTCAAAGAAGCGTTCGTCTGTATAATCCCAGACGACGTAGAAGAGGTGCATTACGCCTGTTTTGGCGAGTGGGGTTAGCCATTTCGTAAAGTGAGAAAGGACGAATATGCGCTTACCGTTTAGCAAAACTACCAAGGTTTTCAAGAGCGAGATTATCAGCAGCAGACTTCCAGACACCAATCCGTCGATTACCGCACTAACCGAAATACCGCAGCGCGTTCCCATGATCGCCGAACCACAACCCGATCATGATCCCTTCCATCGCCGCGATACTCAAGAACGCACTATCGCCGTACACCGATCACATCAACCAAGCCTCAGCCCCGCAACACTCTGCCTCTTTTCGAGAGCGATAGGGACTCACACAAGGGAATCGACCCGGACGGCTGGGACGAGCAATCCGATTCCGATCACGAACGAGGCGATCTTACTAGCGACGATGTCAACTATCACATCAAGACATGTATTATCGATCAGCATCTGTAGCGGGGAGATGAAGCGAGCTATGTACGCTTACACGCTGCAAACTATGTGAGACGAACGACAGATCCATCACTCGTGTATGCTCTCAATTGAGTCGGGGCAGAGATGATCACTCACGATGAATAAGAACCCCACAATCGCGCTCCCAACATACCCAGCTGCTAACGTCGCAGCCGCTTTCCAACTCCAAAAGGCCTGTCATACATCACCCACACGTGCGGCGCAGAAACAATACACCTCATCAGCATCTCATTGTCTTTCAAGGTGCGATAATGCAATGAACAGGATAAACATGAATACTGACCTGAGCTGGCGTCCGGAACATCGCCTCGTGCGGATTCGTAGGCGGTCTCGGTGTAGCGCGGAGCAGACGGTCGATCTTGGTCTCTCCGCCCAAGTTCGGGTCCTGCAGTTCCGATCATAGTTCCGTAGTCAATAACGATCAGAAGAAAAGCAAGAATCGGTACGGTGTCAGCGAGCGTTCAGCCTCGTTTTTGAACCTCGATCGCGCAAGTCGGGATAGGTAGGACGAAAGCAGACCGATAGGGATCAAGAAGCGACCAGAAAGAGAGATCTCTTGACTTACGATACAAATCGAGATGATCTCCCCTCCCACGACGAGCCCTACCAGCATGTGCCACATTTCGTGTACGGCCACGGTGAATAGCTGCGCCGTCGAGGAAACGCAATGCATTGCAAATGTAAACGAGTTTGAGTAAGGCAATAGAGATGTCGGTAGTATCAGCGTTCGTTCTTCTCATACGTCACAGTCTCCACGGAACAGCCTCGATGTAGAAGGGTAAAGATTGAAAGGAAGGCGAGGAAAAGAGTTAGGACTGACCTTCAGCCCAGCGATAAGATCCCTCAAGAACGGCATGTGCCACAAGAAGAAGATCCCAAAGAACATCTGTTCCGTCCCATCGTGTTCGGATGCAATTGCGATACAGATGAAATGTCAGAGGTAGTGATAGACGTAGAGGTCGATGTAAATGTGAATGTAGATGTCGATGTCGATGTAGGTGTAGGTGTAGGTGTAGTTGTAAATTTCAATTGTATTTGTGATAGTGGTTCATGCCAAAGCGAATCAGGTGGCGATAAGAAGTAAATAGCGACAAGTAGATTAGCTCAAAGTCGTCGCAAGGAGTACCACGTAAGAAGGTATACGAGGAGGGAGAGAAGAGACTTACTATACAGGCCGCTATGATCGTGTACGTCTCTACGCAAAACCAAAAACATCAACAACAAGAATAAAACCGGGCATTAGCTCATTAACGCATGATTTGAGTATACAGTACGTCGTTTCCGTAATCAGATGATGGGATCGGCGGTTAAGATGAGAGGAAGATACCGTCTCCTTCTAAGATGGGGATGAAGATGAAGACGAGGACGGTAGACTAGGTGCTTACGGAACGAATTCGGTCTAGAGCTCGCCCGCTTGACCAACTCATGCAGAACCACCTTGGAAGTCTCTTCTCCTATCTCTGGCTCTTGTAATCTCTTCACCAGCACTTCCACCATCGTCTCCATCGTCTCTGCCGTCAATCCCTTCGGATTTGCGATCGTCGTTGATATCGATGTGGTGTAATTCATAGTTCTCCTCGTGAACTAGGTGGTGACGGAGATGAAAATCGATGAGATATCGGTTGATGCCAGTTGGATCTGAGGTTGTGAATGGGGATCGGATATGCCGAGCCTGGGTATATAAGTCCGCCTTATGAGAGGTCCTTTCGACGAGATGGTTGATGGTTGGGTCGAAGAGGATCCCTTCGGCCGTTGAAAGGAAGGGTCGACCTTGATGTCGAAGGTACTTTCACTGAGGCTTTTGATGCTTGATACGAGTATACAGTTTGGGGTATCGGAAGGTTGAACATTCAATATGATGTCGAGTGGCGAGTGGAAGAGATTCAAGGTCGATGATTTTGTTGTTGTCAATCTGTTGTTGGATCTAGGATCTGTCGTTGTTTGTTTTGATTTGATCGCGATCCCGCGCAAGCAAAAAAGATGAAACACGGGGAAAGGATGAGGTTTGATGCCATCATCATCATCGCGTCCAGGTCATCCCCGATCCGACACTGCAAACCTCAACCTTCCAACGACGATCTGCCTGTCAGACTTCGTATCCCTCCGAAATCAGAGGCATGAAGGACAGGTTCATGTCTGCACAGATCGAGACCCGTCGGCCGATAAGAGCCTGTGATCTGAGGTGATTTTCGTTGCACGTCACGTGATCGCATGAAGCCAGAGTCCAATGCAGACCGACGGGCGATCCATCGAAACTCGAGGTCCGACCATCTGACCCCGAATCTCTCGTAAGTCCTATCGTCCATATATCCATGGACGCAGCAGCGGTACTCGATCAATACGATGTTCGAAGCGGGGCACTCGAGCTCGACGAGACGTGCCTGAACAAGAACGTTTCGGATTCGCTGTGCTCATCGACTGTCGATGATGATCCCTCCCATTGTATGCTGCTATCCAGTCGACTTTGATCTTTCTACGAAGAACGAGGTTTCGAGGTTTCGAGGTTGACAACTAGCAACTAGCCGAGCCCTAAGCATCATCGGCCTCGTCCTGAACCCAAATAGGTATTGAACACGTGGCCCCTTCAAAAGACCTCAATCTTGAGAACCTGCCGTACAGGATCTTGACATGGACAGTAGAGCCCACTTTGGGTGACGGTGTGTGTTTCTTTTTGCGATACCGCAAGCGCAGAGCGATGACCGGATTGGCCGTAATTGGTTTCTGCCGGTTAATCCCATTCTTATCTTATCGATCGACTTGCGACATGACGCAAACCGAATACCAATTACATTACAAGACCGTGCGGCGAAAGTTTCGCCGACTTGGATCCCTTTAACAGCGTTCTACAATATATAGTATAGAGAGTTGAAATCTTTCAATCAAGTCAACCTTTGTGCAATCCATCAGTAATGTATCACTTTGTCGTCCTACACTATTCATTACCATCTGGATGGGGGAAATCTCCGGGTTCAAGATTGATAGGGACGGCCCTCTGACAGGCCTCCTGGTTGAGACTGTGACTGTGAGTACTAGTGCAAAGCTCATCGTTCCATGCAGACAAGACCTTCTTTTTCTTCCTTTAAGACCCTACTTGACTGACACTTTGCCACGATTCGTAATGAACTGATTTTGAAGTCGAGATGCCATATAAAAGGCATGGCGTAAAATTGTCTGGGTACCTGGGTGAGATTCGATGTAAGCTTGAATGGGCTGCGAGCTTTTCGTGTTGAGATGGAGGACTGGGCCGATATTGAGGTCGTCGAGCGGTTCCATTCCCAGACAGGACCAGAATTGTCGTTGATTCCACTCCCTGTCTGGAGCGGTCCTTTGCCTCTCGATCGTTACTGGTGGTCTCCCATATGTGGCTCCGGGAGGAAATCTTTGACGACATCCGCAAGGAAAACAAGGTTACCTTGGCTGAACACGATACTTGAAACAAGTGGCGTTCTCTGGCTAATGCGGCGTAGAATAGGGTAAAGAGGAGGACGTCATCAAAGTAATCGGGAAGAAGCGGTCGGAGCACGACCCTAGAACCCGTTACACATCGAACCAGTATAAAGCGAGTTTGCTAGCTCAAGCCTACAACCCTAAAACCGGTCCCCAGTGAGCTGGTCGGCAGGATCGGTCAGCCTCTCTCTAAGCAGCAGGAGCACTCGAGTGACGGGAACTCTCAAAACCGGGCGCGATCAGATTTGCGCCCTGGATCAGTTATGGGGGTCAAAGTAGCCTGTCGACCTGAACGTCTGAAGAACCTATTCGAACGATCCATCGCCAACCACCATTGCGTAGACTCCCGCACAGTCCCTACTGCGCTCAAGGGGTTCTGAGTGTCAAGCGCCTATTGTGAACTACAGACGAGTCACTATACTGGCAACCCTGAGCCCTGAGATCATCCGCAAGCCTTCAGCCAAGGCGATTGCCTTTTGAGTTTCCTGTTCTCATATAGACATGCTCAAGTCGGCGTGTCAAGCCCTGCAAACTATGAAATTAGCTGAAGAGCAATATCCAGGTTAGAATGCAACTCGCCGCATCTAGACTGGTGGGTGATTCTGCGTCCGGGCCATCACAAACTTTCCTAGACATGATTGGCCAGTTCAAGGATATTCCCAAGGAACCCCAGAGCCTTGTCAAGTACGGTCTTCCCGACCACCTGGATGAACTCCCCCGCTTCGTTCCCAGCGTAGCCCTCCACGTTCTCCAACATTTGGGGCCCGACAGAGACGGCAAGGTCAAGCGTCTCCCAATGCGAGGAAAGGGTACTGCAATCATGGACATACAATTGCCGGGACGATGGAACCACTAAGCTCCAGTTCTGTTTTTCCCATGCACGGCAAGTGTCGCTCTGTCCCGGTTTGGGACTGTCTGACATGTACCAGACTCTGTGAAAGGCTCCCGAGTTTCACCCCGGTCGCAAGGGACTTGAGTCACCAAACAATGCGGGCCCATAAACTCGCTGACAAGGTGTCGCCAATACGACAACAGGCAATGCAAGGTATCCCATCATATTTCGACAACGGCATATGTACAGCAGACATACAAAAGGTCGTCGCATCTACAAACGAGTTTATGATACAGCAAAAGAGGAAGGCGCAGTTCGTGGTCGTAAGAGGTCGTTGCAGGAGATTTTGATGAGGACGCTCAAGCCACGAGGCCGAGCGGGAGTTGCCGCTGCGAAAGCGAGATGCCTTCCAGACTGGTACTGAGCTCGTTGGCATGCGCATCGTTTCCTCCGGTCCGCATGGCTCGTCCGACGATGCCAATATAGTTGCTGGAATGGCTAAAGCTCTGACTGCGGGGAAAGTCTCCTCCCTCGTCGTCTTCCGTCTCGGTCTCGGTCGAGGTCCCAAATTCGTCATCGTCATCCTCGTCCTCGGTCTGGACGGCGACCTCGTCCCAGTTTCGGTAAAACGTCTCGACAAACGTCCGAGCTCGAGGCAGGTCGTACGGATCAAAGGGGAAGAACGAGTCCAGGCTGGTCTCTGACAAGCTCTGCCGACCGATGAGCGGCAGGACCTGGGTGACGTCCGAGCTACCGAGGTTTTCCAGCGAGATCGAATGAGCGACGTGTGTGGATTCGAGCGCGCTACGGTTGGCGGTGATGACCGAGTAGCAGAACATGAACTTGGTCGTATGGGCGATCTTGGCAAACATGTCGACGACGATAGGGTAACAGGCCTACGGAACGACGAGCGTTAGCTCGAAAAGTGGAAACTGTATCCATAGACGCAGAAACTGACCATCAACGGGTTGAGCTGCGAAAAGACGGCCTTTTGAAGCACGTCCATGTCGGCCATCCATCCGCTCTGTTCCGCCGATTCCGAACCCTCGACGTCGTCCATCTCCATCTCATCCGCCATCGTCTCTTCCCCCGCAGCTGCCGACTGGAGAGCTCTCCAGCGGAAACAGAATATCATCATCACCGCCTGACAGACGGTATAAAACACCATAAGCCCACCCGAAGCTGCCACGGCCATCGGGTCCGACCGGGCTTCGGCGAGGATCCCATCGATGTAGGCGGTCAGGTATTGGACGACCGTACGGACTTGATCGTCGTCAATGTATTTGGCTCGACTGACAAAACTGGCAATGTAGCTCGCTGCTGCGACCCGGTTGACGGCGGGTTGAGTGGTCTCGTACAGCGCACGGGAGACGAGCAGGCCGAGGAAGAGGTCCGTATAGCCCGAATCGAGGGAACAACACCAGAAGACGATGAACTGGGCGCGTCGGCATTGAAAGGTAGGCAAGACGAGCCGATCAAAGATGGAGAGTAGCGTTTGAAAGTGAGCCAATCGGTTGTCCGGGTTGGTATAGCTCCGATGGAAGGGCAACGAGGGAGGTGCGACCGAGCTCAAGGACGACAAGTTTTGGCTACCCTTCGTCTTGCCGGCAAAGATCCTCTCGAGGTGTTTCAAAAACAGAGTCGACAACGCGTCCACCTTGCTCCTCAGGACGTGTAACCGTCGATACCGCTTCTCATCCAGCTCCGTCGGCTCCCCAGCCCCGTTATTCGAATCCCCATCGAGGGACTCTTCATCGGAAGACAAGTCTTCCAAATCCACACCTTCTTCGTCGGAATCGTCATCCGAGTCGTCGGTATCGTCTGGCCGATTGTAGGCTTCGGAGACTAGACGGTCGAGAGGGTCCGTGATCCCTGTCAGTCCGGTCGGAGTGGATACGGATATGGACGTAGGGATCTCTCTGGCGGCGGAGACGTCGTCCTCGTCGAGATCTTCCAGTTCGATCTGGATCTCGACCTGCGGAAGAGCAACAAGGTGACGATTCTGAGCTCCAAAGTTCACGCCGGGCCGTGAAAGGAGGACTCACATCCAACCTGATCAACCGATCCATAATCCCCTCCCAAACCCTGCCCGCAACCTCCGGACACCCTTCTACCAACCCCAATATATTCCTCACATACGTCTCCATAACCAACTCGTTCTCCCTCTTGTAGGGGAAATTTTTTATTAGACAAGGACCGAGGATGGAGGGAAGAGTGGGGATTAGGGAGAGGAGGTGCGAGATGAGGGAGAGGTGGCGGTGGTGGTAACTCCGGCGGGGGAGTGGGGGAGAGTTGGGGAGGGTTTTAAGGGAGGTTTCTAAGGGTTTATCAGGATTGAGATGTAGTTATAAAGCGATGGTTACCAAAGGAAGAGAGAGATAGAGAGAGAGAGAGAGGGATTGGGGATAAGCATAGGTAGAATAAAACGAAGATGATAATATGGAGGAGCTAGGATGTATAGGTATGAAAAGCGAGATTGAGACTGAAGACTCACGCCACGATAACCCCCTCACAGCCATCCCCACAACATCCCCCACCCACTCCGCCTTCGCACTACAAAGCACCCCTAAGAACCCCGTGTACACCCTCACAAACGTATCGTCCCCAGCGGAAGCCCAGGGGAGGTCGATAATAGCCTTGACGAGAGCGGAATGGGAAGCCGAGAGGAGAGTCAGGTTGGATGTAAGGGCTTGTAAGAGAGGTACGAGGGAGGTTAAGGCGGGGATGGGGGTGGTTGGGGAGGGGAGGAAGTGGGACAGAAATTCGAGGTAGGGGGTTTCGTTGCCCTGTTGTTGTAAGTTGTTGCCGATTGCCAGTTTTATCGCATCACCAGAATCAGAAGACGGGGAAGATACAGGATGAGCAGGGTTCGAGGAGCTGATACGAAGAGCAAAGCAGACGAGAGCAAACTCGCCTGAGAGACCCCACACAAGGCATCCTTGACAAACTCCTTGATCATCCCCCGTTTATACCCATCATCGACCAACCCCCTCCGTTCGGTATCCGACAACCGATTCACATCCCCCACGCTCTTGGTACGTCGAGGGGGTACGATCTTGCTAGCAGGAGAATCGTCTACTTGGTCTCGACCCCGCTTTTGACCGATGAGAGAGGTGGACTTTTGCATCTTCGGTGTAGCTGGTCGTGTGGAGGCGTCCGGGGAGATCCGGACACGCTTTTCTACGGGATCGAGCGCCATCGCCGGCGGGTTGAGAGGTTTGGTAGTATTACAGCGTTGAAGGGTAAGGTCTAGGAGAGAGACGTAGAGTGTCCTCGAGGTTTAAAGGTTGAACAAGATCGTTGTACAACTTTGACGTTTGCTGCTTCTCAACGAGGTCATCGCCTCACACGATCAAGAAATATCGAGTGGTCGATCACGCGCGGACATCGGAGAAACGAGTCGATGTCCGTGTTTCAGGATGATGAAACGCAACTGGTTCTCTTCGACATGATAGCTATCGACGAGACAGCTACACCTCAAACTTGTGAGAATCCCATAGCTCGCTGCTGTTCGTAGTTTCGAAACGACCTGCGCGAAATCCGGGGATCTGGACATTCCGCCAACATGACGAGAATCAGCGTGAAACGGACAAGCAGAGACTACCTCAGCGGGCGATGCGACCGAAAGTTGTCGTATTGACATATGAAAAAGGACGAGCATTGATATCCTTGAAGAGTCGAGAACTGTCAGCCGCAAATTGTGAATAACATCCGTACAGCGCAATCGACCCATCCAGACGGCGAGCGACGGGCACACACACACACACACATAAACGGAAGTATCAACAAGATACCAACGCTCGCTCGGCTACCGCCACAACGATTCGCCGGTTTCACGGGACTCATACTGTAACCGCGAGGATGCGGAACGTATACAGTAGAAATCTTATCGCTCGGCCGTACTGGTAGGCTTACTGTGACGCGAGCGCAGTCTTCGGAAACGGCTTACAGTCCTGCGCTGAACTACAAACTACAGTATCGTACGCTCAAGGGTGAAACACTGTAGACATCGTCCGCAGAGATTACGGTTAGAGATGGGCAACCTCGAACCTGAACCCCTGGTGTGCGAGCGAATGGACGGAGCCGTCTTTCCGTATAATGATACCGACAGTCACGATCGCCGGCTAGGCGAGATGGTATGGCATTTCGTGGCTGGACGGGATCGTCAAGCTCGAAAGTGGAAAGCGACTTTCTGCGACTGGCTGTCGAGAGGAATGTATTCGTAGGACCTAAATACCAGCAGGTGATATATACTGAGGCCGCTCAAGACGTACGACGCTGACTGCATCGTGCTTCAAAGGCTATAGATCTGGGTCATGATGTTGTCCTATACTTCGCTGGCGTATTATTTCTAGGCGCGATCGGTACGTGGCGACGAGATGCAAATCGTCTTCAGGGTGTGGACACTGACGTTCGCAAGGTTTGCGACGGAGTAATTGGGCTTCATCGTGTCTAAATTCGAGACCTCAAAAACTTAGTACCACGTCCAACTTCGATCTCGCTTATAGTACATACACAATTACAGACAAAAGGAGTAAAGTGTACAAGCGCCCTGTGATTGGCTACTAGTTGCCATCATCACTCTCTGCTATAGTACTCGTGTCGCCGCCGGCTAGGGACGGGACGTCATCTTCATTCAAAACGGCAAGATAGGTGGGCAGGGGTTCGTCTTCAGGCCAGTAATGCGGATCTTTCCATCTGACCTCTAGTTCCTGATTGCCCCTGTCCCCCACGATCGTTCCCGGTCGAATAACATCGACAAACTCGAGCAGGTTTTTCTTGGCAATTGTGCACAACCTTTCACAACAAAATAATTTCATCTGCCAACGCTCCTTCTCTGCAGCTGGGAGTTCCTTCCCTCTAATTACCCAGTTTTGTGTAAGCAGGTGGTAATAGGTCGCCCAAGCAGTCCACAGCTTGTGCAGGGTGTCCCCGCTGGCAGCCGAAAGGAATTTCAGCTCTCCCGTGGGCCGTGAAAGCAATGCCCCGTTGTTGTACATGATCACCATCCAAGTCGGATTCCCTACTAGGACCAGCAGAGCCTCTTCAAACTTGGCCAAAGCGTCTGCGAACGGTTGTTGACAATTGTCATTCCAGTCTTTTTTAGTAGCCTTGTTGTCAAACTTGACCAACTTGCTTGGCCCTCCCATGTATTTCCAGACGGCACTCAAACTCGTGAACTTCTTTTCCAATTGGTAATCCTCGTCGGCGGCCGGATAGAACTTCAAGGGTTTCCCGTCTTGACCGAACATAGTCTTCAGGGAGACCTCACTTGCACTTCCCAGGCTTCTAGAAGCTTGGGAAGCGGATTGTCCACCAGTCAAACCGCTATTTGTCTGAATGGTTGGATCAGCAACAGATGAGCTATTGCCCGTGTGAACGAAGGAAGAAGGCGGAAGAGACATGGTGAAGTGGTTGTGTTGGGCAAGTTGGGTGAGGAAAGTGATAGTAAGTGAAATCTATTGAGATACGCCAAAAGCGGTGGGTATTTGGCGGAAAACAGGACGCCTTATATCTCGATTCGATGCTACCAACTTGCCAAAGACTGAGAACCCTAACCTTCCTTTCATGTCGATCACATCATCGTTTGAGGTCACCTGACTTGGTTGCGCGATATCATGTGATCAATCAAACAAGTATCAAGGCGAGTAGGCATACATGCGCATCGAGCAAATAGGTCGGTAGTCAATGTTTCAGGGAGATTAAAGGTAGCGAGATACTCCACCACTATCGGCAAAACAGCTACGATTTAAAGGCTTGATAGTCTAGACGCAGCCTTCATTCGATCGCAGAAATTGTAGTGCCTTGCTGCCGTTTGATTGCGTTGTGATCATTCAGTGGAAACGGTTTAGACCTCTGATCGAGATTGTACCCTCATTTGCCAACAGGGAATGTGATAGGGGCAATACTATACCCTTGGGGAAATGGCGCAATCAACGGCTGCGCTTCCATATCAGCTGTCACAGTTTCTGACAGGGCCATAAATATGGAAGACTTCGTCTCCACACCACCCTGACGATAGACGAGTAGTGCGCATATAGGTCATAGGCACGGCGAGATAGTCATACAGGGAGGTATGAAGCGCATCTCACATCTTGCTCTCAAGATTGTATATTGGTATCGCTAGCCTTTACATCTTCGCTCAAGGCAACCCGTCTACAGCACGATCGACGAGGACAGTCTTCACCAACACATTGTCGACCTGAGAGCTGGCGCAATTTTGACCCAAAACCAGACCAGATTATATATTGGACATCGTTCATATGATTCGAAATTCTGGAAGACAGGGGTACAAGGGAAAGGTAGAAAAATGCCTTGCCTACTCAATCTTCTCCAGAGTCAGAGTCAACTACAGTGGATCCGTCATCGACAAGGGGTGGGGCAACACTTGCATCCGGGGGAATGCCCTTGGGAAGCCAAGAGCCAGTCCAAGTGACGGCACCTCCGAGTTCGACTTCAGTCCTAGCGACGAGGGTGCCTTCCGCTATGGCGTTGATAACTTCAATGAGGATATTCCTGGCACACCACATCAACTTTCGGTAGCCATCACATCTCTTCAACCATATTGGCTTATGCTCCTCGGGTACTTCGTCCTTAGAAGCTTCCCCGCGGGCTTGGTTGTACGGATCTTGCAAGCCACCTAAGGCTTGGAATGCATCCCAAAGCTTGGGATAAGCACCTTCGTCCTCTATCGAGATGCGCTGTTCGACTGCGTTCTTGGCAGTGACGGTGAGGTTGTTTTGAAGGCGGTACTTCAAATCAACTTGTGGTACAAAGAGTTCTTTGAAAGCAGCATCGAAGACTTTCACAGCGGCCAAAAACGACTGATGAAACCCGGCAAATCGAGTATTGTAGTTTTTGTCGGTGAATTTGACCTGATTCGTGACGTAAGTTGCGATTTGGGCCAAAGTAGGCTTTGTGGCCAGGACCTGTTCATCAGGCTGGTCGGGCTTGATCCAACCTTGTCTCTCTGACTGGGAGACGACACTTCCATCTGGATTCCTGAAGATAGCATCAGACCCTGACCTTGAGGTTCCCTGAGTCGTAACATGAGAGGGGTCGACGCCAGAGGCAGAGGAGGGATTGTTAGTGTTTATGGACGTTCGGAAAGACATGCCGAATCGCTCGTGTAGTGTTTGGTGGCAGTTTGGTTGGCAAATTATCCTTGTCAGCGAATCTTTTTACGATGTCGTCGGGGCGTCTGGCGGGAATTTGGCCGCCTTATATCTTGATCCAGATGCATGTGTTGGACTGAGAATCTTGAGCGTTCCTTTCATACCCGTCCCATCATCAGGACTCTTCACCTGACGTCGTGATTCACTTGTCACCTGATCAGGCGATGTTCCTTTCGCCAATCGATTTCAATCATGTCATCAACTCATTTACGATGGCAACATTACGTTCACAGGCTCGCAGCCCAACTTGGTATACAAACAGCGAATGACGAATAGATAACAGCAGGCGCAAGGCGTTCCTCGACATCTCCCCGACGATACCCGGGGGTCTCATCCCAACATCGGCATCTCCTGCCTGAACGGCTCGGTCTGCTCCCAGACCGCGTTGGCTCCGTGTCCACCGTCGTCAGCAGCCAAGAAACTGAGGAAATCGAACCCGCTCGCTGCCAGGTCCGTCTCGGCTCCCATCCCCGCGCCAGCTCCAGCACCTCCTCCGTGCATCATGTGCGTAGCAGGGGAACCGGCTAGGATGCTTCGTGGTGTGGCCATCCCGTCATCGCCACGTTCGCCGTTCAGACCACTAGCACCCGCGCCTCTCGATCCGCCTCGCAGCATCGATTCATCCCCAGTGTTCACGTTCGGGTAAGGGTAAGCCGGATGAGGCGATTCGCCTCGCGGTGGCGGTGACACGCTGTCCCTAGGAGTGTGTAGGAACGAGTTGCCTACGGCGGTCGAGTCCGAGGCTTTTGGGTAAGGGATCATCGGGTTCAGGAACAAGTTGTCCAGTAGCGAGATCTCGGTGGGGAGTTCCATCTTGGGTAACGGCGAGGGGAAGCCTTGCGATTGGAACGAGTGTCGCATGGCGGATTCGGCGCGAGCTCCCGCTGTCCCGATTCCCAGCCCCGGTCCGTCTGGCATCAACCGAGACGATGACGACGAATCGGCGTTGTTGTGGTTGTTGCCATTGCTCGCGCCGCCCCGATTGCTCGAGCTCGACGACTCGCTAAACGCCTGTTCGCCAGAGAGTCGTCGAAGGATGGCCGAGCTGAGCATCTCGAAAGTCCATCGGCAGGATCGAGCCGACGGTACCGACACTATCAATGCCAGAAAAGCTATCAGCATTATGTATCGAATTGTCATCTAGCTTTCTGCACCCACCTGAGAGCGCCTCGAGCACGCTGAGACAAGCCTGGATGTCGAGATGCGCTTCCATCAGGCTAGGCGCGACAGTGGAATCGCCGAGCATATTGATGTTCCACAGACCGTAAAGGTAGGTGATACCCGCCATGAACACGTAGTGGCTCTGTAGCCCGAGTCGGATCGTCTTTAGCAAGTTACGACAGTGTAGACCGAATGCGACCGCCACTCACCGACAGCCAGTACCAGTTGATCTTGTTCTTTCTCTGCAAGCTCTTGAAGATCCGGATAATGTAGCTCGACGACGAGAGGCAGGTGGCCAGCGCTTCTTGCGACGGTCGGGGACACGCCGGTGATGGGCGGAACAAGAGCAAGACCGTGTCTGTCGCATGGCACATGGCGATCAGTCCGTTATTCTAGCTGCAACACGCCTTTGTTGTCGCTGCTCACTGTGAAAGCTGACAGCGTACCCCTCGGTACTCTGAGTTCCCCTCGGCTCGGGACTATTCTGTAACCACTGTTTCAGCCTGTCAAACATGTCCATGAACCATTCGTGTGATGGCGGATCGAAACTCCGGACCGAGTAGAGGCGCGAGTAGATGGTGGATTGGAGTTCTCGGAGCGGGATGAAATTGAGCGAGACGACCTTGTACGGATCGGGTTCGGCGTGAAGGAGACCGTGGTTGGTGATGGCCGAGTCGGGGAGGTTCGAAAAGGCCTGCGAGACGTTGCGCGACAAGAAATCCGAGATTTAGTACTTCTTTCGTAAGTGATACATTGTGACCCTGAGCTCACCGGTACGCTGATAAAAGTATCAGGAATACTAGGCGGTCGACCGAGCGCATGGCACAACAACCGATCCAAGTTGTAAACGGCGTAAAACAGCCGGCGGTTCATGTCCAGCTCGAGCGGGGTCAAGCTGTCCGACTGGGACGTCTCGTGGTGCAACCCGTGATCGACGGCGGTCCGGCTGGCCAGTCCGACGAGGAACCAGATGCCTGCGAGGTCGAACCATGGTGGATTAATGGACGCCACGCGATCAACACTATCCGATACCCGAACTCACTGCCTCGGGTCGGGTTCAAGAGCGAGTAATAGCAAAACAACAAGATCGCCTGTAACCCGATCAACGAATCCGACTCTTCAAACACCGCCTCCAAGTGCTTGACGGCCTCCAAGTAGAACGCCTCGGAAGACATCCTCAACTCCGCCGTCGGGTCGAGCGAACGGGACAAGGCCATCGTACTCAGAGCGAGGACCATCAAGACGAAAAAGATGTCGGCCTCGCTAACGTCCTCGGCACGATCACGGACCCTGACGAGCATCTCCCTGAACGTGGGCATGTGGAGGATGGGCAGCATGATTTGTACGAAATCGACGTAGACTTGGACGAGCCTGTCTACGGCGGCTGGGGGTGGCAAGGCGGGGATATCGACCGGCCGACCTCGGCGTTTCCGAGCGTTATGAGCGTCGGATTCGGCCGGATCGTCGCCCCGAGCAGAACGAGCTGGAGAGAACGCCCCACGTGCGTTGGACTCTTCCTGTGGACCGCGTTGATGGCTGGTAGGGTACAACCCCGCTGCCAACGCCTCCCCCGCCTGCTGGGCGTTCGTCGAACCGGCGTAATTTCCCAAGCCGGAGAGGGAGGGCAACATCATCATCAGGTTGCTATCCCTCCTACCTTGCGGTGCGGGTGGTCCTGTTGCAGGTCCGACGCGCATGACGGCGTCGACTACCATACGAGCCAGGCCGACTCCGCCGTGAGGCGAGAACCCGCCCGAGGTGGTCGTAGGGTTCGAACCGGGCCCAGCGAGGGCGTCACCACCAGAGTTGAGCGTGTTAGATCCTCCTGGGTAAAGATCCAGGCCGAACCCGGGTCCTCGAGACATTCCTGTTAAGCTCGGATCGATATCCCCGGGCCCGCTATTCCCACTGCCGGCTCCGGTATCATCACCGTTATTGTTATCCCCCGATCCTAACCGTTCCGAACCTCGGTCCCCACGATCGCGATCACGTTCTTGAGATTGACCGTACCCCCGTCCAGACGCAGTCCCGTTATCCCAAATCCCCGCCGCTCCTAAAGCGCTCAAAGCCCTCGCTCCTTCCGTCTCTGCCTGACTATGACCCGATCCCACTCCCATGCCCATTCCCATGTTCATTCCCATACCCATGTTCATATTCATTCCCGTATTCAAAGTCAACCGATCTCCCCGAGGTTTTAAATCATCTTCATCCCCATCCGCATCCTCGTCCATCCGGAAACTTGCTGTTCTCCCTGAAGGACCGCCATTATCACCTCCTCCGGGAGTGTTATTACCAGACCCATTTCCATTTCCTGGGGCGGGGAGGTGTAAGAGAGGAAGAGTATTCGGACCGGTCAGGGGGAGTCCGCATTGAGCTCGGAGGGCGAGGACTTCTTGTTCCAGATCATGGATGTAGCTATAATGCCAAGTTAAGGCGCGTATCGGCGAGTAATATAATAGTAAATATCGATTTTGCATTGCAATGAGAAGTGGTTGAATTTGAATATGAAGAGGAACAAGAAGAGGATTTAGGTTTATGGAGGACCCCGGGATACTGGACTCACCTTCGGCTGACGTTTTGTTTAGAGATCGCATCGAAGCCTATACATTCCACCCGGGCTTTCTCACACGCGGAACACGCTGGGAGTTTCCCATCGCACTGTAAATCAACAGTAAACAACATCATATCGTATCGTATCGTATCGTATCGTATCGTATCGTGTCAGCATACAGTTGAGTGAAAGAGAGAAAGTATCAGTAATACTAATAAAAAGACGGGGGAGAAAAGAGGAGACCCAGACCGACCTTGCTCTTCCTACTCCGACACCTCGTACACGCGCTGATGGCCCTGGCGACCCGGTGTTCGAACGGGTTCGAGCTCGACCCGGGTGTAGACCTTTTTTCCGAGGGGACCTTCATCCCCAAGTCCTAGCCTATCGAGTTCTATTGTGTCTGGAGTAGTAGTTTTGTTTGTTGTGAACGTGGTTGGTTAGACCGAGGGGTACGGGAAGAGGGAAAACGAGGAAAATCGATTGTCGACGTGACGCGGTCTACTCCGTTATCTGGTTCGGTGGAAGCCGTCGAGACCTGATTTTCGTGTTCAAACTCGTCCGTTTCGATCCGAGATTTGGGGATGATCACCAGGAGACGATGATGGTTCAAGATATTTTGATGAGGATCTTCTGACCCGATAGAGAGTGTTTACTTTCTGTGAGACTCGGGACGACATCAACCGATCCAACAGAGACGGCTGTCTCTCGCTTGAACGCGGGGGGGGATGACCCTTTCGGCGTAGGCCTTGACCGAAAAACAAGACGAAGCGCGGGGTCGATGACCTCGAACAACTTAGAAGCGCACGATGACGGCATGCGCGCCACTGCTGGGGAAGGAGAGCGTGAGTTTGACGCACCCCGCGCCGAATGTCTTCTATTTCCCTGCGAAGGTCTGTGTGCATTCGACATCGGGGTGCGGCAATGCGGCGAGAGCTACCCAGGTGCCTACGGCTTCAGAGCGCAGCATGCATTGAATATGTACGCACAGCCCCAATGTACGAACGAGCTCCGCCGTACCTTGCCGCAAGGACGCGTCTTAGGACCCTGCTTTAAAACGCAATCGACCAGCATCGACCCCCCGTACATCGCAGCCACTTTGTAACGAAAGATGACGAAAGGGGCTCATACCCGATCGAATTTCGAGATCTTCGATCGGACCTTGACCATGGTATCAGTAGCGTTGGTGTGCGTATGGCGGGTGATCGTACCCTTCCTCAAGTTGGCCGTTAAGCCGAAGTGCGCTCCACTTCCACAAGGTATATCATATATCACACATCTCGCGTCTTTCGCTTCACTGTCACTCAGCGGCGTCCCATCTTTCTTCCTGAACTCGCTGACTTGTCGTATCCTCTTGAGACTTGATGCGGCTCCTATTGTTGTTTCGACGCTTGTCGCATAAAGCCACTCTCCATATGAAACGTCGGATCATCTTCTAGCAACCTTCCCCGTTGACGGCATTGAGACATAGCCAATGCGCTCACAGGCGGGACATCGATCGAGCCCATATGGAGGACCGTAGCTGAGCGTGAAATGACCACGCCACAAAAAAACCACAGTCTTGCGTACATCGAAACGGCTCGCACGTGATCCGCTCTTTCGCACGAGCACACGAAACGAAGTCTCATTATTTTAATGTCGTCTCCAGTTCGTCGTGTCGGTCGATTCCATTTGATATGTCGCGTTTACAAGAAAACAATAAATGATGACGATGATGCTCCTATTGTATCGACCTCTTGCTCCAAAACTTTTCGAGCGGATATCATCATGATCGTGATACTACAACGGTCCGTTAATCTTACTGTGTAGATACCTGCACCACCGTTTCATCCTATTTCAACGTCGCCGCCTATCCCATCCCACCGCGTGTGACCACGTTCAGCCTATAAAGCCCGAATGACCATATATGGAGATCCCAAGCCGACTCACATCGATGACAACACAATAATCCACCTCCCTCTGATTCCCTTCATCGTCCTCAAACTCCAGTACATATTTCCCCTTCTCCTTAGGCGAGCCTAGGTAGTTGACGACGGTCGCCCAGTAGAAACTGGACGTATCAGGGTAGATGGCTGCGACTTTGGATCTTATCGCCCGGTCTTCGTAGGCGTTCGGGTGAGAGGGTGAGTCTCTGGGTGCGTTGGGGTCGGGGAGGGGGACGATGCATTTGATGGTCGTCGTGAAATGTTTCTGTGAGCTATTGGGGTTGAGCGAGAATAACAGGTCAATTAGCCTTGTAATTGTAACACCTTGGAATTCTATAATCACGGTTGCCATTGTCGAGAAGAGAGAGGGAGACGGGAACGACGCTTACTTGGCATCAGCATCAGGATCCTCGACCTCATACCTCGTCTTATCCCCTCCAATCATCCCTTTCACAGTAGCCAAGATCCATCCAGTCTCTCCCTTTCCAATCTCATGATCAGGAGCTTTGAAAGCGATCCTCCGGCCGGGTCGTAAAGGTAGTTGACGGGCGTAAGAGATTTCCCGAGGATGATGCTCTTTATGGTCCGGGTTTGTCGTCCGTTTGTGTTTGTTGTGGGACTTGTCCTTGAGATCTCGGTCCCTTTCTCTGTCACGCTCCCTATCCCTATCGCGATCTCTGTGATCTCTATCCCGGTCCCGTTCACGTTCTCTTTCTCTCTCTCTCTCTCTTTCTCTTTCTCTTTCTCTCTCGCGATCACGAGTCGGAGTAGAAACAGCAGCAAAAAGAGGAAGATGAGGAGAAAGCGACCGGTTGGATATGGCAGGCGAAGCTCGTGCGTCGGACCCTACGCCGAGTCGTTGTTGTTTCCGATGCTTGGCAGGGTGTTCCAAAGCCGAAGAGGTAGATGGTTCCAGTGGTCGCTTGTTATCTACGACCTTGATCAAGTGTTGCAGCTCTGCACAGGCTTGTCCCAAGATCCTGAGTCACAGGGGCATCGAGTGACCGAGGTCCACTTTGAGCTCAAGGTGCTGCTGATTCGATCTGACATGATCTCGACAAATGATACTGACTGGCTCTGCTTGGAACTCTTTCTCAACTCGTCCTCGTACTCCTTGACGAGCCTCTCCCGCTTGACAACATCCGCTTCGGAGACCAGGTTCTCTTCCTTCTCCAATACCCTCTGCAGCTTGGTCAGCTTGTCCAATTGGCTGGCGGGCGTCGTAGGTGGGATCTGGGAGAGCGTCTGGATGAATTGACGGAACAGGGCTTTGGGATCTTCGGCACGGTTCGACATTGTGCTACAAAGACGAGAGAGCGGTGCGAAGGAGGGAGGGTTGTGGTTGCGGTCCGGCAAGAAGATGAGCTATGTCTGTGTCATGATGCAAGAGGAAATGCGGTTGTAGCGGTGTTGTTATAGTCGTCGATGGTCAGTCCGAATCGAATGGTCGACGTTTACGATCCGATGATTCATATGAGAACCTTGAGGAAGGTAGATGTTCAACCGTTTGCTCCCTCCCTCACTCGCCCGCCGAGACCAAGATCTCCGCGCTCTAGCTTTACGAGACAAGTTCACGATCGCAACGATGGACAGATACACAGATGACAACGACGCTGATGCGGCAGACAGATCAAGTGGCAGATGAAGATTGTATTCGGTAACATGGCTAATACTACAGATGTACATGCTCGACAGAGATCTCTATATAGAGAAGTGGAGACGATGACCGGTAAGACGTACCGCGGTAAAATCGAAAGTAAAATCACCTTCCGAATGTGACCCAGGTTGTACCTTTTCGAACAGAGCGAAAGCAAACACAGCAGTCAGCACTTGTTCCAATCAAACATCCGAATCAGATCAAGCCAAAGAAAAGAGGGTGCGGAGAGGTTATGTTCAGAGATGTGTTATTAAGGTAGCGAGAAGTTTTCGGCATCGTCCAACAAAAGGCACATCGGCCTTCATACCCGGGATGGGTATGGAAGAACTCCAGCCAAATGCACTCAGGTCATCATAAAAAGAGAGGGCGGGTTGCGAGGTGGGTAGAGAGTCGGGGCAGGGATAGGATAGAGGAAAGGGAGACCGGTCGAGAAAGGGGGGAAAAATATGCTCACGATTTGGATGATGTCGCTCTGGTTTCTTGAGGTGCCGATTGAGTGTGTTCTAACCCTCAACCCTATCGAGAGCGACTGCACTCGAAAGAGCCGGTACGCAATGTGAGCCGGTTGTTAGTCGCCAACGCAAGGTATCGAAAAGGAGGGATGCTTGCAGCTTGCAGCTTATATATCCCAGAGAAATCCTTCGAACGAGGAGGGACGAGCCCAACTCAAGCGCAAAACTTCGCTAGGTGCGCTTCTACTTGGTCGCACCAACACACGCGCACGCGCGTTCGTCTAGGTCGCGTCGAGGCGTTTCAAGCAGATGTTTCAAGCTCTCGAGGTAATGGCATCTTGGTCCAAGCCGGATCCTGGACAAGGGCTTGTCTTGGATATCGTTATTCGTCGTACGAGTCCGATGACACCGTCTGGCTGATAGGCAAGGGACATCGATTGGTTCAAAGCCACTGCTATGAACGCGGCGCGCGGTCGAACTCAGCCTCGACATGGTCGCTCAGCGACTGCCGACCGGTTCCTAAGACCACTTCGACCGACATCCGCCTTGAACCTTGCTTGAGAGAATACGAGCTTTATTCTTGGGAACATCTCTCCGATTTGCGCAACTGCGTTCGATAACGCAAACGGGTCGGTGCGCTCTTACTTGCCGGACCGAGCGAATGCTAGCAGCACGCGCCAACCCGTGAGATCATGCGCTCTATCTAACAGGCTTATTGCTCGTTGTCACTTACGTACGCTCTGATATCGCTATCATCGTGAACGCCCAGCAATTATTATGGCAATAACATCGACGAACATGCAACATGGGGCTACGCGCGCAGTCGATTATAGTTTACAGCGATAGAAGCGAGACAACAGTGTAGACGTGGACTGCGGTGTATTCCTGTATAACAACTCGATCCGAATGTGATTGTCGTCCGTCTTGACTTGCCCATCGCCTCGACCCGTGATCCTTAGGCGTATCGATCTCACGAGTCAGACTGACCATCAAGGCGTGGAAAGCGAGTGATGGCTATCGACCACAACCAGATGGTGGCATCGGCTTCTGGTAGGACGATCTCTCTCACAGCAATGTTATCGGCATTTCTCCCGCCGTATCTTTTGCATCGAGCCCGTTCAATAAATCTTCGCAAAGAATTGGCTACATAGCTCTTCACTGACCAGTGATTCCCACTCGGCCTCCCTGATCCACATCGACTCGATAGCCTCGGAGGAAAGGCGGGTGGGACCGCTCACTGGCTAACAACCCAAGCGCTCGCCGTCGGACATCGGCTGCGGCCTGAACGATCACTCATGATCATGACCGTCATTCGTGGCACTGAATTCACTCACTCGGGACTGAACATGTATCTGTGTTACTCCCGCGTGTGGCATGGAGAACCCAGACGATCGCTCAGGATACGCTCACCACCTGAGGGTACTTATCCGCTCGGGACTGGTTACGAATCTGTGATACTCCCGTGTATGACACGAAGAACATCTAGTAAGGTCTCGCAGGCGTACTGACCGCAACCATGAAAACATTCCGAAGCCTCTTCAGCTCGAAGGGTACGAAAAAGACGCTGCAATGGCAAAAACCAATGCCAATCCGACGAGTCGAACGGCTGGTCATACACACACAGGAGAGCAATGGAGGGTGTGAAATCGCTTCTACTGAGCGAGCGAGGTCCATAGAAAGCAACGGTGGTAAAGACGTATAGCGCCACTCACGGAGACGAAGACTCAAAACGACATCTATTCGACCTCGTCTTTGCTCCGTCATTGAGACCGTAGTAACGATCAGGGTCAGCCCGGCGTCGTCCCGACCTGTGCCCTTTCCCGCATATGTGCGAGCGTTGTAGTCGTCCATGTGATTCAGCAGTGTCTTACTGGTGAGCAACACAATCCGGGTCATTGGAATTGGCCCATGACGACGGCCATAAGAGGTCGATAGCCTTAGCGATGCGGGCAGAACGAGACTCACAGGACTTGCGTCCTCAAAACGAGACTTGATCAAGTGGCACTCTACAAGCGGAGTGATAAGATGTAGCGATGATGCATATTTATGACGAACAGCTACGATATACAAACAACTCGAACACGAACGAAAGCCGAAAACGCAAAAACGAAACGACGAGAATGTAATGTCGGTCCTTCCCAGCCCTGCTACCTCCCAAACCGTCCCATCTCCATCTCTCACACCCTCCCTCTGATTGTCCCCGCGTAAATGCCCGCCTCTCGCCGACAAGACCACCATTACCACTACCCACCCCACGTTCCATCGCCTTCATCCCGCTCAAACCGTCGACCCTCTCGTCGCAACTTCCCTGCGCAGCTCAAGATCGACTCTCTGCGTGAACAAGGAGGACCGAGCGCGCCAAGGATGAAGGAGAGAGGAGTCGGGGTAGTCTCGGACAGGTCGTGAGACCCGCTCGAGACTCGAAGTCGAGGGTGGAGCCCGGTCCTTTTCAACCGGGAAGGAACCGAAAGGTCCCTGAACGTGGGGTAGCATGTGATAAAGCTGATCCTGCCGATGATACAGATGGCGAGCAAGTCGTTTGGTATCGAGGTCCAGAGGTCGGAAATCACAGAGTACGAGTACGGACGAGCCGGGCGCGGTCACAGAGCCACTTGCGGGTTCATCGCTGGGGGTAGATCCGCTGGTTTTAAGAACGAACCTGAAAAGGATGGATGAGTACCGGGAAAGACGAAACCCCGCCCCCCCTCTTTTGGGTGGGGGAAGGGAACTTTGGTCTCGCAGACGGGAACGCGAGCTTAGCCATCGGGAGTAGAGCAGAGCTCGAACTTTTATGTCCCTGTAGATAACCAAGGCGACTGATTAGTACGTGGTGGAGAGGGCAAAGGTATCGGTCTAGGACGTACGCTTTTAGATTGTTAAGAAGAAAAGAAGAGGTCGTGCGGGCGATATTGAAGTGGTTGTCGATGCAAAGTCGAGATCGTAAAGTAGGTCGAGTGCCCCCGAGCGAGGGGTCAGGCGCAAGAAGGTTTTGCTCCATGTCACGTGAGCGAGTCCTCGAAAGCGCTTCTAGGGGTCAAATTGCGCTTACGTGGTTGTTACGTCAGCAGGGCGGCGGCATGTTTTGCTCGTACTTTCCTCTTTCGGCGATAAACCTTGGACCTCTCGCTTGCAGATTTTAGATCCCGCGATTGCACCCAGGGCAAGCGAAAAAATTGTGCTATGTCCGCTCCCAGCCTCTCGCGGGAAAAGTATATAGAGTTCGCCTTCTGAACTCGATAATCCCTTTCCTTCTACCTTTGCTCTCCTTTTTCTTCATGATCATACGTGAGTACTCTCTCCACCCCCATATTTTCAACAACCACCTTCGGCTTTTCTCGACGAACACGACCGCTAACCACCGCCTTGCCTTCTTTGCCTACAGTCTGCAGGATTTATTTCTAGCAGCTAACTGATCCTCGCTAGTTCACACTAGCCACAAAAGCTTCAACCCAGCTGATGACTTAAACCTTCGACGTCCAACCTACACGGAGTTCCAACTATCCCAACACGCTCCCTACTCCCTCGTTCGAGCCACACCGTCCGGTCCCTTTACCCATCATGCCTCACGGCACGGGTCCTGTGGATGGCGCAAGTTTACGATCTCTGTCTAGCTCTCGGGCGTTCAGAGATCGAGCGGTGTCGGTGAGAGGTACCTGGGTCGGCGTCTATCGATGAAGTTGGCGGGGAGAGCGGTCGTCTTCGGTTCTTGGTTACCTTCGGGTACCGCCGTCGATTCGCACCCTCTTCCCGTGGGCGTTTCGAAGCGAGTCTGATGGGTCCCTTAAGGACCTATAAGTTGAACGCAATATTTGTACGGCTGTGACGAACTCCGCGATGCGATCAGATTAGATTATGATTGTGATGAAAACTTCAGTTCCGATTCCGTTTTCCATGTCATGTCCCGCCCGCTATGCCTTCGTGTCTCGTTTTCGAGTTGCAACATCGTGCCTGTCGTCGCTCGAGCGACGGGATCCTCTCGCCTGTGTTTTTCATGGTTGGTCGGAGATCGGAGATCGAGGTAATCGTGTCATTATCATGCTGTCGCTGTTGCAATACAATAACCGATCCTGTCTCCATCATAGTACAACATCGCGTAACGAATAAAATTCTACCCCAGCTTCAACCTTGTCGAGCACGTAAGCTTGTTTACGGGTCGGTCGTAAGAAGCTCGTCCTGGTAGACGTCGTTTCCGCGGTCATGCTCTTCGTCTGAACCCGTGTCGAGCTCGTCGTCAAATTCGTTGTGTTCGTAGTTGTTGTCAAACCGGTGCCCAAAATACTCGTCCTCGTAATCGTTGCGGTCGCGGTCTGGGTCATAGAGTCGTGATCGACGCTATGACTCCGGTTCGTCACAGGCCGGTCGATGGGTCTGAAAAAGTCGTCGAGCGTAGTCTTGCCCTTGTATGCTTGCCGTTGAGCGGGTCGATGGGCGGGTGATTTGGTCGGAGTTCGGCCTGATATTCGGGTCGGCGTAGAGGAAGGTCCCGGTCGTGATTGTGGTTGGATATTAGCGGTGGGAGTCTTGTTCGGCGAGACGTCGAGTTGAGGGAATGTCGAGGAGAATAGCGTGCGGCCTAGGGGTTGTTCTTCGACTTCCTCCTCCTCCTCCTCCTCCTCCTCCTCCTCCTCTTCTTCTTCTTCCTGCCGGTCCACTTCAATTGTTTGGTCCCGGTCAGGCTCCGTAGATCGGGTATGGGGATGTCGGGACGGAAGCGGTTCCTCAACTTCCTCTTCTTCTTCTTCCTCGTCCTCCATTTCGATGGCTCCTCCAGCAACAGCGATTACGGATTGGGGGTCAAGACGACGTCGTGGGAGCGGTTCCTCGACTTCCTCTTCCTCCTCCTCTTCCTCTTCATCGATTTCAATTTGTTGAGGTGCGTCGATGGTCGCAGATTGATAGTTGAGGCGCGAGGGTGGAAGCTGTTCTTCTAGCTCCTCTTCTTCTTCTTCTTCTTCCTCTTCCTCGGACGAGGACGAGATCTCGATAATCTCGATGGGAGAGACCGGCGAGGCCACTACCCGACGGCGCGGTCTAGCCAAAGGGGTAGCATGGATATCCTTCGCGACTTTCGGCTGAGCATCTCCAGCTTTCGTACGCCGAGAGATAGCTCTGGGTCTTGGTGTCGTTTTTGGATCGGGCGTATCGAAAAGGCGACGAGGTGTGCCTCCCCATTCTTCTCCCGACGTCGACTCGGCGGCGGAAGATGCGCTGGACGAGGCTGGTCGGGAGGGTCTTCGAGTCGGAATGGGCGGTGAAGAGGTCCTGATGGTGATAGGATCCGATGGGAGAATCGTGGCCGTACGTACAGCTCGGGTCCTACCGGTCGCGATACTCGTGCTAGGACTGACTGCAGCCGAGCTAGTGTTTCTCAGCGTGCCACCGGAATTGAGCCAACCCTGCAGTGCCGTCGGCCTGACCGGGCTGCTAGATCCGAACCCTTCTTCGTCGCTGGTCCACCCCTGTAATCTGCATTGCTGCGGGCTCGGCGTTTTCGTCTTGCTCTGGGGAGTCGCTCGCAACAAATCAGCCGTTCTTTTCGTCCGTCGAGGCGTCCTCAATGCTGCCTTTTCGGCCTTTTCACGCAGCTTGGTCTCGTACGCCTCGACAAGCTCGGGCCAACCTGCTTTGACGAGTTCGGCTGGGATCCAGAGCCGGTCGTTTGCCTCAAAGTCCTTCTTGCGTTTGGCTGAAGGGGTGCAGTCCATCCGATGATCGCTCGATAGCCCGCTGACTGACTCGTCGTCCGCCGTCTCGGACGTCACGCTTTCGGCACGGTCAGGGTCTCGCCCCGTTGTAAGACCCATGGCGATCCTGTCCTGCTCGGGCAGCAGTTCCGGATCGATTCGCGTACCCTGCATGACCGCTTGAACCGTGCGGGTCCACGTCTTGTGGTCGTATTCTATCCTGTACTCCAGGATCATTCCGGTGGAAGCGTGTTGACGAGTTGAATGAATAGTGACAAGTCGAGCCCGAGGAAACTCCTCCATCGGCTCGACGAGGCTGCCCGTGCTGCTCGTCGGACCTAGCGCGCGGCCTTTACCCTTGTCCTGCGAGCTACGAGCCGAACTTTGGCTCGACGAGACGCTGTGAAAGTACGAGGTCATCCTCGAGTTCTTCGTCTTGCCTCCTGTTGCAGTAACAGCCGCTGTGCTAGTGGCTACCATGAGCTTCTCTCTCAATTGGTTGATGACCTCGCCCCGCCACACGAGCGTCTTCATACGTTTCCCAACTTCCTCCTTGGTACCCCATTCAAAGTATTTCTCGCAGACGATCGCAAACGACCTCGGATCACCTCTTCCTCCTCGTCTCCCTGCTCCTGGGGTACCTTCCTCCCGCTGTCCGAACCCCGGCCAGACGTCCTGACCCTTGCTGATACGCGGATTCACGTAATAGTCGATAATCTCGACTTGGGGGAAAGTCGATGGCAAGGTCTGAGCGAGTTGTTTACGCTTGTTCGGGAGAAAGCCGAGCGAGTTGGTAGACAGTTCTCGTTTGAGTGATTCGCGGAAATCGACCAGGTAATTTTGGAACTGCTCGGGGGACGAAGTCTTGTAGGCGTTGATGAGCTCGGTGGAAAGAGGAGTCTGGGCAAGGCCGTGGGCGATCTTGGGACCTATGTAGTGTTGTGCAGTGGTATTAGTACTGATCTTACTATCCCTTTGGTGACAAGCCGAAACACCTACCACAACTAGGAATACCCGCCTGCATTGTCATTGACCTAAAATCAGCTCAAGCCCATCTCCGCTTCGATCGCCAGTATCAGCCGACATACCGTATGATAATCGCCACCGCTACACAGAGCGATAAAGATCATCCCTTCCACGCTCAATCCGTTCCATCCGTCCTTATTCTTATTCTTGCCATTACCCTTGTCCCCGCTTTTGCCTTTACTTTTGTTCTTGCCCTTCCCTGCCTTCTGGGTTCGGGGCTCCTCTTCCTCCTCTTCCTCTTCCTCCTCTTCTTCTGCTTCTTCGGAGGCTGTACCATCGCTCTGACTCTGCGTCCGACGAGCTACCCGTATTCGAGCTGCGGGCCGAGTGATATTCTCAAGCGTATAAACTTGGAAATCCTCGATGTTATCGTAGACGAGCCTGTTGTTGCTAGACAACGTCCTCGAGGTACTATACATCACACGACAAAACCGAAACAATCAGCATGATGCTCCTCTGAGTACACAGTAGGCGGACATATGGACGGGATGAGTGAGAGACGACTGACTTGCGCAAGATCTTGGTAGCGCCAAAGACGAGGGCGTCGACATCGTCCGTGAGGACAGCATCGATCTTGCCGAGCTTTGATAATTGAGCGAGTTCAGCTTCGGCTTCACCCGGGGCCTGCACGAGAAAAGGCGTTTTGGGCATCAGTAAGAGTAGTATAATCTAATAGTGTACACATGCACGGATTGCGATCGGAGGTATACTCACCGTCCAATACTCGATCCCCATATCATCCAACAACCCCTTAAACCTCTTACTCGCCTGATCCGTCGTCCCAAACATCCCCGCTACCTTCTGATTCCTCTTCATCCCCGGTTTAAACGGCCCATCGAATACGAAGAGCGGCAAGATGGGGTGTTGCAACAGTTTCAAGGTCTTGAAGAACAAGGTCCGGAGGGCAGGGTTGAGGCCGGCTTGGGAGGATTGGCGGTTAGCGTGAAAGGTCCAGAGGGAGGCGTCGATACCGATCCTGAGGGCGTAAGGGCGAGGAGAGGTAGAGCTGGATGTAGGAGAGGTGTTGAAAGCTTCGAGGGAGAGGCGGGAGATGGGGATGGATTGGGAGGTACCTTCGAGGATCTAAGGGAAGCAAGATGGTAGTCAGAAAACGTCCTGTTTGCCAAAGTTTAGGCTCGTTTGGCTCACCTCCCAAAGCCCGGCGACACCCATCGTGGCAAGATAATATCAGTGGCTTCAATGAAGTGTTCCTACAGACTGTCAATGTCCAGATGTCATGACAGACGGTGGTCCGAGGCTTCACAGGGGGGGCGGTGCCGGTTAAAGTATCTCGAAGTTGTGTGTCGCTATTGACCCGTTCGAGCCCGCGATTTCGTACGAATTTGGGCCGAGACGAGTGACAAGATGATTGAAGACTGTGTTCAGGCTTGTTTGAAGATGAGATGATGGGCGTAGTAGCCATGTAGAATGGTTGAAATAATCGATGTATACAAGGTTGACCTAGGACCGGAACCTAGGTCGCCCAATCGGTTTGTTTACGTTTTGGATTTCACTCGCATCTCCGTCGAAATATCGCAAAGTTGCTAGAGTTGTGCTTCCTATACCTGACTGCATCTCTCTATATCAAGCAAACGATTCCAACTGCCTCGGTATCTGCACTAAAAGATTGCCACTGTGCCGGAAGCCAGCATGTCGAGCATGCAATCCGTCGTCCACGCCCTAGGGCCCATGCTTCACAACTTGTTGCAGGGCGAAGAACATATCCGAAAACCGTAAGCCGTCTTCATTCCGCATCTACCTATCACGGTATCATATACGAACGACCAGTTTACTCATAGCAGCTACTGTAACCTGATAACAGTGCCGAATCGGAGCTCCAACAATACGTCACGCATGCGACATATCAAACTTTCCACGGTCTCGCCCTCATCGCCCAAGGCGCCGGAGCTTACCCAACAGGATCCCGAACCCTAGCTCTCCTCTTGCTCAGACGTCAACCGTTCATCAGCGTGACCCCGATCAACCCTAACGACCCGCCTACATACTTTCCCTTCGACGCTCTGGTGGATGAACAGGTGGATGAGATCTTCAAGTGTCTGATCGGGTGTTTGGAGACGGAGCTGGATGGGAGGATTAGGAAGGGGTTGGCGGATACGGTCGGCAAGTGGATGGAAGAGTGGACGAGTCGAGGCAGTGAGTCCGGGGACGGGCGTATCAAACAGTCACAAAGGCAAGGTACTAATGACCGTACTACACTACGTTCGTTCTTGTCACTACCGTACCGTCTCCGTCACTCGCTAGGAGACGTCCCAGCTCTCCTCCCCGTGCTACTAAGACTAGCAACCTCGACCTCCCCGCTGCACCGTCTCTCAGTCTACCAACTCATCATCCACCACCCCTCCATCCTCTTTACCCTCTCGTTCAGCACCTCGACCTCGCAAGAAGCCATCCCGCTCAAATCGGGGGACGTAGCACAGTTGCTCGCACGGGGTATGGAGGATGATTTCGTCGATGTCAGGTTGGCGGCTGTCAAGGCTCTTCAGGGGGTCTTGGAGGGGGAACATATGGAGGATGAAGGGAGGGATGAGGTGGGGAGTGATTTGATCGGCAAGGCTTGTCATGTGAGTCAACTTCAGACGTGCAGTATGGTTCAAGATGTGAAGAGGAAACCGACTGATCGTGCGTGTGGTTGCGAATTCGTTCCTAAACGGTTATAGGTCCTGACGACCCTCAACGTCGACAAGTTCTCCATCGCCTCGACTCCATTGACGTCGATCCTCTCGACATACCCAAACCTCTTCGAACCTCACCTTGAGAACCTCTACAAATACCTCCTCTCCCTCTGCCTTCCTCCCCCTGATAAATCCTCCCACCTGCCGCTCTTACTACAACCTTCTACCTATACGTCCATCTCCCCGGTACAAAGCGGCGGAGAGGCCTCATCAGATGCAGAAGCGGACGAGGAGAGGTATTCAGCTGCCTTGGAGTTCTTGTTGACGTTGATAGAGACCGCGGATTATATACCGTTGAGGGCGTTGTTGAACGAGGACAAGGGAGCGATGGTGAAGATGCTCTTGGGGAGGATGTATGTGGCGCTGGGGTCGCAAGAGGACGAGGAGGATAATCTGGCAGAGTGGTTGAAGGCGGATGATGTGAGTGTGGACGAAAGTGATGGAGGGGGATGGGTGTCGAATCAGGGAGTTCGTCAGGCTGATAGTATGAGCGTTTGCTTTGCAGCTCGATGAGATCAACGAAGATTATCCGAACGAGCCCGAGGACGCCTTGTTGAGACTGTTCGACGCTATTCGTAAGTCGACTTCAGCCGGCTCTGATGGAGGATACCTTACTGACGATGCTCGCCTTTGATTAACTTCAGCCCAAAGCTTCCGACGGAAAGACAAGGCGTCTACATTGATCTTGGAGCCGATTCAGCAGCTGTTGCAGTTGAGCGAGTGGAGAGGACGACATACGGGTCTGATGGCCATATCTGCCGTCATGTCGAGCGTCATGGAGGTAAGGAAGATACACAACTTCAAGGTGTTAGCTCACCCCTCGGGGCAAAGCTGATGATATCTTGGTGTGTGGTTGGCAGGACGAAGAGGACAAGGAAAAGACGTGCCAGGAGATCTTGGCCATGCTGCAATCTTGCATCGCGGACTCACAACCTCGAGTAAGGTATGCCGTCATCTATACGATCGGGCAGATGGCCTTGGCATTCGAGGTCAGTGCGGATCGTATAGCATCGAGCGGCATTGGATACTGGGCTAATACAGAGGTCGAGATTACAGGAGGAAGACTTTCCCGAGTCGGCAGCTGATGCTAGTCTGCGAGCTCTTTCCTTGGGATTCTCTTACCCAGAACCGCGTGTTCAGTGTCAAAGCGCGCTGAGTCTTGTCAACTTGACCGAGGTCACCTCCAGCGCAGTCAACCCGGCTCATGTACAGGCGTTGGTGCCGAGGTTGGTCTGCCGACTTACGAGACTTGAATACCCGTGGCGTTGCTCACGAAGGCTATTTGGTAGAATGGTCGCCTTGATACAATCTGGCCCGAAATTCGTACAAGAGGAATGCACGACGGCTTTGGGTTAGTGGCGATTGATCGGTCAGACCTGTCAAAATTTGGCTCATCATCTATTGTCTACCCGGCGGTAATAGCTTATCTGGCTCTCATCGCCGAGGGTAGTTTCGCACCATATACCGGTCAGTCTGCTATGCACGTCAATCTCTGATCCGATCTGAGCTCAATGTCTTCTCGCTATTCAGCCGACATCATGGAGATGCTACTGCATATCCTCCGGACAGCATCGGGAGAGGAGTATCGTCTGCTTCGCTGCAGAGCGTTCGAGGCATCGGGTATCATCGCGGTAGCAGTGGGCAAGGCGGTAGGTCCTGATGACGAGCTGTCCCCAGTGCCATTGCGCGTTCATGTCCTGAGATGATCTACTTCCAGGCGGTGATCCGACACCTCGATGCGGTTGCCAAGGAGTTGATGAAAGCACAAGGTAATACACGATGGCGAGATTAGGTGTCGCGATCGTGTGCTCACATAGTTTCGCCGTGTTTGCAGCGGAAGTCTCCCCGGACGATGATTTCCAGGCCAGCTACATCGCGCAAAGTGAGTCTCGAAACACCGTAACTCTGGTAAAAACCCTTGAGCCGATGTCGAATCCCATTTCTAGCATGGTCCAAGGTGGCTCGAGTCATGGGTTCCGACTTCTCGCCATACGTGGGCTATGTAATTCCAGATCTCTTGAAAAAGGCAAGCGTCCGACCCACAATACAACCCCTAGAGAGTGAGTCGAACGTAGAGCCTTGTTCCGTATTAAACCGTGCTGATTGTCAAACAGGCGACGGGACGGAGGATGAGGTTAATCTACCGCCCGGCATGGATGTGATCAATTTCCATGAGACTTCACGAATAGCTATCGATTCGAAGGCGATGGAGGAGAAGGGTTTGGCGTTCGAAGCCTTGCCAGAGTACTTATCCACGCTGGATGCAATTACGTTTGCGCCTTATCTCGATCAAGCCCTCGTCGTAACGCTGGAGACGGTCGATTTTATGTGGGACCCGAACGCCAGAACAGTAAGTGCCGGGATAGCCAGGGTGAAATGCATTTGCAAACCTGTCACTGATCTCGTCCTTCTGGTTCATCCCATGATCTCAGAACGCCATCTCGTGAGTTTGCTGATTCGCCCATCTTTCCTCGGACAAGGCTGACCTCTTGTTATCGTAGCGCCCTTCCGCATCTTTTGCAACACGCAAAAACACTTCAGCAACCCGACAAAATCGCTCCCATCTTCACCGCCCTGAATTCGGCAATCTTGCGTGAAACCGACACGGAATATCTCTCAACGCTTTACGCAAGCTACGAGAAATGTCTCGGCGTCCTGGCTTCGCCGTTACCACCGGATGTGCGCAAGCTTTTTGAAGACGCTACCGAGTTCCAGCTGTCTGGATTCGAAGAGATCCGCAAACTACGCTGCCAGGTCGACCACTATTCGACATCAGATAGGCGGCTAGAGTGTGAGACGCAAAGCGAGGAGAATGAAGCGCTGACGGCGATCAGTCGGGCGCTCAAAAAGATCGACTCGAAACATCGCCTATTCAACTTGCTTGGCGTAGCTCGATCTTACAAGCTCAGCAAGCAGGGCCGGGGAGAGGAAGACGTTTGATTAGACATGATTGCATATAGAGACAGACAGGATATGCTGCGGAGACTTTTTGTATCGTTAAGATCATACAATATGCGCATGGCCGATCATAATCATGAACCCGGAGACGGCGACGTTTTGAAGTTCGGCCGCGAGGGTAGTTTGAGCTTGATAGATGTAGTGCGTCCAAACGCACTGGACGCCTGACTGCCATTGACGGTGGAATCGTCACGGTGTTCTTGACCAGGCGTCGGCGTCATGGGCGGCAACATGCTCCCAGGCGGGGCACGTCCGGATCCTGGCGTCGAAGGCGGTCCTTCCGATATGGGCGTTTTGATCTTGAGTTTCAGCGACCTAGGTGGTTGGATCGTGGTCTCGTTCGTAATGCCAGCGTGACCAGAGGCGGTACTCGAAGCACGACGGATTTGGCTCGTCTGACTTGCGTGTCCGTTCTCCGTCTTGGCCACAGAGCCATAACTAGGCGTCTCGATCTTGGGATGCTTGACTATCCCCCCGAGTCTCTGTCCGATCGAGTCCGGCTCCATAGGCGTACCCGAGGTGACGGACAAAGGTCGTCGTCCCCAACCGTAGGCGATCAAGTTTCCCGTGCTCGACGCATCCTCCTCGGGCAGCTCTAGACGAGTCTGCCAATCGCCTCGTTCTTCCGATATCGGCCATGTGGCTCTCAAGAGTATCTCTTCCTTTTCCTCGACCTTGTCCCCTCCGATCGGCTGACCGTCCGGTCCGATCATGTTCACATCCCCTGCGTTCGGAGCAGACTCGTTGATCGTAAACCGAATCTTGGGTACACCCACAAGCCCCTTTTCTTTAAGCTTCTTCTTCTCCCTCGCGCGTTTCGCAGCTTTACCCTCGGGGTCGGGTTGACCGGGAGCCCGTACGGGTTCTCCATACAACGCCAAGTCTCCCTCGTTCAGCCCTTCCTCTGCCGCTCGAGCGGCATCCACCCGGAGCGCCGTTGGTGGTGTTATCCGAGTGTGAGTAGAGACCAGGGACGGCTTCAACCATGAAGAGCGGGGGAAAGGATAAGTCTCCCTGCTCGGATCGGGATGACCGGGGAATTCGGTGAGGACCGTCTCCAACAGTGCAGGGCGGGATGGATCAAAGTGCCGAGGCGAGGGTTGTAATGAGAGTGCGAGCGTGGGTGGGTAAGTCTCTTCGGTCTTGATCGACAGACGAGACGTAGGATAGACCTCGGGCAGTTTCTTGTCTTTTTCGTGGTCGGTGTTGACGGGCAACCCTGATGATGCGTAGACAGGGTAAGACGGTACGTAAGGGCTACCTCTCGGGATCGTCCCCGTATGATCCTTGCTCGACCCTGGGACCTGATGTGTCCCCGCAGCGAGCATAAAGGGAGCAGGATGACCCGTCGTATGCGATACAATGTCCGCAACCGTCGCTCGGTAAGATCGAGCGCTGACGGATTGAGGTGGATCTTTGGCTGCGTTTTTGGCAGCTTGGTAGGTTTTGACGAGGCTTTGCAAGGTATCGGGAATCAATGTTCGGACGGGGAGACGAGGTCCGGAAGAGCGGTTCTTGAAACCGGTGCCTACGCCTGGTGCGTGATGAGCGTACCGCAGAGCGGACGAGGCATACGGGATAGGTGCAGAAGTATATGGATCGAGTTGAGTCCGGTTGGCTCGTCGGCTGGTAAGTTCCCTCTCGACCGTGGCAGAGTCGGGCTCTGGACTGAGACGTGTAGGGGTCTCGGTCGAAGGTAAGGCGAGTTGAGAATCGGAAACAAGGTCGTCGTGTGACGAGCTCGTTTTACGTTTCTTGCCAGGCAATGGGGGTAGAAAGGCGGCATCATGAGGATCATCCGGTTCGTCCCGCATCCATTCGAACGGTCGTGATCGTTTCCCTCCGATAACATCGCTATCCTCAGGTACCTCGCTTGTAATTTTGATTTTCTGCTCGAGCACCCTCGGACTGGTAGCCCTTGGCGATCTATCCATCTCGTCCTCGCTTCCACCATATCCCTCGTCCTCGTCCGTTTGCATACGCTCGGCGACTTCATTATCGCTCGACGCCTGTTCTTCCAAATCCAACGGCTTGCCTCGACTAGATGATGGTGATGCGGAAGCCGAGACCGACGGGCTGGTCGGGATAGGAACGTATTCATACTGTTCCAAAACACGCTGTGGCGAGAGTCCATCACGGGTTCGTTCTACAAGAACGTCCGGAAGAAGCTCGATGGTATTAGCAGACAAGAAGCATACCATGTGATGTTCAGATGCTCGACTTGCCTGCCAGTCTCTCCATCCCGTCGAATATCAATCGACCTTCTTCTCGTTCAAGATCGTCCTCTAGCACCTCGCGCATCAACCCCAGCCCCAACCCCCCGACCGACTCGATAGCCTCGACCACATCGTACACCCCGACCGCTCTCCTCCCCGAATCCTGAGCATTGTCTAGAGAGGCCTGTCCGAGTAAGCCGAGATACCGGGAGAGGATGGAGGACAAGGTCAAGGTCGCTTGGTGAGAAGCTGATTCGAAGCCGTTTGAGAGGAGTGCTCGAAGGACGAGCAGGTGGACGGCCTGGGAGGGCGACGTCGAGGGCAGGTCGTGGGTCATGATGAGAGTGTCATCGAGAGTAGCTCTATGCTGGTACTATAATGATGCGCGAGATGATAGTGGTGATACAGGTGAGAACGTTTCGAGAAGCATGAAGCATGAAGATGATGATCGTTCTTGAACGTCGAACCATCTGCTCTCGTGCTCGGGCGCGCAAGTTCAACCGAGAGATGTGCGATCGATGAGCGATCGATCAAGTCAAACAGTCGTACCAACGCGCAACCAACGACATTCGACAGATTACAGTGTAACGACAGGGCATACTAATGATGGCTCGCATGCATATGCCTGAGTTTCAAATGCTCAAGCCCAAAATCGAACCGTCGTCACTAGGTCGCGCAACTCATGCAACCCTGCTCTGTATGAGGAGAAATCGATCGGCAAGAAGGTATTGATTCATATTCTTCTCATTATCCTCGGGGAATCGCTAAGACCATCTACTACTATCTTGATCTCTTTTTTAAGACTGGGCAGCGACGACTAATCACACATACAAAACACATCACGGACGAACCGTACCAGATCAGCATCCCATTCCGTCAAACCAACCTAGCTCGGTACTGTAGATTAAAACTCAGACTCACTGGCGTTGATGAGATCACCATCAGCCTCCTTGATGGCCTTGACGGCCTTTTCCCTCTCGACGCTAGCTTGCTCCATGACGAGCTTGATGTCCTTCTCGTCCGGCTCGACGTCCGAACTCGCCGGCTTGTCGTCCTTCTTGTCGTCCGATGAGACGAGCTCGGGGGCACTACAGTATCAGATAGGAGACAAGGGAAAAGGATGATACCACCGGGACGGAGATCGAGATGAGCGACGGCGTTCAAGAACGGGGAATGGGGAATGAGGGGGACGAAGACTCACCCGTCTTCACCAGCCTCGGCCTCCCTCAACAAGTCCTCCAAAGTCTGAGGGTGGTCAGGTCCGAATCCACCGGAAGCCAACGAAGCCTGAGCGGCCTGCTGGGAAGCGGCGACCTGTTGAGCGGCAGCGATCTGGGCGGCAGAGGAGTTGTCCTCGAGCTGCAAGCGGCGTATGGCGAAGTTTGTGTTAGATGTCAGTTAGTTTACACTTCACAGGACTTATTGATGATAAGCGGATGAGGAGATGGGGCTCACCTTGGCCTCGCCGAAGACGATGTAGCAGTCGGTGTAAGGAGACTTGTAGACCTCGGGGTTGGCGACGACCATGAGGACCTGGCCGGGTGGACAGAGCAAGATGATGTCGAAATTAGTTATTGATAACGAATTCTTACGGTTGTAAGGCCGGGGTCGAGCGAGGGTGGGCTTTTGTGGACTCCTATATGCTCTTAGTTATGCGAGTTGAGTTCTTCGGAGCTCTTTAAGAGGATCTTCTGCAAACCCCAATCTGGTTGCGCACATCCACCCAGTTCCCAAGACACCGCGACCCTCGTCCGACCCAGATCCCTGCTTAGACCTCATAAGTCCCCACATCGAATCTCTCAACTCACTCCTCGGGGCCTCCTCAAGGTAACCCTGGTGATACCCTCGACCTTCTTCAGACCGAGACCCTCGAGCGCCTTTCGAGACTTCTTCTCGTTCTTGCTCAGCTCGACCGAGACCGAGTTGGAAGCGTTGTCGTTGATGGAGAGCTCTTCGATGGACATGGTGGCTGGGTTATGGGACGCTAATATAGGTTTGTAGGAGGAAGCAAAGCTGTTGAGATGACATCGATAACAACGATATCATCATCACCATCACCATCACCATCATCATGCATCATCGTAGAGTCGTCACGCTGGATCTGGAAGAGACGCGCTTAACGACTTCGAGTGCGCTTCTAAGTGGTAGATGCCGTCACATTCTTGCCCCAAATGTCTAACGCATCTGCAGAGAAGCAACATCACATGCATCACAAGGGCGTAGAACGGTATCTTCATGAGGATCATCCGTTCTATCTGCCTTTTCTCATGGTCGTAGCTTCGGTCCGCTTCTCCCGGTTGTTAGAGTGACATTCGCAATAACAGAGCGACCCTGACATCGAGCGTGACTTGCGGGAGCAATTTGATACGTAACCAGTTGCCCAGTTGATCGACTCCTGAAACTTGATTCCACGCCATATACTCGAGGTGGTTACAAGTATATATCGAGGATTGTCGTTTGGCACAGAGAGCCTGGGAAGAATCCGCTTGCCACGTCCTTGGCCTGTTGTGTCTAGAGCTCCCTAATTTCCAGAGTTCGGTTCTGATTAAATTTGTCCCGTTTTGAGTCGGCCAGCCTCATCAATAGAATGTCTGATAGATATCCACCAGTATCCTGCGCACAGTTTTCATTAATATGGTATCCACAATGCCGCTTAGACCGTCCACATCAAGTCTAAGAGACCCTCCAATAACAGGTGCGATAACGTCCGCTATGCCAAGTTTAAGCGGTCTGCCGCTTGGCTCTCGCGTAAGTCAACGCGTAGCTTCCAAATCCATAACCAGGCAGATGGCAAGCGATTCACCACCCTCTTCATTTTACCCATGGAGGACACATCGACGTTGCAGAATTCGGTTGCATTGGCACATATTGTTCGCAAGAACTTTGACGACCCATATTTAATACACGTTGATAAAAGTTCACACAAGCGCAGTCTGCCTATCCTATTGAGGTACACTAGCACTTCAAGCTTTGATAGTTCGGTCCTCACGGGTGTGAATGAGAGGTTGGAGCTTGGCCGACTTGTTGAAGAAGACGTATCGCTTGAACCAGTAAGGGATGGCGTGCTTGACCTGGTAGGTGGCGAACTTCGAAGTAGGGATGTCGAACAGAAAGTCCATCTCCCTGCAAGGCGGCACATTTGAAGGTCAGCTAGGGAGAATTATAGAATGATTAAAGAGCCTCTTAATCACTCGAGCGTAAGTCCCTTGGTTTCCGGGACCCAGAAGATAATCATGATGAATGCAAGAACGTTGAGACCGGCCTGTCGAAAGAAATCGTCGAAAATCGCGTCAATTGAGACTTTTTTTCGAAAATCGCGCCTAAGGTGTCCCGGCTCGACTCACGTAGAATCCGAAAGCTCCAGTGGGGCCCATGACCTCCAACATCCTCGGGAACGTCAAACTTAAGACGAAAGCCCATCCGAGACAGACGGCGACGGAGAAACCCATCCCGATCTCTCGTTGCGCGAGGGGGAATACCTCGGCCGAGTAGGTGAACGGGACGGGACCTTCACCGGGAGAGTAAAAGGCGGCGAAGAGGAAGATGAAGGCGGCGACTGTTCCTAGACGGGCTTTTCCTTCGGGGAGGAGGAAACAGAGACCGGCGGCAAGCAAGGTCCAGGCCATTTGAGGGAAGGTGAACAGAAGGAGGGTTCGTCGACCGAAAGTGTCGATCGTGAAGAGCGCGGGGAAGGCAAAGACGAAGCTGGAGAGAACGGCTACGATGTCAACTTCAAATTATTTGCAGGAATGCGACGCCAACCAACAACTCACTTGACGGCACCGAAACCCAATGATGCACCCAAAGCTTGACGAGGGGTATACCCACCAGCCTCGACGAAGATGGTGGACGAGTAGAAGGCGATAATATTGATCTGCAGCGTAGAACAATCGATCAGCTTCGTATTATGTATTGGAACACAGTTAATGCTTTACTCACTCCGCACATCTGTTGCGCCAACATGACGGTATGCGCGGCCAAAGTAGCCCGTCGAACTCGAGGGATGGTGAACAACTCGGTGATCCTGCCGATAAAAGTCGAAGGCTTGGCGAGCTTGGTCTCCTCGGTGTATTGATAATGGATGGTGTAAAGATCCCTAGCGGCCTGCAGTTCGCTGAAACGGAGACGCTTGAGCGATTGGAAAGCCTTTTGGTAGCGACCCTTCTTGACGAGCCATCGAGCGGATTCCGGGCAGAAGTAGATACCAAAGGCGAGAGGCACGGCGGGGATCATGGCGCTTCCGAGTTGGAGCCTCCAGTTGGTGACGATCAGGCTGACAACGAGCATTGTTAAGGTCGTCAGAAATCGAACCGACACGAAATGAAATGATGATCGACCCACTTGGCAGCGAAACCCAAGAAAATCCCGAAAGCGGTCCAGAGTTGCCACGACATGACGAGAGCACCTCGAATAGAAGCCGGCGAGTTTTCAGCGGCAAAGATGGGCACGGTCGATCCTTTCACACCCATCCCGAGTCCAAGCACTAAACGAGAGGCCAGGAGCGCTATAAGATGCCAAAAAAGGAGGAAATTTCGGTCAATGCCTAGTTCAAGTCGCATTCTAACGCGCGCGAGATGCACTTACAACCCCAAGATTTAGCGAAACCGGAAGAGATGGGAGTGGCGATCAAGCAGAGGGCAGTGAGGAAGATGACGTTCCTTCGACCGAGGTAAAAGTTGAGAGGGTCCGAGATCCAACACCCACTAAATCATCAACACCCGATCATGTACAAGCGCATTACGTTTAAGCGAATGCGCAGGGTTGCAAGGTGAAAAGAAATAAGTAAGCGCCGGGGAACTTACAGGGCGGCACTAGCCAAGTAGGGAGCTCCGTTGATGAGCCCGATGAGCCATTTGTTGTCCGCGATCTCAAAAGCTTCGGGGAAAGACAGGTTGGCACCGTTACTCTACGAAATGGCAAGTCAAAATTTCATGTCAGCGGAAAACGAAAAGGCACGGCAGAGGGGTGGAGAAGGCAAAGCTTACTCCGGTCTGGTCCCATCCCTGAGTGGCGGCTCCGATGGAACAGATGAAGATGGTCAGGTACATCATGATAGGATGCCTCCATTTGTGCGTCGTCTCCTCGATACAGATCCTCCTCTCCTCGTCCGTCAAGTCGGGAAGGGTGGCGATCTCGTGAGGGTTATGAGCGACCCGGGCGGCCCGTTTGAAAAGGGGGATGTCGTTCTCGAAACCATGTTGCATGCAGAAGTGTTCGACGTCGGCAAACACCTGGGCCTCGGTCAGGTGCGCGAGGACGCTGTTGGATTGTTGAGGAGGTTGAGGGTTCTTTTCGTCCACGATGGACTCGTTTTCGGCGTGTTCGGCGTGAAACACCTTCTTGTCTTCCTGCATGGCAGAGTGTGGCGCTGGGTGTAATGTGATGTGAAGTGTAGGGGTCGAGCGATATTTCGCAAGCGCAAGTTGAAGTCGAGAGGGAATCCAACGGCAATCCAGAAAACTGCTCTATCCCCCCCTGCGCGCCTCTTGTATATATACTCGAGCCATTGCCGCCTCTCTTGACACTTACCGAGGTCGATCCAAAGTGTGTCCATGTGTGTCCCTCCCCTGCGCAATTGTCAAGTTCGCGCTAAGTGCATCATCAATCTCCCTAACCGAGCGACGGAAGCGGAGAGAAGGAAGGGAGAAAGCGGGAGTGGATGCTCCGCACACATCGGTCGATCGGTCAGGGGCTGGGTGGAAGGAAGGAGGAAGGGGGGAGCCGCATCGAGGTGGAGGACAGCTGACTGCCCCGCGGGTCTGCGCGTCATCGGGTTCCAGGAATAGAACGCACCCCGTTATGAAACGCCCCTTTTTCCCGCCTCCTCACGCCCTTCCCCCCTTTCTCTCTCGCACTTCGCTAACTAGGATAAATCGCACCGAGGCAAACGTAGGGTAATTTTGTTATGTACTCCCAATTTACCCCCCGTTTCGGCTTTTTGTATCCGCGGTGGGGTAACAGCGGAGGAAATTAGGAGCAACCGAACACCGAGGTTTACACCTCGTTTGCCCAAAGACCGAGGTGGCCCTTGTAGCACGTAGCACGTAGCGTACGTAGCACTTAGCCCTTGAGCCCTTGACCAAGTCACGTCAACCTACCTGCAAGATCCATATGTCGAATGTCTTGACCTAGTACCTACACTCCGTATGCCTCACAACCACGATCCTGCGGGAGCTACAGAACCTAGCAGCTGGGAGCTACCTCCCGCAGTCTTGCCATAGCATCTTGTGTCCCGTGGCTAGACGACGACTCCCGCCGTGGACTCGAAGGTCAAATCAAGTGGCCCGCATGCGGACAGCAGACCCCGGGACGGTTGGTGTCCAAAATGTCTGGCCGGGCTGCTCGTACTGTGAGTTGCAGGCAGAGCATGAGTGCTTGCGTGAATAGAGATTGTCCTGCTGACGCATGGCCTATGATATTAGAAGGTCTGCCGGTGTGCTGCATGTAGGCAGTATCCACAGGGCTTCCGATCGGTCTCTCATATGACATACAGGGAACACCAGCAAAAGCATCCTTTCGTACCGCCACCTCCCCGTCGAGTCCCGAGTCTTTCCCCGATACCTTCAAACCCCTCCACTCCGGCCCTCGACATCGAGCCGTTTGATTATGACGACTTTGGGAACGACTTTGCCGGTGATCTCAGAGACCCCTCGTCGGATGACGGGTATGATGGGAGTTTAGGGGATGGATCCCGTCGATCACAGGTCGATGATCTTACCCTAGTCGATCCACCTGATCCAGAAGACTGGGAAGATGGGGACGATAGCTACCGGTTCGACGACGACGACGAAGACGACGACTCCTTACCTGAGGCCAACTTAGCCAACTTGCGAGTCCACCACGACCTTCCACCCGTTCTCAGGCACACTTATACTGCAATAGCACTGTCGAAGGTTACCGGCACAGCAGAGCGTGCTGTAAACAAGATGCTCGAGCAGATGCATGCCAGCGTCGCCATCGCAACCGAACTAGCCTCACAAGTCGATCGGCACGTCGACGACCATCAAGCTGCCCAGGACGAAATGGTCGCAAGCCTGTTGGGGGAGGATAAGAAGACGCTGAACTGGAGAACCGCCGTATCCCGCCTGGGCATACATCCTGACAAGCACATGAACCGCTACATCACCTGTCCGAAATGTTGGAGCCTGGTCGACATACGCAAACTAAGCAGCCTCACCAGCGATATCTGCGGTGCCGACGACGGTGGCACCCAGTGCGAAGAAAAGATATTCGACACGATCAACAATGCCCGCTATCCCTTCAAGGTGACACCTTATACGAATTTGAGTACTGGGCTCATACTCCTGCTTCAGAACGAGGAAGTCGTCCGGCGACTGCAAGAATGGCGGAAAGACGAGAGCGATTTTGAAGGCAGTCGGCGTCAGGCCCCAACCAATCGATTCGAACCCTTCTATCCTCATGATCAACCACTTTACGGTTACGCCGATGGATCCGCTTGGCGAGCCAAAGAAGGTGGCACCCAGCGGGAGGTTTACGACGATTGCTCGGTCTCCGATCAGGACAAAGGACCAGGCCACCGCTTGACAGGGATGACTTACGGTCTGCAGATCGTGATTGGTATCGATTGGTGAGTTGTATCGCCTTCGAGAGACTGAAAGAAGGTTAACAGCCGGCTGATCATACCCTGACTCAAGGTTCGGGGTCAAGGGGATGCCTGGGTATTCTACAGGAGCCATCTACGCCACCGTAGCAAATCTGCCTCGGGACTTAACGTTCAAGAAGAAATATACCATCCTGTTATGCGTGATCCCAGGCCCTACCGAACCTTCGCTTTGTTACTTGAATCGGATACTCGAGCCCATCATCTCGGACGTCAAACGTTGCGAACGGGGATTTGAGATGACGATCGGAGGTGAAACGTGTATCATCATGGCGAGGGTCCTCCTGGCCGCCGCCGACCTTCCCGCTCAACGCAAGCTTATGGGGTCAGTATCGTACAACCACAACCGGCACCCATGCGCCTACTGTGGCATTATCAAGGACCAAATAAATGACCCCAGCGGCTACGACTTCATGAATCTCCCCGCCAAACCCGCCTCGGGAGAGCAGATGTTACAGGAAGCCTTTCGCTACGAGACGGCGGGACTCCACGAAAAGCGCCAGATCGAGGAGGAGTTTGGAGTTCGATATTCGATATTCATGCAGCTGTCGGGCGTAGATCATGGCTCTACCACCCCAGTCGATCCCCTGCACAACTCGTTCTTAGGGCTTGTCAAGTCTTTCGTCAATATGCTATGGAAGCACGACCTCTTCTGTGGCGATCTGCACGGGACTCCCCGATCGGACCTGTTCTCTGAGGTTTTCGAGACTGCAGCATATCCCGGCCATCTCGGCAGAATCCCAACACGAGTGGTCCGACAATTCGCTGGGAACCGACGAGGGGCAGCCAGTGCACTCAAGGCCGATGAATGGAAGAGGATTATCCAGATCTTGCCCGTAGCCCTGTGGCGAGCCTGGCGGAGCGAAGACAGCAACGACATCGATGAGACCAACTTGGACTGCCCCGACGCAATCCCTGAACCGATACCTACACGGCGCCGCCCAGGACGTCCCCGACGATCGGACGAGAGTACGAGTAAATCGGATCGCCGGACATCAGACGGTCAGAGCGGAGATGTCGTACGCATCCGCAAGAGGTGGTATGACGCTGCGATTTCGCTCTGCTCGGGATTGAGGATCCTCCACGCCCACTCGCTCAGTGTCAACGACGCACTCGACGCAGTCCGGGATATTTCGAATTGCGCCACTGCCGTCCTATCGCTTGGTGGGAAGCTCTCTATCAATTGGCATTTGGCCATGCATTATGCTACGTAAGCCGGTCCATAAGTCCACCCGGCCTCGACTCCTAGTCTGATCCAGTACTCTTCCTGCAGATTCGTCCATCTTTACGGTCCCTTATCAGGCTACGGAACATGGGCGTTCGAAAGGCACAATGGAGCACTATCCAGAGTCAATCATAACGGCAAAGAACGTGATGTCCCTTCAACTCAGATGAGGTCCTGGCTATTGGAGTTTTGCCTCGCAGCTATAGTCGCCAATCCTGCTCCAGACTGCGGGATTGCAGAAGCGGAAGCGCTGGCAGCCTTGTTGGCCGACAGGTTGATGATACAAGGGACCCTGATGTTGGACGAGGCGAGGTGGGGATCCCCGACCTTCCGATTGCCAGATGCTTCCAAGAAACGACTGTTCGACCTGGCGACATACGAGGCATACAAGCCTCTTCTTGACTACATACAACGGAACCATCCGGAATATCAGTTCATCGACTCGGCATACTACACAGACCCACGGCCAGCCCTACCTCGAAAGTCAGTCGATCTGGACCTCATCGTCTGATATGGCTACAAGCTGATTTCGGAACGAGCAGATCGCAGGGCTATCGCATCTATACACACGTCGTCTTCCAGGGCTACAAGTGAGGATCGATCAGGGTACAGGTCTCCAGAACGTCTGCTCACGTCTTGCGTACTGGAATCATTGTTACAGGTTCTGTTCGAAACTATACGGACGTACCCGCCGTGACCAGTACGCTATCGCCCAGGTCAGGGGACAAAATCACCCCCGCGACCTCGTCAAAATCCACCTCATTCTGGGCGTCGAGCTGCGCGTTCCTGCGATTGCCGAGCCTCTCAAGCTTACACTTGCCTTAGTCGAGACATTTCAAGCGATACCGGACGGAACAGGCAAATATCCGTGGGAATACAGGAACATCGACCTGGGTCTGCGCATCTACCAACAACGTGCCGAAACCCGCAAGACCTTCATTCCGGTGACCCACCTTTCTGCTTCAACCATCGTCTCACAGCTGGACACGCCACTGCACGGACCTTGCATCATCAGTATCTCGTGTGACAAGGACGGCTCCGAGCCCGAGTATTGGCTCAACGACGACGACGATCTGCCGCCAGGCAACGGAACCCAAGGCGACCAATGATGACATCTTTGCGGGTCGCATGACACTACGTGTGAGTTCCGGAGACATGATAAGGCAAGCCTTGCGCTGCGCTGAGTACATTAGAGAACGAGTCCGCCAGTTCCGCTGGCTTTCATCAGATAGAAGAGGTTGTAATGCGTAAAGACAGTGGTGAGTTCAATTGAAATCCTTTGCAAAGCAAGGGCAGGTCGTCGGTGATCTGGCTAACTGATGGGCTCTTCGAACATAGCTATTTAGCAAGATGAACATATACCCGCAGCCAATCAAGACCCGAGTATACTCACAAATCTTCAGAAGTCATCCCTGGGCGGGGAACCCATGAACGTGTCGTCCTCCATCTCACCCCTCGTTTCGGCGCGGTAACCCATTTGTCCGTATGGAGAGGTTGGGGCGAATTGATGGGGACTCATGACCGGGTTGTTCATGCCGCCTTGACCGGAAGGCCGCTCCACCTCGGGATACCTGCCAGTTCGACTATCGCCATAGAACATCGCCTCGCTACCCCCGGGGTCTCGAAGGTAGGTTTGAGTCTGAGAGAAGGGTTGGCTTTGCGCGTATCCTTGAGACGATGGCCGGAAGGATTGGATCGATGGATCAATCGGCATGCCAGGGTTGTACGCGTGCTGCCTCAGTTGTGAGTACGAGTTGGACGACGATTGCGCCGACTGAAATTGGTCTCTGTGATAGGTCTTGTTTGCACGGGGCGTATGTTCCTGGCTGGATCCTGGTTCGTCCTCCCTTTCGTCCTGGGAAGCGGGCAAGGCATTGAACGTCGCGGGAGGTTCAATCCGCACCCTCTTTGCGGTGGGCTCGGCGGTGGTGACGGAGCGGGAGCGGTCGGCTTGACTGGGCGCCCGGGTAGGTACTCCTTCCTCATCAGTGGTCGTTCCTGTAGTGTCGGTGCTGACCTCTCCAGATTCTGAGCCCGATCGGCCGTGGTTCTGTCCGCGATTGCTCAAGACCCACGGATGGTTCAAGTACCAAGGTGTCAGACGGACTTGTTGCTTCGTAAGGAATTCATCGGTAGGCACGATTTTGACTGCAGCGACGTCCTTGTTTGCGGCTAACCAAGTCTCATCGAACATCCAGCTTTGCGGAGCTTGCTCAAGGAGTCCGACACTTGATACCAAGTAAGGTTTGGACGGCTGCATCTGCTGACCCGGTTCGAGTTTGTCGATATCAGGTCCTCGTCGCTGCTTGTCATCGAACGATGCGTGATCAAACTTCCAGAGGCGGTTGAAGATAGTGATCCACTAGCAACGGAACAATCGGTAAGCGCGAACCGATATCGATGAGGGTACAATCTCGAACTTACCTCCTCTGAATAGACACCTGTAGGATCAGACCACTGCCACTTGTACTTCGGCGGGACGGACTCATCCGGTATTCCCGTCAGGGGTGGGATCCAGTAAAGGCTCTCGAACAAGTCGTAATCGGGCGAGGCGAACTCGGTGAGCAGCCTGCGGTTCTTGATCCAGCCGGCCATGCTGACCAACTTGGACCGGCGTTTGTTGGTAAATCCCGACGGCAATTTCTTGTACTTCGCCTCTTGCGCCGCAAATTCTCCTCGGAGCTCGACCAGGAAGGCAACAGCTTCGGTGTCTCCAGCCTTCACCCGAGACTCTGCCGACTCGATCTGACTGGTGAGTTCCGCCCTCCCATTCTTCGCCCACTCCTTCACCACCTTCTCTCTGTACGATCTCGATAGCTGCTTCTGATAACCTGCGATGGCGTCGGCATACAGGTCTGTTGCTTTGTCGTGAGGGGGAAATGAATCGAGGGGGAAATCGGACGTTGTTGGGATGGAGTCGCGTTTGGTACGGAGATAGTTGATGAGGATCGAGGTTTGTTCCAGATTGTGCGATGATGTCGAAGCTTCTAACAGGTTCCACCTCATAGCAGCTAGGGCGGTGTGGAGAACGAGCCGGTCAGTAAAGGCTTAGGACGTCAAACGTAGAAACAGTAACTCACGTCTCGCTGCTGTTCCATCGGATGCCTCTAACATCGGCCACGCCTCCTCGCTGGGAAAGGGATCTAGGAATTTCGTGGTGCCGTACAGATCCTCTACCGCTTGCCTGACATGCTTGCTGATCCCTTTCCATTGCGCATCCCTTATAGCTTTCCCTGGCCCCTCAGACGGCCCCGCAACCGCATTCTGGCTCGATCCTCTAGACATCCCGGCCCGACCGTCCCTCAACACCGCGACCTCTGCTTCCAGGGCTCGATACTCTTCCTGGCGTTTTGCGTCCGCTGTACGGAGGTCCTTGATCATCTCATCACGTTCGACTTCCTTGGCACGTAGCTGTGTAACGGTTGCAGTGAGTTCTTGAAGCTGTTTGATCAAGTCCGACATCTGATGGTTGTTGACCCGTTGCACCTGTGCTTCCTGGCCCTGGTATCGCTGACTCTGGCCGATGCTGGCGGCTGGACGATCATTTCGGACTGCAGGCGTATCGTGCTCGAGCGGACTCTCTGATCCTCGGGACCGATCCTGATTGGGCATAGATCTGGGCTGTGATTCGGGATAGCGATCTTGGGAGGCCATTGGGGGTCGGGTTGCTCCGGGGAGACTACTGGTATGTCGTTGTGATCCCACCATCCCACCCAGGCCGAGAGGTCCCATCGAAGATGTTCCTGACCTAGTCCGATCACTAGCGGCGACGTTCTGCCTACGGGCAAGCGTTGGTGTTTGGGAGTTGGGCGATTCGTAAGGTGTATGACGAGGGGCTAGAGGTGAGTTGAAGGATCCTGTTCGACTTGCAGATTGACCTAACGCCGTGTTCCTTTTGCTGAAAGCCGACCTTTGAGGTCCGGAAGCCGGCGGCAAGCTTGGGCCAGCCATAGCCGGAGGATCACTGCGGATGGGTCGATTGGGGGTCTGTTCGTCCATGGTATTGACCTGTGGTTACGGGTAAGTTTGCATGCTGCGGTCCTGTTACGGCCTTAGCACTTGTGCTTACTTTGTCGGAATCTGTTTTGATCGAGGTCCAATTCCGGTGCCCCGAGTAGGCGTATCGACCCTGGCCACCGGCACTACGATTTGTGGTGGGCGACTGATCTCGAAAAGCTCTACCTTATAGGCACCTATGCGATCGGGAGTGCGGCTAGAGTCCTTAGTTGAATCTGTTGTACTTCGATCTGATGGATTTGATGATCATTTGCTATCGGGTGGATTGGTACGAGCGATACCGGAAGCATATGGGGAGCGTGCTAGTGCCGGAAGCAATCGAATTTACACGTCATTTACCCCAAGATTCCTTATCATATGTAACGTCATCGCGCTTCAATTTGGTCGCCATTGCGCCTCGTCTGCCCCGGAGTAAACACGTGACCCGTTTACCCCTGGGGCAAATGACACGTATTTGGTAAGTTTACCCTCTCGCGAGACGATATGTTGATAACGATACAAACGAGTAGTAAACTCGGGGGAAATAGTCAATTACACCGCGTATACTCAGGGGGATATTCGCCTGTTACCAAAGTGTCTCTCGCGTGCCTGCCTTCTGCCAGTTCCCGCCGGTAATGAACGATTTGATTTCCGATCCATTGATCCACCTCGCACCTCGTCTCGTCTCAGCAATCCATGATATCACGATGACGAGCATGATGATATGATGACCCCTGATCTCGGCGAATTGCCATTCAAGCGATTCAAGCAACGAGCACGCTCGTAGAGTCGCGATGCATCCAACCTCCCGATCCTGCGCAGCTGACCAAAGCAACAATTACTACCGGCTACAGCCAAGGCAGCCAAATTCTGCACAACATGTTGATCAACACAAACACCCGTACATCGACGTCGACTCTTCGGTTCACACTCCGCACCTCCACATACACACACATACATTCGAATTCCCCTCCATCTGATTGGCTCTGCCTTCTACTTCGAGCTTCCACCTTCGATTCCGTTTTCCAATACTGTATGATGATCGGACGATGGATGCGGTCTCGTCCGGACCCGCCCTCGCCCCCGCCCCCGCCTTTTTCATCAGGTCCCGTGACGCCCATACCGCCGGCTATGACTTGACGAACGAGGTACCGATAGCGCCGGTGCGTCAGCGCGTCGGTTCATTGCGCTCACTGCACTATTGGGAATTATCGAGATGCAGAACAGGGGGAACCACATGACGATCCCTCGCCCGAGCCCCACGGGATCTGAGTAGTGATCAGTGCGCAGCAAGATGACCGACCCCGGGTACGGGTCGGATCGCATTTCATGTGTAGCTAGCTAGGGCAAGACCGCAGGTCGCAGGTAGGTCGAGGCCGAGGTCACACGACTGGCTGTTTCTTTCCTTTCCTCGTATTCTCGAAAGCCCAGACGGTTAGTAGCTCGAACTACGAGATCCAGATTGAACACATCAATCCGTAGTATCCGCGTCGTATGATACTCGGATAGTCATTGGTCGAGATTAGCTGATCGGCCGGTCCTTGCTCGCAGGGCCGACTGTCGATATTGATGGTGGGGCCAAGGTACGAATGGCTGTGGCCTGGTCATGACTTAATTGAAACGAGCTTAGACGAGCTCACGCTCGCATGTACTATGCGTGAGGTTGTTCGATCGGTCATCGGTACGAGGGGAGTACGACGAATAAGATTCAAGTCGGAAATATGCAGGCGGACATGACCATCGTGAGAAGGTTAGGTCCGAGCGGTACATTGAGTGGGGGTCGACTAGCTTGTAGAATCACGTCGTTAGCGTATGAATTCCGCACCTGAATTCGGCTGGGATTGATAGGCCGCAAGCTGGCACAGTGTAACCTAATACCTATCCGACAATGGAAATCAGGTAATTGCAAGGCTCCAAGATGATCTGCACGTGCAATAAGAACCGGTGAGCAGGTAGGGTTTCATCCGAGTTGATCTGAACGCAGATGATGGGGGGCGCGCTGCTGATCAAACGGACGCGTTCGTCCGGCAACCTGTACGGACATACACTTGCTTGGAAATCTGGACCTTTCGGTAGCTTAGCATACATATAAAATTAAATATACGAATCGAATACGCTCTATACGAAGGATTGATGAGGCAAGCTGACTCGAATATAGGTTCAACCCGCTGCTTTCATCGGCAGCCTCCTCATATCCAACTCGTACGCTCAAATGGGAGGTCCTTTACAAACAACCTTCGATGTTCTTAGTCGACTTGCTACACTAGCCACTCTGGGTGGTCTTTACGTGTCGACAAGATCCCTAGAAAAACAATACAAAGCCGACAAGGATAGCAACAAACGCAACGTCAGCGAGTCGTCAGTGGACAGCTTCATAAATGATCGCTTGCTACAGAAGTTTGTTGACACGTACGGGGGAGTGTTCAACGAATCCGATCCTTGGAGGCGGGCGATCAATTCAAGCTATCGCTTGATGGAGGACAAACTAATCAACGAACGGCTGATTCAAGGTTTCTTGCGAGGAACATCCAGCATCTCCGAGGTGACTTCAGCACGCTCGGTAGTCCTTCTGCATACTTTTCGCGACTTGTGGCGCGGGTGAGTCGGGCTGAAATATCAGAACAGCTGAGTTACGATAAGCTAATCATTCCATATAGGCACCCCGCAGCCGCTACAGATGAACGTACTTCCGAAGAAACGCTTGCTGAGTGGTACGGAGGGCCAACTTGCCGACTAGGCAGATTCTGGACCACACTAGCTCTTATGAACATCGCCGAAAGGCTCGCTACAGAGAACTCAGCAGGCGCCGATGACGTCAAGAACATGTACAACGCTATCACCAGCAAGTTGGGCAGATATGGACATTGTATCGACCAGGTACTACTGCCAGACGAATTGGAGGCGATTCGGCGTCAATTTTCGGAACAGTCGTCAGTGCTACATCATTCGACTCGAGTATGTATCCCACCGGACTGACTAGCTGTGGTATTCGGACTTGTTCTCAGGAAGCGTCTGCGTACGCCCAAGTGAGTCATACTCTCTTTGCCGTCGTGGACGAAAGACTTCCCTATTTCATGGCTTCGTTCTTCAATACACAGATGACAATTCTCTACGAGAACAGATGTACCGAAGGAGCGAGGGAGAATGGAGCGTGTTCGAAGTGTAGACCCACCAATCACCGAAACGATCGTGATATTGTATGACGTATAAGTATGCTGTATGAATCAAGCTCGCTCATGATCTCTCTCAGCTGCCGGGCGAGGAAGTGGTCGAGGACGGATACTGGCTGAATAGGGATACAAACATAGCCACGAACACGGATGCGTGACATATCATCTGCAACCTGATTAACCGCTTGAAAACTGCCACAACAGCTACCCTGTCACCTCACGTATGTGGGGTTTTCTACCAGAGGGTGCTTTCTGTGTGAAATGACCATATATTCAGTCAAAATATTCATGACACCCAAGGGCCTCGCCGCCGTCTGGTCATGGACTTGGCTTGCTGCGATGCTCACACAGGCTTATATATGAAGGGGGCAAAGGAAAAGCAGAGGGTCTGAGTCCCAAGCCAACCATTTCTACACCTTTTGATCTGCCTTGCGTTCGACCATGAGCTTACTAAATCAAGCCGTAAAGTCTGGTCTTTAGTTACAAGGGGAATATGTACGGAATCGCAGACACCCTATACAACTACACGCAACTAGCCAAAACACTATGCGCACAAGCAGCTACTTATTTCAACTGCCACATCCGTACCCTTCGGATGGCCATAGCTCGCTGTTTCAACTCGACAGGCCAGGTCCGATACCACTGTTCGGTGGTATGGAAGAAATCGGCCATAGCGTGAGGATCGCCGTTGATCCCAGCTCATACGTCAATCGTCTATATTCTGGGTGTCATCGTCTCTTCGACCGTTCCGGGCTCTTCGGTATCAGTTGCCTCCGTTCATGTTTGTAATCAATCGGATCTCTAGCTATTTTGGGGATTTCACATGGGCTATTGAGTCTGCATCCGACCTCTATGAACCGAACTCATAAGAGGGCGGACCCACCTAGAAGTGACCGACAGTCCCGATTGATGTGACTATGACCACACACAAACGTTTTGGTCAGGCCAACACGGATTCGGATGCAGTCAAGCCCGTTCCGACGACGTATTGGCAGAGGAAATCAATTGGTTTCAACTACCGCGCATGATGTCTATAGCTTGGCAGCTTTCCTGATCATACTCCGATGAAAGGATCTCATTTTCGGGATCCCAATCTTATTTAGTGTATCTCCACGGGAGATATAGTTGAGCTGTTCTATATATTTGCGACCATGAGCGTGGCCAAGAGCTACAGACGCCGGGTCCTGACCGCTATGATACGGTCGCGAATCGGTTCGACCTCAGATACATCTCTTTCCAGTCTTCATATGCCCTTGCCTTATATGGCGTCCAGAGAACAGCAATCGCAGCCCAACGGACACGCGATATCACCAAGCCTAGCAGAGCTCGAAAGATCTGTAAGCAAGGCTTCAAATTAATAAAAAAAACGCTGCTCATCGCCAGCGAGGACTGTTACGCTGACAAAAATGACCATCAGGATGCGGGGAGACGGCGTCGAGATATGCAGTTCAGAACCGCCGCCAAGCACAAGCGTCGCCAATGGGCTATTTGGCGCCGTCAATACCAGGCTGGTGACGAACCCGTGCAGCTTACCAAAGGTGGAGATCCATGGGATGGTATAGTTCTTCTGAATGATGCGGAAAAGACCGCATTTCACGATGAATGGGTGAATGGTCTGGAGCGCACGAAGGGCGGGATCTATGAGACCTACGGCGACCATGCCATCGGGCTGGATCAACCGAAGCAGTGCTCTGTTCTCGGTTGTGACAATAGCTGTTGGTGGAGCGAGATGAATCATTCACGATATTCCAAAATAGACGCTGGTTACGTGCCTCCGAGGACTCGATCCAACCATGGCGAGCCTTCTATCCAGTCCACAGTATCCGCACCTGGTACCACCTCGGTCACAGTAAACGCAGGATCTGGGGGTGCGAGAAGTATTACCTGTCACATCAATCGCCGGTATGATTCCGCGCCGAGCGGTAGTGAGCAGAACGCCCTGTTAACGGTCCTGTCGCATGAAGCAGACACAGCACGGACGGAACAGAGCCTGTACGCCTCTGATATCTCAACGCATGTACCCCCTCGATAGATTTGTCTCACATTGTAGAGCCGGAGACATATGGAATCCGTTTGACTTCCTCGTATCTCCACATCTCGAAATTCTCCCCTAGACCAAACGTATCCCATGGCGCAAACTCATATCCCCTCGTTGTCCAGTCTCTAATGCTGTACCGACTCGTCCGTTGTATACATTCTACAGCCCATCTCCCCTTGAGATGGCGGACTTATCGTTAAGCACCTTTGTCGTAGCTATACATACGGCTCCTACAAGTGTCCTTCAGGAGACACACTGTCAACCCTGTTACCTAGCGCGCGCCTCTCGCTCGCCATGGCCTGGACTCGCCCCGATCATATGAGGCTTTCCGCGTGATAGAGATATCGGAGATCGGAGATTGAGTCTAAACAGCTGCTTTCTCGCTAGACACCTTATTTCCAAGGGCGCACTCCGATGATGAAAGGATCGGTCAAATTGAAATATTTTCACGTACAGGTCGGTTCCAGGGCTGTGTGATACGGATGTGATGTCCACAGTATACTCATATAGGTCAGCTCGAGAAAAGGCTGTTTACAATCACCCTCGCTGTCGGTCGTGTTGATCGCACGTACACCAGTCGATTTACTCCAGATCATTCGCTCAGACACTTTCGAACATGCCGGCAGATCACAATCATCAGGTAGAGACCAGTAAAGCGTTGCAAGTTTCGGGCGATCGTCTGCGTGAGATGGTGAGCATGCCTCGATCTCTCGATGGCATGGAACTCATGACATTGAGTAACGGGCAGTTTGTCTCTTTCAGGCTGCAGCGCACAACAGCTGCTACCAGTCTCATGAGCTCAAGATTGCGGAGCAGCCCAAGCGATTGATCGATATCGCGAAAAACCCATCTCAGCGAGCTGCTCCGCTGAACCGTCAACAGGTCGGATGGGTGCAGTATGCTTGGTTGAACCCAGGGGAAGCCGCGGAATACAATAAGACGCTGGACCAGTACGCAAATCATCACCGTGAAACATACCAAAAATCGACGGAGATCGACCCGAGACGCGAAGATCGCTCGGCAGAGGTTGCAAGCTCTTCGACATCTCTATCGGCTGTTGAATCCACCGACTTCACGGCCTCCACCCGAACTGGAAGCAGCTCGAACCCTTCGACTGAGACGGTCGATTCCATCTATTGGACGTGTCAGAATCGCTTGTTTGATATCGACGTCATGTCTAGTAACTTTACAGTAAAAATCGTCTAGTTATAGTATCTATAATATCTTGATAACGTTCGCTTACGTAAAGCTATGACGTGTCTTTTACTTCCGCCCGAACGTATCAACTACCGTGATGTCATTGCTGACGTCGATCCCAGAAGATCCCAAAAGAATAGATGTAGAATGTTCTTCGTAATGCTGTCGTAGATTTGTATTGACTGAGATGAACGGCTTCCGCCGAATTCGTGCTTCCGCCTAAGTAGGCCGCGGTGAAGGTGATGACGTTTAGGACATGCCGATCGTATTGATGTGATGTTGGTATCGATCTCGAGTAAGGACCTTGGTGAACATGTCGGCTGCGTTCTCCCAAGTGGGGATATGTACGACCGCTAACTCGTCTTCCTTAATCTTCTCGCGAATGAAATGGTACTTGATGTCGATGTGTTTGGTCCTGCCGTGGTGGACCGGGTTGTACGAGATCGAGATCGTAGACATGTTGTCTTCGAAGATCGTCATTCGGATTCTTCCGAACTTCAGCTCGTCCAAGATGCTGCGGATCCAGCATCCCTCTTTCGCTGCGCTGGCGAGGGCGATGTACTCAGCCTCGCAAGTAGAGTCCGAGACCGTTGGCTGCTTCTTTGAGGACCAACTGAAGGCTCCTCCGCATAGGGTATAGACGTAGCCTGTTGTGGACTTCCTGTCGCGGGTATCTCCAGCATGATCGGCGTCGACGTATCCAGCGAGTTGACTGGATGTACCCGTGTACGTGATTTTGTGGTGGTTTGTATGACGAAGGTATCGTAAGATTCGTTTGGCAGCCTGCCAATGTCGTGGGTGTGGATCAGTGGAGAAGCGGGCGAGTAGGCTCACGGCGAAAGAGATGTCGGGTCGTGAGCCGTTGGAGGCATAGAGAAGGGATCCTATGACAGACAAGTAAGGTACTTGCTTCATCTCCAGTCGATCTTCGTCGGTAACGTTAAGATTGGTGAGGTCGTCGCTGGCCATGGGAGTACTAGTCTGTCGGCCGTTCTCGGTAGAAAGACCGAATCGTTCGATCATCTCGCTAATGTAGCGGATCTGCGAGATGTGGATTTGTCGATTCCCTCTATCGCGAGTGATTTCGAGACCGAGGTAGACTTTCGGATCGCCTAGCTTCTTGATTTCGAAACAGTTCGCAAGGTGATCCTCGATTGTCGTCATGTGTATTCCGGAGTTAGAGAACATAAGCAAATCGTCCACGTAGATGATGATAGCGATGAAGATTCCTTTTTCGAAGGACATGAAGAGGCAGGGATCCGACTTGGCTTGCTGAAGTCCAAGAGCAGCTAGCGTACGAACGGCTTTCTCGTTGAACTGTCTCGGAGCTTGAACGAGACCATAAAGGCTTCGTTTGACGCGATAGCATTGATCCTTGCTGAGCATGTGCTCGAAGCCTTCCGGTGCCGACATGTAGATTTCTTCTTCTAACTCTCCGTTGAGAAAGGCCGTAACAATATCGTATTGTTTGATCTCCCAGTCCATATATGCTGCTAACGCGAGCATAAGTCTGATGGTCGTCATCTTGATAACCGGTGCAAACTTCTCGCCGTAGTCGATCCCTTTCCTCTGGGTGTAGCCTTTTGCTACTAACCTCGCTTTGTACTTCGTTTTCATTTTCTCGTCGTACTTCTTGGTGAAGACGAAACGACTCCCTACGATGTTCCGGCCGAGAGGTCTGGTGACAGTCTCTAGAACACCGTACCTCTGCATCTGTTCGAGCTCTTTTCCGATCGCTTCCTCGAAGTGGATCCTATCGTCACCAGCTAAAGCTTGCCGGTGGTTGATTGTCTCGTTGGCTAGCGACGCATAGTAGTGTATGGCGTCGGAGTTTTCGTCCACGATGTGTGAGGCAAGTTCGCGTTCAAAGTTCCACTCTTGTGTAGTTTGGTCGTAGTTGTTGAGTGAGGATTCAGTAGCGGAAAGGTATGTTTGTGGAATACCGATGTCTTCTAAGAAGGCCATCGACATTACATAATCGGTGAGGTGAGCTGGAGGTCGTTTCTGTCGTTGAGGTCTGGTGGATGTATCGTTCTTCGTGTTTGTGTCGTTGGTCGAGCCAGAGTTGCCCGATAGTTCTGTGTCATGTGATGAGGAGGCAGTGACGCCGCCAGGTGGTTTGTCTTTGGGTTTTTCAGGAGTGGTGGATTCGTCGGGTTTCTTCTGATCGGGAGGAGGACTGGGCGGAACGGGTGAGGGAGGTCGGTTTTCTTTGTCCGGTTCAGTTTCGGACGCTGTTTCAATTACTCTGACGTTTGTACGTTTCACGATCATTACCCGACGTTTATCTGTATGCCAAACCAAGTAGTTTTGTCCATCGTCGCTGTATCCGATGAACTTCCCCTCGACAGCCTTAGCGTCCAACTTCCGCCGAAGTTCGTCTGGATTGCGAACAAAGCATTTGCTTCCAAATACTCGCAAGTACGAGACATCTGGCATACCTCCGTACCAAAGCTCGTAAGGGGTACTACCGATGGTTCGATTGAAGCAGCGATTCTTCGTATGAACGAAAGCGTTTACCGCCGCTCCCCAGAACCCGTATCCCATCTTTGTCTCGGCGAGCCAGGACCTTACGGCGTTCATAATTGTACGGTTGATACGCTCCGCAACTCCGTTTTGTTGCGGGGTATATCGACCGTTGACCGAGTGGGAGATACCGTTTTCGTTGCAGAACGCCCTTACAGATTCATTCAGGAACTCCGTTCCTTCGTCGGAGTGGATCCTCTTCACCGGCGCTCCCTTGGCTCGCGCTGCCGCGCAGTAGAACTTGAATTTCTCGAGAATCGTCTCCTGTCGTCTATCTGCCAGTAGATATACCGTCGCCCATCTGCTGAAGTCGTCCGTGATTGTCATGAAATACGTATACCCTCCACCCACCGTTTTGACGTGGAGGGGACCACATAGGTCTGTCCAAATGAGTTCGTTGCATGCTGTCGAGCGTGTCGGATGACCATTCGCCGCAGCAGTCGTCATTTTCCCGATGATGCATTCTTCGCAAACGAACGTTTCCCCGGTATCTTTGATGTTTAGATTCGATACCTTGTCTCGCATCCTCTTGATCCTGCCAGCACTAAGATGGCCTAATCGGCGATGCCAGGTCTGGAGCGTTTCCGCGTGTTGCGTCGAAGATAGCGCCGCTGCTTTTGGTTGACTGATCAGCAGCTTCATGTTGACGAGGAAGAGACCGTTCTTTTGTTCTCCCTCTCCTACCAGACGCGATCCGTTTTTGATTTCCGCCTTTCCCGTTCCAGCCGGGAAACTCACGCTCAGTCCCGCCTTGTTTAGCGAGTCCGTAGAGAGTAAGTTCACGGCAAGGTCTGGGACATGCAGGACTTTTCGTATGTATGTCGTCTTCTTTTGTCCTCTGACTTCCATCTCGGCTTGCACGGTACCGAATCCTACTCCGTTGATGTATCTTCCGTCTCCTACATACACCTGCACGGTGCATGGTGTGTAGGTCACGAAATGTTCCTTCCGTCTAAACATGTGCCCTGACGCTCCCGAGTCTAACACCGTCTCGTTAGAATCCAGTCGGGTTGCCAGGGCAACTGCTTTACCGCATCTCGCGTTGATGTCTTCGTCAGGTTCGCTTCCAAAGGTCTCGCATCGCGTTCGGCTGTCCTTGACGGGAGCCAGAGGCAGCCTACCTCTGCTCCCTCCTTCAAAATCCTGTCCGTGCGAGAGTTCGTCGAAGAGAGCGTCGTCAGCGGACATGTCAACGCTCCCTACTGCTTTGCTGGCGAAACACTGATAGAGTTCGTAATCGTCCGCCTGCGTCACGTTTGCCCTGGCTGTGTTTCCAGGTCCGTGATATTGTCGAGCCGGTAAGGAGCTAGCGGAACGTTGGAAGGGTGGGCGAGCCGCTGGGGAACCACCGGTTTCCGGACAGTTGGACTTGTAATGTCCTATAAGGTTTGCCAGCAAACCTGAATAGTAACACACGGGACTAGAAGGTACGGGTAGGGTAATAAATGTAATAACGGATGTCTAACTACTACAAGGTGCTAGTTAGACATCTTCGAACACATCTCCTAATAGGTCTCCGAGAGAGTCTCCGAGAGAGTCTCCGAACGGACCTCCGTACGAGGTGAAAACCTACATCCCGCGTGGGTACGACATGCGTACCGCGGATGCCTATAATAGGATCCCCCCCTTAGGGCGAGATTCCAGATTGCCCAAAGTAGCCGAGTAGTCCGAGGCTAGAGTAGACGTTTCATCTTGAAGTTCTTTGTTCCCTCGAAACGTCCAGTGTCTGTACCCTCGCGACTCTCCTCACGTCTCCGCTCTATTGTCCCCGAAGAGATCGTCTAGAACCTTCGATTTGTACGTCTAGGTACACTGGTTCTCTCTGAAACACTGCTCGGCGCCCGTGGGTGCTGCAATGAAGAACCTATTGTCTATCGGTGTCGTCGACTCGTCTGAAACGTCCAGCCGACGACGATGACGCGTCGCGCGTCGATTTCCTATTGTCTCCCCCGCGGACATCGCAACATGGTCCTGTCCGCGGTATTGTTCGTTGATGTAAACAAAGGTGATGTCGTATGTATCGACGTCCTTTCTAACCGATATCGCTGTATTCTCTTTGTCGTGTTCGAAGTAACGACTTCTTGCTTTGTCCTAGTAGCTGCTACCTAGGTCTCTTTTGTCTTGTTCTCGAAATGTGAAAGGTATAAGACCCCCGAGGGGGTTTGTCGACTTGATGTTTTTCGACGTACGTATCCTCTCTCCTTTAGCAAACCTATAGCTTACTATTCCCGTATCTTTTCCTTCCCTCCTTTCGTACGATGCCTCCCTCTGCTCCCCCTACTCCCTCGAGACCCCGCAAACGCAAGGCCGCCACGGACTGGGTAAACGACGCCGTGTATGGCTACATACGCGGTAACAACTGGGAAGGCTTCGAGATCAACGAGGTCAACGCCTTACAGAAGGCGAAAGAACGATTCCGAGGAACCGTCCCGCCGGAGGTAATCTCCGCTTGGATGAGAGGGGATGTGGATGGCGTGAATGGGTTGCTGGTAAGCCTTTGATATTCTTTTGTTTTCGTGTCTCCGATAGGGTCTCCGAGAGGGTCTCCGACTGACCCTCCTTTGATATCTGATTTTTGATCTTCAGGCCCAATTCTCCGGTGGTTGGCAATGGTGTTGCCAACGTTGCTTCGACGGTGGCAAGTTCAAGAGCGTCACTCCCGCCGACTTTGTGACGTACAACCCGGAAGACGGCACGTGGTGGGACGTGATCAGCGTCGAGGGTCTCTTTTTCTGCCGCCATCTCATCCACCCGCCGCACACCGCCGGCAACGTCACCAGGTCCTGCGGTCGGTGCGCCCCGAAGAAACTCGGTTGTGCCCCCGTTCCCCGAGAGATGGTTGTCGTCTTCGACGACGATGAGGATACCGAGACCCGAGTTCGAGCGGGGTTGGTCTTGTTGCGCGCCGACAAGATGGCCTTGGGGACTCGGGATGAGGTCGCGACCGAGATCGAGAGGCTCCTCGATACGGTTGTGAGTTTGTTTTCTTCTATTCTTTTTCTTTTTCTTCTTCTTCCACTGACTCCTCTTGCATGCTATCCGACATCCAGATTGTACCTCAACTCAACCGTTGGTCCGGTGTCTCCGTCATGAGCGAACGCGGGGCTCTCTACAAGGCCATCGCCGACAACAAGGAGGAGTGGGACCACCTGGACCCCAACACCCGTCGCGGTTGGGAAGGGTTCGAAGAGGCCCGCAAGATCACCTTCGATTTCGCCGAGGGTCAGTACAAGCCTCTCCCCGTGTGGCCCGGCGAGGAGGACGCCATGGATGTGGACGAGGAGGAGACCGAGGTCCAGATCGTTAGTACTCTCTTTCTACGTTTGCGTTTTGAGCTAACCCAAGTTCTCCTAGGCTGCGCGGGAACGAGACGCTCGTCTCGCGGCCGAGAAGGCCGACGAAGAGGCCCGCCAGAAGCGGCTTGACGCCGAGGCCGCCAGCAAGGTCGCTGAGGACGCTCGTTTGGAGTACGAACGGGCCCGGGACCGCCTCGCCGCCGTCAACCCCCTTCGGTTCCGTACCCCCCCCGCCGACCCGCCCCCCGCCAAGGACGCCGCTCCCCCTCCCGCCCAGGACAAGCAGCCCTCGCAACGAGGTAGCAGGGCCAGGTCCCAGCGCGAGGGGACCGCGACCGAGCACACCGCGGACCGCAACGAGGGTGATGGTGGCGATGGCGGTGGCGATGGCGGTGGTGACGGTGGTGGCGACGGTGGTGGAGCGTGATTTTGTTTGTGTTTGTAACGTCTCGTTTGGTCGCCGTTCGGGGGTCGGCTCCCTTTTTATTTTTATGCTATTTTCTTGTTGCGATTCATTTCTCCAGCAAAGTCTCCAAACGTGTCTCCGAACGAGTCTCCGATTGAGCCTCCAAGCGAGTCGTGGTACTTCATTGTTTTCGTAAGACAAACTTGATTGTCGTTGGCTCGTTAAGTTCGTAAAAAAAGGAATGGTGATAAACATCTTCGTCGGTCCTGCCGACGAAGGTACAACAATGAGTAATGACAATCACGAAAACCCTAAGCACCCGGAGTCCATAGCAACGGCTCGTCCCCGTTCTGCTTAGCGAACTCCTCGTCCCAATACGCCTGGTGGTTCTGGGCGGGAGGTTGCATGTACGTCGCAGCCACCTGCATTCGACCAGCCTGTTGCCGAGCCTGCCACCAAGCAGGTGGAGACCTCTTGGCGTTGCTGCACTGGGCACTCCTGTGGCCGGGCTGCCAGCAGTTGTAGCAGGGTTTCCCGCCGGGCATCCTCGCAGCGTCCACCTCCATGGGCGTAGCACCCGACGTGGCGGCCACCGCAGGAGTGGCGGCCACCGCAGGAGGGGCAACAGTGGTGTTAACCACAACAGGGTTTCGGGGAGCGACGTGGTTACCTGCGTAACGATTTCCGCTCGTGTGGGCACGGTTACCCGAAGACGTGTGCCTACGGGCTTCCGCTTGGTCTTCGTACCGACGACATTCCATCTGGAACTCCGCCAGCGTCATATGCTCCTGGTTGGGCATAGGGATAATAGCGTCCTGAAAGGCCTGGTTCAGGTTGGCGCGGAAGAACGACCGTTTGCCGTACTCGTTGAGGTTTGGGAGGAGGGCGGCGAGGTCGTTGTACTCGGTGATGTACGTACTCAAGCTCTTGTTGCCCTGCTTCAGAGAGTAGTACTCCTTCTCCGTAGCAAGGATGTTCCTTCCCCCTCCGTACATCTCCACGAGCAACGCCTCGAACTCCCGCCAGGTGACCTGAGTTCGCCCCGACGAGTACTCCCTTGCCCATGCCTGGGCCTGCCCATCCATGTACGACTCCGCGTACATAATCTTGTAAAGGTCGGTGTACAACCCCGGCTTGACTTGGAACTCCCGGTTGCATTGGTCCAGGAATCCCCTAACCTTCTCCTTCTTGCTGCCATCGAACCTGTCCGGCGTACCGAACTTGAACAGCTTCGCTCTCGCTTCCTCCGTGGCCGTCGCCGATCGAGTGTCCCTCGACATTGCCAACTCCATCATCTGGCTATGCATGTTCGCCATCATGGAGAGCAGGGCGGAAACGTCCGGACTGGTAGGAGGCGCAGCGGCCGGAGCAGGGTTAGCTGCTGGGGGTGTTGACTGCATTTGTGGGGGAGTCTGCCCCATGTTGTTGGCCGGTGCGGCCTGCGTGGAAGCGGTAGGTACCCCCGTGGCACCTACCTCCGGTTGCTGGTGGGCAAAGACGCACTGGTCGTTTACCAGCGTCTCCCCAGTTGGGTTCCTCCACATGAACCTTCCTTGTCCATCCATCATCTGCATGCTCCCGTCTTCGCTCAAGACCGGGATCGCATCCGCAGGGATGGGGTGGACAGCCCTATCCGGTCCGTAACACTGCGTGAACGTATTCATCGTATACGGGGTCTCCTAGTCGGGGTGTTTGGGTGATCCGTTATTCTATAAGGTTTGCCAGCAAACCTGAATAGTAACACACGGGACTAGAAGGTACGGGTAGGGTAATAAATGTAATAACGGATGTCTAACTACTACAAGGTGCTAGTTAGACATCTTCGAACACATCTCCTAATAGGTCTCCGAGAGAGTCTCCGAGAGAGTCTCCGAACGGACCTCCGTACGAGGTGAAAACCTACATCCCGCGTGGGTACGACATGCGTACCGCGGATGCCTATAATATGTCCTTTCTTACCGCAATCGTAGCAAGTGATGTGTTCGACAGGAGTAGGTTGTCTGGAGGAGGTATTGGATCCTCCCCTCCCACGACCTCGTCCCCGTCCCCCGTAACCTCGATTGTTTAGGGCGGTGGCGAGTGCGTGTAGTTGGTCGGTGGGTTCTTGCTCTTCTTCCATGCCTAGAGACATGAGCGCTTTCATCAATACGTCTCCTTTATCTAGCTCTACTTTCTTCGCAGGTTCCTTTGTCGAGAGGGATTTGTTTCGGTTGACGAGTCGTGTGCAGAGTTGTCCGTAGATATAATCCAACGAGATCTCCATCGGCGTGCTATTGAGCACCAGGTTGATCGATTCTACCATGTTTGCGTACGACTCGGGAAGGCTTTGTAAGAATAGATCGACTATACCCTCTTCTCCTTCTCCGAGACTTCCGCCTGCTTCCAAATACTCTCGGTATTTGGTTCTCATGTCGTTGAAGTGTTTCTCCAGGTCTCCGTTCTCTTTCATTCTCATGCCGAACAGCTGTCGACTAAGTACGGAGCGGACCGATCTGCCGCTAGGTTGGTATAGAGTTTTCAGTTTCTTGAGTCTTTCCCTGCAGTCGGAGATGTCGGTGATATGGACTCGGACTTCGGGTTCGCACAGGTCTGTGATCAACGCTGCGGCCCTGGCGTTTTTCGTGTGCCAGGCTTTCATTTCCGACTTCTCTTTACTGCTCCACGCAGCAGGTTCTTTCTCTTCCCCATCCTTGTTTTTGAATAGAGGACGGTCGAGTCGGAATATGTCGGTGGCTCCCGCCACGTCCCAAAGGTCATGGAACAGGAGTTTCGTCTCGATTTGTTGCCTCCAGGTCGTCCAGTTTTGGATGCCTTTCAGCTTTTCGATTTGTGCGTTCTTGTAATCGGTAAGAGAAGACATGATGACTACTGCCAAGATGGCTTCTCTCTATCGGTATCGGCTTCGGTGTATCGGTTCAACGTGTGGTGTTCGGTTCGGTGTGTGTTGTTTTTCGTTTCGGGCTAAGAGTTCTATCTCAGTCTTTCGGTATCGGATCGTTATCGTTTTTCGTCGTACGTCAGCTAAGACGTCTATTATTCACTGTGAAGCTTCCTCTGACTGACTGAACGTTATGAAGAGCCGCTACCATGTCAGAATCGCTTGTTTGATATCGACGTCATGTCTAGTAACTTTACAGTAAAAATCGGCCAGTTATAGTATCTATAATATCTTGATAACGTTCGCTTACGTAAAGCTATGACGTGTCTTTTAGGACGCTTAGTCCCGAGGGCGGTTGGAAGCCAGTCCAGAGGAAATGAAACTTTCCAACCTTGTCATCCCCTCGTCCAAGATGCATACTATATCTCGATACCTTCTGTGTTATCCGATTACTATATCTCGATACCTTCTGTGTTATCCGATTACTATATCTCGATGTCTTCTGTATTGTCCGACTGCTTCGATTGATTTCAATCACCTAGAACGTGCCGCCTGGAGAGAAACCCTTGAGGCATAAGCATACATGTAGCAGGAGCTTGCTTGCTCTTCTCTGCAGCTTCATTGAAGTCATCATGCCACCGGATCGGCCGGCAATGGCAGCATCGCTGGTACTCGCGTTTCACTCTACGAGGGATTCACATCGATCCATGTTTGGCCGCTTCGGCTGATGCCCTGCCTTCTTTTGGCATAGCCAAAGTACGCAACGATCTAAGCTATGTGGAGGATTTAATGCCTTGATGTGATGTTGGAGATCCGCAGGCTAGAATCCCGACACTTTACCAACATAGACAGAGCAGAGCCTATCCAGCTCAATCTAACAACTGCAGGCGGAGGCGGAAAAGTATCAAATAAAACTGCGCCTGGCTCTTGAGCCTGGTAGACGTACTAATCAATCTCCTTCGAATCAAAGGATGTTCATGTGAGCGGAGATGTTTGTAAGTAATGTCAATCCGACGGAAGCTTTGGCCAGGACAGCATATAAATCTTTTAAGGCCAGAAGCCAGAAAGTCATTTGCCGAACCAAGCTGTATAGCAGATCTAACGTTCCCATTCATATTCCGATCGTCTCGCCCATGTCCTCTCCATACCGGCGCATCCAGCGCACCCTACTCCCGAAGTCACCAGGCCTTGACATACCCAGACGGGACACCTCTGGCTAGAATGAGGTGAAGACGCTCAGATGCTGCATTGTAGTAACTATGCCGCTCTCGTCATTGACTACTGCGTCAACTGCAGTTTCCTGAGTTTTTTCATGAAGGCTTCTTTCTCCATCGACAACAGTCAAGGAGGACCTTGGTTGTCAAGTTGGCAATTGCCTGGTTGAAGACACCCGGAACCATCGCTCCTTCCATGGCGGGCCAGAGGAATCAAAATGATCTCCCACAGTTCGCACAGATGGTATGTCGAGTCGTCCTTCTTCTGGGCTACGTCCGCTTTGCATGATACAAGCCACTTACTGATTATGTCCCCCTGGGCGAAGATAGGAGGGACAACGATGATCTTTACTTCAGGCTTACCGCTGAAAGCAGGCGCGTTGAGCGTGGCCAAGCCATGGATAACCCTACGCTCCAGCCATCTTCAATGGGTTCCGAACGGCAGAAAGACCTACCGTCTCACACAGGGTATGTGCCCATCCGGCCAAAGCCTGTTCCTTTCCTTGACGGCCGTCCAGGAGCCTCGATCCCGATCGCCATCGGAAACAACGTCAATAACATCGCTGGTCTCGGCTACGAAGCTTCGACGCGAATCGAAAACTCCTCCGCTAGCACAATCGGTTCCTTCGTACCGACAGAAGATCCGAAAGACCCTTTCAGACAGTCAATCTTGCAGCCTCACGGTAGTCATTGGCATACCTCACTGTGGGTCAGATTCGGAGGATTTGCTGATGAGGCTTCTGGTCCCGAGCCGCAATCTTTCCAGACAGAGCAACAATCTTCCACTTCTTCTGCTGATAGACCGCAATGAGCGCAGAGCGAAGCAGAGTGGTTTCCGTAGAGCCGGAAACATCGTCATCGGCTCAACCGGAACGCACACTGTATCTCAATGCCTTTCATATAATCCATTTGCTTCAATTCCTTTTCTTGTCCGACCATACAAATACACGTTCCTCACTGTGACCCGCATTAGTGCCAGACCTAGGCCTTGGCAGCCTTGATCTTCTCGGTCAACTCGGGCACGGCGGTGAACAAGTCTGCTACCAACCCGTGATCGGCGACCTGGAAGATCGGCGCGTCCGGGTCCTGCGAAGAATGAAAGGCAAGGTAAACGAGCGGATCAGTCTCGTTGTGATCGTTGTGATCAGAAATCAACCCGAGTGTAGGAACAAGAACAAAGGAACGGAAACAACAAGGTAGTGACCAGTGACATGGGAGATGAGACTGACCTTGTTGATAGCGACGATCATCTTGCTCTCCTTCATCCCCGCCAAATGCTGAATAGCGCCCGAAATGCCGACGGCCATGTAGAGCTCGGGGGCAACGACCTGCGATTTCCAAATAGCGATGATTTTCCCAAGTTCAACTTTCCTCAGCATCTCTCATCTTGGTACCCATCTTGGTACGGGTACCGGAAGCTTGAGACGAATCGGGAACGCACCTTTCCAGTCTGTCCGACTTGCAACGAGTTGTCCGCATAACCCGCATCTACCGCCGCCCTCGATGCTCCGATAGCTACCAATAACAAATGAATACCGTATTAGCATCTCATACCCCTATCTTTCTCAAACTCCCGTCCATAAAGCATCACAAGACTCACCGGCAGACAAGCTATCCGCAAGAGGCTCCATGACCCCGTTAAACTGTTCCGCGCTCTTCAACGCTCGTCCGCCCGAGACGACCCTAGGGGCCGACGAGAGGTCGGGTCGGGAGGAGATGGTGAGTTCTTCCGAGAGGTGCTTGGTCGGGCCTGGATGCCGGTGGTCGATCGTGACGTTGATGATAATGATGGCGATGGTAATGAAGTTGGCAGTTAGGGTGGAATAGGAAGTGGAAGAACGTGGATTTCGATACGATCAGATTCAGTTGTCGACAGAACGTTTGCCGCACTCCCGACTCACTAGTCGAACCGACCGCCTCAACCTGAACAACCTCCGCCCCATTCCCCTCCCCCAGAGTAGCTTTATCAAAAGCCGTCGTCCTAACCGTGACAACCCTGACCCTATCCTTATCCTTAGTCGTCTTTATCTCAAGAATCGCATTCCCCGCATAAATCGGCCTCTTAAAGACAGTCTCTTCTTCCGCACCTTCGGTATGGGTAAGGGAGATGATATCGGCTATCATGCTCACGTTCAAACTACCGGAGAGACGGGGGAAGAGGTCTTTGTTCACCGCCGTATGGGCGGAAAAGAGGTGGGTGGTGGGGTTGGAGGAGTCGAGGAATTTGGTTAGGACGGGGGTGATGGCTGTTGAGGTATCGTATCGAGGTGGTCGGATAGGTGTTCGGTGTAGCGTCAGCACGGGGTGACAATGTAGCGTGTTGATTTCACCAGGTCGAACTGTGTGGACGAGATACTTGCCTTCGGCGAGTCCGTGAGCGTAATCGGGAGAGCTGGCCGTGTAGATCTTGCTGAACCCGTCGATCCTGCAAAGTCGAACCGGATCAAGGTGAAAGCACGACAAAAAGAGAGCGAGATCGTCAATACCCGATCGGAACCGCCTGTCCGATCTCCCCAAAGCTCGCTCCGATCAAGCCAGGCCTTGATTTATTGTACCCACCTCTTGACCTCCTCAGTGACCTTGCCGACCTCCTCCTCGGTCCCGATGATGATAGCGTTCAGATCCCCCTTGACCTGCTTGGCAGCGGTGACGGCGTGGAGGACGCTATCGTTGAGTTTCCCATCCTTGTGCTCGATGTAGACGAGTGACGAGGCGTTCCGGGTCGACCGGGCGGCGGCGGACAAGAAGGAGCTCGATGCTCGAATGGATCGACGAGAGAGGAACATACTGTTGGACTGTGTGGGCTGGTCGTCAGTGGCGAGTGGACAATCGAAGATCGGTTACTGGCACCGGAGAGGTTGTCTCAACTCATTGTCTGTGTCCATGAGGTTGCCGCTGCTTATGATCGAATAACCGTCCAGACCCGAAGTCGCAAGCAACAAAAGATACGCGTCGCCCCCTTCCTCGTCACCTGAAACGCTCCCCATCTATACATCATCCACACGATCTACACATGATCGAGGATGAACACGATCCTGCAATGAGGCTGATCAGTATCGGTCAACACCTCGACCGATCCCGTCCCTCACCCGTCCTCGAACGTCGAGAGCCTCAAGGTCACGCTGATCGCCTGGTCACGGTACACATTCATCGTCCGTCTAATATCGACGCCAACAACCCCCCACCGATCGCCATCACCACAATCCCAACACTTCCAACGCTTACAAACCTCTCGATCCTGTGTCTTTTGACTTGTACGATCTCGTCCTGTGGATTGAGCGGGACCAGCCCTTGTTCGATCGCGTCCTCCTCGTCGCCTCCCGCCGGTATTATGGCCCCTGTCGTGGATGTTGCGGCCGTGGCGCTGCGAGTGCCTGGGTAGATCTGGTCCAGCACAGCTTCGACCATATGAGCACCGTCCAACCGAGGTAATGGCAGCACGTTGAGAAGCGCTAGTGATAACGACAGCGTGGCCATGTAGCTGCAGACACATCTTGTTCGTCAGCGGAAATCCCTACGCCGCAACAGACCTGGTCCCAGACTCACTTGAAAACAAGCTCAAACCACCCGACCACCCACCTCCCTATCGTCCCGAACCTTCCCACCCACCGAGAGACCCTGACCGTCTCCCAGATCTCCCTCTTCTCTCCGCTCCAGAGTACGACAACGGGCCCCTGTTCATCGTGCTTCTTCCCGCCCGTCCCTGACCCTGCGCCTACCCCTGCACCGGGGTGTCTGTCGGCATGCGCCCCGAATCCGATCGCTAGGTTGGTAGTAGCGCGGGGTAACCTCCATTGTATTCTCATTATCCTCTCTTCCGGTACCGGCCGTACGCAGACTTGAGATGCGGACGAACAAGGACAAGCCCACGTTCTCGATGTCAAGAGCGGGTAAGCCGGGAGACACCTCTTCGTCCCCATCCCCTTGCCCTTGTCCTTTCCACCTTGACCAGCGGTAGGTACGACAGGGACATTGCTAGGGAGACTGGTAAACTCCACCAACCCTCCCGGGCACCCCACGGCTCCTTCTGATGCCGATGTCGTAGGCGTCAAGGAGGCGAGATACCGTTTCTTATCGATACACCATCCTCGGCTCTCGTCTAGCCCGGGTCCACCTCTTATACCGCCTTTATTGCTGTGAAGATTTCCAATGTACTGATTGCCAAGGAGATAGTCGGACCATGTATCACGTTCTCCCGAGAGGCGGGTATCGTCCAAGAATTCTATGATTGATCCTATCGGTATGTGTCCATTCAGGGCGGAATCCTGTGCCGTGCCACACACCGCATCAACCACAAAGGGATATCAGCTTCAAGTCCTCAGATGCATTCGGACTCTTTTAGGCTGTACTGACCGAATCGATCCCCAAGACGACCCTCCCCTGGGCCGTATAATCGTGATAAAAGACCACGGACATCCTCGTCGCAGCGATCGTCATCAACACTGCCCAGGTCAACAGGTTGTTCCAAGGGCCGGAGGCTGCCATACGGAGTCTCGAAGACCTATCAGGTATCGCGGCGGATAGTAGTGGACGTGGTAGAAAGTTAATATGGACGATCAGCGTGTATATCATTACATACAAGAATCTTGCGGGCACTCACGGTACGAGATCAGAGGTGGTCTTGGGAAAAGTGACCGATGCGGCCGGCACGACCAAATGCAGATTCAAGGCCAGTCTCGTCGGTCTGATCGAGTCCCTATAGGTCGGCCGATCGGCCGCAAGGTACCATCGACCACGACCACATCATCAGCTTTGAATTTTTGCTTTGGCCTCGTATAGCCCACAAAACGCCAAACCCGGTACTCACATGGCTCCAGCGATAACATGGCCTGCCTCGTGGATGATTTGAGCAACGAGCAAGGTCCCCACAATAGGCACGATATGAGAGAACGGGACCGTCCATCCCGGTATCTACAGAACAGTAGTGCACCACCATCCAGAAGAAGCATCAGTCATTGTCCTGCCCTTCAGAAAGATCACATGCTGATAAGAGGGAAGTGGACTCACCAGCGCCTGTACGACATTCCCCCCTTCCGGCCTATAACCATAGCCCTCCTCCATCACTCCTTCCAACCCTAACCCCTGATCGTCCGTTACTCCTCTCTTTCCCAGACCTCCCATCCCCGTCCCTGTCTGACCCACTCCAACCTCCCCACCCGTCATATCAATACCATGCTCACCCCTCCCGAACGTCACTCTCCAAACTTTCCCCCAACTCTGTCCAGCTTGCCAAACCATCACCCCTAATGCGAACCCCATCGCTACCAGACACACCGGACCTGCTAACCGAGTGTAGGTGTATAAGAGGAGACGTCGTGCTCTTGAAGCCCAAGATCGATTGTTCGAGGCAAAGGTAGAGGTGGAGGTGGAGGGGAAGGGTTTGGGAAAGGGAGTAAAGGGGATGAGCATCGGTTCTGTTGAGGTCGAGGTGGAGATATTGTCGGCATTGGGAGATTGGGTTTGGGATTTAGGGTGGTCGTCCGGGTGTAAAGAGCTAGCCGTAAAGCGCCGGCCCATCGTCATACCCATTCCCATCCCTGGACTCTGGTTCGGGTTTTGGGATTTCATCTCCGTCGAAGAAGGCGACCGAGGTTCTCGAGCTCCCAACATTGAAGTCGAGGTAGGAATAGAGGTAGAGGTAGGAGGCTGAACAGGATCGGTCGTCATCGTCACCGCCGTCATAGCATAATTGACCGGGAAAAACCCATCCCGAACAGGTTTCTCCTCAGTCCGGTCTTCTTCTCTCGTCTCCTCCCCCTCCTCCTCCTTAATATTGGTAGTCGAAGTCGATGACCCCTGTACGGGGTCGACCAGAGAGTTCGACCTGGAACTCGAATTCGGATTCGGCTTGACCACGTCCACCCCAACAATGCCCAGCCCGACGCTCCCCTTCCTCGACCCCTCTTCTAAAGGGGTGACGATCTCTTCCTCCACCTCCATCGACAAAGATAGCCTCTTCGAATTCACATCCAGATCCAGATTCAAGTCGTCCTTGAAGACATCCTCCAAACAGCTCAAGACCGGTGGGTAAGTCGTCCACATCGACCAGGTCGGGATGGGCCAGTACGACGCCCAGCCGTGGCCGAAATCATCAGGGTTATCGTGGATTGTTTTCCTGATGAGCTGCCACCGCTTATTCCATCCGGATATCAAGCTAGCCCCCAAGCTTGAGCTTGACCGTCTCGTGCCTGTTGCTCCATCCTGGTCTCTCTTCGAACTCGGCATCGACAACGGAAAGACCCCATTCATCCCCCCCGTCCCATTTCCAGCCGAGCTCAAACTCCTCCTACTTACAACCCCAACCCCCGCCCCTAAACCTTTGAGCTTGATAAAATTGAGCAAAGGAGCGAGTCCTCGGCTGAACAACCTCGGTCGGAGCAAGAGCACGAGAGCGAGGAGGATCAAGATGAGGAATCCTGAGAGGAGGTAGGTCTCTTCGGCCGGAGTGAGGGCGATGTCGATGTACATGGCTGACCGGGATCCCGCTGAGTTCCTCGACTCGAGGTACTAACTCGAAGCTGTAAGGTTGCTCGCAGACTCACAGAACTGCTGTGCGTTGTATGTCGGCGACTTACCGCGAACAAGGTCGAGGTCGAGGTTATTCCGGAATTTGCTTCCGAGATATCGCCAAGAGTCGGAAGCAAATCTTGCCAGATTGCGTGGCAACTTCCTCCGTCGACAGCAAGTTAGGGCGATAACATCTCAAAGATCTAGAATTCTAGAATGACATATGGCAGTCGAGCTGTTTTTCGAAAATCCCCAGCTACATTGTTGATTCGTTCCATGTCGTTCTACGTCGGCCGAAGCTCGTCCAAAGTGCACGAGATCTGCCGAGTTCCATGCTCGTCTTAACTCTTATTGAGATCTGGGTATACCGTGTACTACCGCTGTACAACAAAACAATCCCAGGACATGCACCAAGCCTACATCATTCCACCTCTATACCACCCCAGTCCACGCCATCCACGCCATGACCCCTGAGACCGTAGCGCTGCTGATGAAATTGACCTGATTGTTGGTCAAGACGTCCCACCCGGCGATCACCTCCAACGATGTCGTCTCCTCTACCTCCTCCTTGACTTGCTCCTTCGTGGTCTTCTTCTCCTTGTTCTTTTGCTTCGCAACGCCCGTAGTAGGGTTGTGCAGCAAGATCCTCCTCGACTCGGTATTATACAAAGTCCGTTGCAATGTCGACCCAAGGACGGAATCCAACAAGCTCCCTCCCAACCCCGCTACCCCCCCTAGAACCATCCACTTGCTCCAACTTTCTTGTAATCCTGATCTCGTCCGGCCGTCTAATGCCCAGAACAACGCACCCAGTCCAGCACCCCCGATTAGGGATACGGTGGTCCCGAGCAAGGAGATGGCCCCGTTCGTACCCGGTGGGACGGGGCGGAGGGTTGTCAGTAAAATAGGGCGGGTGGGGGAGAGGATACCGAGCTGCGATTTCGAAAACAAGTAGCAATTCAGTCATCGTGTAACGCACAATATGGGCAGTCAATCGGATTTAAGAAGCGGAGATGACTGTGGACCCACCTCAGAGGACAAGGTATCGCCTAGACAAGTCGCCAGATGCCTATATCCCACCACATCCAGAACCACCCTGATGAGCTCATGATCCCTTATCCCTATTCTGACCCCTGACCCTAGCTGTCGCATCACAGAACTCACCCAAGAGCACCCAACACCAACCCCTTCCCCCAGACCTCCCACCCACTCCCACTCCCACTCCCCGCACTGGCACTCGTAACCCCGCTAACAAACCCCCTCATCCCCACCCACCCGACGACCCGCCCCAATCGTTCCTCCGTCAACGTAAACCGATAAACCAACGAACAGAGTAAGGAAGGGATCGAGTTGCTCAAGACCTGCGAGGCCGTCCGGAGACCCGAAGAAGAGGTCGGGTAGGGGGATTCTTCGAGTTGGGCTTTTAGGTGGGCTTTGTACTAAGGGTTTGAAAGGAAGTTCGGGTTGGATGAGGATGAAGGGCTTAGTTGAGTTATGGGGATCTTGGTTGGTGGAAGAAAGAAGTAGGAGGATGGAGGTGGGGACGTACTTTTGTGGCCAGCGTTCCCAGTGCGTCTGCATTCCAGAACGAGTCCAGCATGGAGACATACCAACGCTATCAGTATGATGCTATCATATCCTTATCTACCGGTACGGAAAACAGAGACAGGATGGAGGCCAGTTTTTGAGAACTCACAGAACGAGATCAACCCTACGCCAAAGACCGGATTATCGTTTGCCAGATGCAAGTACCTAACAACCCCCACGAGATCATCGAACCGGATCCAGTTGTCAGCTTTATCATCTACTACATTCCGAGGATGTTCTCGTTTCGTATAAGAAAGACAAGACTCGACGTACCCGACGAGGAAAGCCCCGACCGCCCCTGATCCAGAGAGGGATCGTTTCCTCCATCCGTGAGCTGCCAAGAGCATAGCTAATGAGAATGCCTTTGGGTGGAATTTGAGGGTCGTCGGCATCGTATCCAGTTTGGACCCACTCTAAGGGTCGCTGTTTGCGTTGCAGAGTGAGTTGGAGTGGTAGATGATGGGAACATAGTGGCGGATGTGGTGACGAGGTGAGGTGAGGTGATGAGAGGTCGAGCTTGCAAGCTGGAGTTGGCCGAATTGTAAACAAACCGCGCGCAGCCACTCACTTTCGGCTCCGAGATGGTTAGACTCGGATCGTCATGCAAACAGAGATATTCCCCGGCAGAGTTGATGTCAGAGGCGACAATCTTCGGTTGTATGCTGTCTGTCCTATGTCTCTGAATTTAGTCAGCTAGTGTAGCATCTCGAAGCTCTCCGCTTGCTGCATGAAATCTTATACGTGAGCGCGATTCATCCTGGAATTCCGGATCGGCGAGCGCTTGATGATGGGTCTCGTCTCTGGCTCCAATCCGTTCGTCAAGTGGGACCGACTTACAAATGTGTTCAGACTGTGATTGTACCATCCAAATCATCAATCAGAATACTGTGGTAAATACCCGGTCCTCCGGATGTTTGCGTATATGAAATCCAGCGCATAGCGACGGGTAGTCAGTTTGAAGCAGTCCGGTCAGGGGCGCTGCTTCCAAGACGAACATCTCGGAATTCCTGAAACTGAACAATTATTGGCTCGATGAGCTATTTCGTGTGTTATTTCAGTAATGAGTCGGCTTAGTAGCGAAAGTTGTAAGGGAGGGCTGCGGAATGTCTGCAATTCAGTAGAAGTGATACCTGAAACGCATGTCGCGCGCGCTCGCCACTGGCCGGTACAATACAAGTAGTGTATCAGTAAATGTCTTACATGTATAGATCCCACAGTGGCTATATGTGATAACCATTACGTAGTGACTCAGGACCGTATACAGATATACAAATGAATGGGTCCATACAATCAACGCTTGCTCGCCTGAACTTCGATCCAGTCCTGCTCCTTCTCGATATCGTCTCTCGATATACATATCTCCCTCACGGCATTGACATCCTTATGGATCTCCAGCATCAACAGTAAGAGCTCGAGAGTTTCCTTTCCTTACTTCCTCCCGCCAGGCTGTATTAGACCTCTTTGCACATCATCGTTCGGTCGTTTTGTTTTTGACAGGGGCCAATGAACCCTTTGATCTCGATGGGTCGAAATGCGTACACTTTTTCCCTTTGCCACGACAAGACCTACAGGCTTGGCCGGGTAACAGCTTCGGACGTCGTGGACGTGCGGGGTCGAAGTGTATGAATTTGTCATGCGTTGGTTTTCTCGGCTCCATTCTTGAACGTGAAGATGGGGCTATATAGCAAGGCAAGACCACTTCTTCAGCAAGGATAGAAAGGAGATAGCCGGGCCTTCGATCATCGCACTGTTCTTACCATATCGCCTTTCTCTTTGCTTCTCTGTCTCAAGCCCTTCACTCCCTGTGTCCTGTTTGATACACGCACATTCATTCTGAGATCGCTTGCAGTCTCTACACTCCTCTTTGAAGTTGCCTTCGGCCTTCCATCCTTGCTCAGAGGCAATCGATCTGTACGATTCCTGAGTACAAATCGGCGCCATGGTCATCCCTGACTGCAACTCAAAGTTTGAGGGCATTTCCGCGAATGTTCCTGCAGCGGGATTCATGAGCGAACCCGGTAGCATCGGCATTCCAGAGTGAACCCCCTCGCTGTTCCACCAGGAGTATGCGGAATTCGTGATGACACCAGTATAGGTGTATTGAGAAGCTGCCGTATCCCACTCGTATTGGTTGTAGATATGTGGGCTGTTCTGGCTTGTCGTGTAGCTGATTTGAGCAGGGTCAGAATGGTTGGGGTACCCTCCGTATTCGAGAGTACCACCCATGCGTGAGTTGAAAGTCATTGGGTCCTGTTCGACTTGCGAAAATTCGAAGTTTCCGTCAGCGGGGAAATAATCCCACTGGTTGCCGTCAGAATCGTTTGTGTAGTTATGGGGATATCCTTCCATATCGTGAGATCTTCGGATCAGCTCTTGACGTATTTTGATTACGCTACGAGACCGTGTGGATAGCTAGTAAATGAGAATACTCTATGCTGTTGACCACAACATGGTGCTACCACTCGGATATATCACCTATGTCAACAGGCAGAAAAGCAATATAGCTCCAGAATGATAACTCCTTTGATGCTCTCCTGAGCTCAATGGCGCAATGGTTTCAGCCATCGATATCGGATAGCTCACTTGGCAGCCGAGACAGGGGATAAAGGAGGTTTCATTCCAACTGCCAGTGGTCTAGTGATCGTTTTATTGCATGGTCTTACAAAACTTCAGGTCACCAGGTGGTATTTACAAGCGATGCCTCTCATGCGGATTTGCTATTGGCTAGTACTCATAATTGAGAGTCTTGACTCAATCGTAGAAATCTTCTTGACTGACGATTCCACAGTATGTTACCCTTTTTGGCTCCCGCTCACTTGATGACGGGAGCAGGTGCCGAAGTTTCGTGATTGCGGAGTCTCGTTTCAGGTCTTTTCTGGCCGAGTCTATCCGTGCTCACACCTAACGATTGTCAGACATGAGTGTGCAAAAGATAGAGCCTGTCGTGTAACGTTGATCTTCTCAAGCAGGATGACCCTACGGGTGCTATAGCGGGAAATACAGTTGTAGGGGAATTCGTCAATGAGCAAAATTCGTATGAGATCGTTCGAGCGGGCAGGATCTGCTTCGAAAATCGAACCTATACAGGGAAATATCCAAATGCAAATATCAGGGTCCGATACGCACGAAGAAACACAGGTCTATAGCTCATTGTACGGTGATCACCATCGACTTCTATCATTAAAATTGATATTGTCCTTCTACTCTGAAGATGTGTTATTGTCCGCTTCTCGTTGATGCCAGTGTAGTACCTTCTCTGACGGCCGAAACCGCGGCTGTTGTCTGCCATAGAGACATTAGAGCCTTCGATCTTATTGCGCCTTTCCAGTTGCAAGGCTTTCCGATTCTTTTACAGCGATTGCAATCCTGGTGCACGCAGGGTTTGCTCCCTTTATCAGGACATTTTGGGCATAGAGCCGGTTTTTGGCACACTCTCTTCCCAGCCACACACTCATCACATTTCTCTACCATGTTCGGCTTCAGGAAAGCGTAATTGCACGTATATCCCCCATTGAAGCACCTCAAGCAGATACTGCTCGCAACGTTCTTATCCAAAGGAACGCAATTCGCTCGAGCACTAAGACATTCAACGCATCTACGTCCCAGCTTCAGCTCTTTGATATCTGCTGCCGAGTCATGATCTTGTACTGTGGTATCTGATGGTGCTGATGACAACCGTTCAGCATGAGAGTTGTCGGAACTGTTCATAGAGAAGATGTCCAAGGGGGTTATAGCCATGTTCGAGTATGATCTGATAGCCTTTACTTACGTCAGGAGTCCGGACGAGGATGGGGGGACTCTCAGACTGTCCAGGCAGGTATTGTCATAACTGTCTTCTTCTGCTACCATGTCTCCTTCTTCTTCGGTGGCTTCAAGCACGCTGTTGTTTACCCAAATGTTCCTCAAAGCTCTGCTGTATTTTACGTTCTCCCAGCTACAAGTTGCCTTGATACGCAAGCAGCGGTCACACGGTCTGTCTACACAGGGTTCGATTCCATTGGTGGCGCAATCGCATCGAGGCGCCTCGGATTGAGTCGCATCGGATTGAGTGACCTTGGATTGAAAGCACTTCCTACTTCCTATTGTGCATTTGTCACATCTTGTGACTCTTCTCGGCTTCAGATAAGTGTATTCGCAGGTGTAATTCCCTTTCGAGCATCTCTTGCAGATTGTGCCAGGTTTTCCCTTAGGGATGCAATCTACATGAGAGTTGGCACATGGATTGCATGGTCCCAGCTTCAGATCTTTGACTTCTGGTACCCGGTTAACACCTTCGCCTGATGCGATGGAAAATGGGTTGGGGAACCCAGGCTCAACCTCAGAAGAAATTTCAACCGTGAGCTCAGACCCTTCTTGCGGTCCCGTAGGCTGCGGCGCCCTCCAGCCCTCAACTTGAAAAGAACTGTAGCTTCCGTCTTTGAGGTCGCAAATCATTTTTGTATGGCGATAGCTTTTGTCAGAATCTGTTTTTGCCGACAATTCAGCTTGAAAGGCCGGCAAAGTTCCATTGGGGGAGTCATCGCTCCATTGGTCGGCAGATCGAGAGCTGTTGTCATTCGGGTTGCTGGCCATTTTGGTGGATATCTTGATCGGTTTCTGAATATTTCGGATGGCAACGGTCTTGAAAGTGCAAGTTGTTTCCCTTCCGCGATTAGTCCAACTCCGGACTCGTATATGTAGCGATCGTGATTACAGACCAAGGTTTATCGGAGGCGCCGGATTTTAGCTCCTTTGTGTTTCTCTCCTGGTTCTCGATGATGCGATCAGTTTCAGTTGTCTTAAACGATGGCCTTTGTAAGCAGCAGCCTCAGGAGACGAAGATAAGTGTATACCAGTCGTCACGTGGACATGCCGATGTCATCACCATCGATCGGCTTAAGGAAATGAGTTACTAGGCGGCAGAAACAGGGGACAAACGGAATTTCAACTCTGTGACGGATTGATCACATCAGTGAATTCTCCCGTGGAATGCTTCAGAGATAGTCATACTGCCATTCTTTAAGACAAGGCGGTGCCAACCGAGTTAGCGCACTGTCGGTCTCTTGTAAAAGGGCTTACTCTGCCTTGCGAGCGGAGGCGAAGCTTTACGGACTGATCCGCATACCGGAACAGAAGGCCTCCTCTTAGTTCGGGTCGATACCGCAGGGGATCAAAACATATAATTCACTGATCGAGGTAGGACCTATGTCTGGATCTTTACGATAGAGGGGATAAGTCGGCTGCATCGACTGTTGGCAGTTCCGGTCGAGCTGTTTCAACGCGCCGAACCCTGAAACCACGCCGTCCTGGTTACGCCGGACAATTCGTCATCAGCGAAGGCGGGATTTTCACCTTTGGAACTTGCACGAATTGAAGGTGTTGACTTCACAAGCACGTTCACAAGTAACATGAATCATTAGGTACGCAGTTAAGTTACACATTTATAGTCAAGTTCAGGATGGAAACACTCTCGACCCGCAATGTTCACGTTAAAACTCGCTTTCACTTTACATAGTACATCGCGTCAGACATCTAGGATGTTGTCGCTCAAGATATCTCCTCCTCGTCTCCCCGCTCATCGTTTCACTCCTCATCGTTTCTCGAATCCACCTGGGTCTTTTCTCCTCCGACGGCCTCGTATACAGGAAGGCTTCGGTATAAATCGATCAGAGTCCTTCTTTCTTCTGCGTCTGACCACACACTTTCTTTCTCTAATCGGCTACAGCGGTCACAGTTTCTGTGAGTGCAGGGTACGGTCTTTGTTCCGGCACAAGCTGAGCAGGGTTTCGTCTGCTTGCATGGTCTTCCTGCCTTCCTGCAAGTGTCGCACCTTGTGATCGCAGGTGGCTCAGTATAAGAGTACACGCATTGAAGTTTCCCAACTGAGTTGAGGCATCTCTTGCACATGCTTCTGGCCACACTTGGATCCAAGCGTTCGCACCGTTTGTACGCCTTGGCACATGAATTGCATGCTGGGTGTAATTTGATCTTTTTACCATCAGGCACTTGGACCAAGTCACCACTTCGTGCTGATGAGGCGGATGCTGCCGTGCTCCCGACGGTCTGGACATCCACGGAATCGTCGCGGTGATGACATTCCATGAGAAATTTTCGGCACGTCGGGCAGGGTTGGGGTCCCGATTGTTCAGGCCGGCGTGAGATTCGTGTCTTTCGCAACGATCGCTTGTTGACCTGAGACCGAGACGGGGTTTTCCGGGAGGATTGGGAAACGGGAACTGTTCTAGTAGTAACGCTTGTGCATACCGTATTGGGCGCAGTCCAATGCAACACCTTAGGCTGAAACCACGCACGCATATTTAGGTTTCTCTTGATTACGTCAGCGGTTCGACTCTACGTCATCTCCTAGCCTTTGACAACGTCGGTCGAAGGCATAAATGGTATATTCTCGATCATATACCTTGAACCTCTTCCTCATTATCCTCTACATTCCCTGCAGTCAATAGTCTTGACGCACAAACCACCTCATACTTTCATACCTACCGGCCAGCTACATCGCCACCATGTCCGCCCAACACAAACACATCGTCGACATCCTCTCCACCAAGCTCATCCCCCCTCTCTCTACCAAGCTTCATAAAGGTCAAGCCGGTCGGATTGGGGTCTTGGGTGGATCAGGAGAGTGAGTTCACGTTTGGTATCGTCCTTTTATGGTCATCGCATTGTCCGTGAACGAAAGTTGACGTTTGACTGGGCTTGGTGGTCGTTGTGTATAGTTACACGGGCGCCCCGTTCTTCTCCTCCATGGGAGCTTTGCGATTCGTAAGCCCACCCCACCTTCTTAACCTTGCTCGTCATATCTCTGAATCTATCTACTTCTGGTGCTATCTTCGGTACGATCCTGGTAGGGTGCCGACCTTGCACACGTCATCTGCGAACCTAAAGCCGGAGCCGTGATCAAGACTTATTCACCCGGTAAGCCCCACATTCTGTAAAACAGTTGCTTCTTGGCTCGACTAACAAGTGCATGATTTGCTTGAAACTTGTCGCATTGTTTGACGATGATTGTATAGACTTGATCGTACACGGAATCCTGGACCCGAACCGCAGCTTGGAAGATATCAAGCAGGAGATGAAGGGGATCTTCGAACGGCTCGTACGTACCATCCTCCATCCACCTCCACCTTCTCTCCACCTTGTTCACAGCGTCCCGCTCATCTACGTACCATCTTCACACAACACTGCGTAATCCTTTTTCCTCTCTGTTACTCACCGTTGCCGCCCACACAGCACGTCCTGATCATCGGACCCGGTCTCGGTCGATCAGATCACACCCAGAATTGCGCGAGGGCCGCTTTCGAACTGGCCAAAGAGAGCGATATCGGGGTCGTGGTGGATGCTGATGGGTTGTTCTTGGTCGCTGTGAGTTATTGTTCTACAATGTCATAAACAGGAACGGGAGAGTCGGACAACATCGCTGAAGCCAGGGAGATCGATATGCTCTTGGTGGTGTGCGTAGAACGATCCTTCGGTCATCATGGACTGGCCTGGGACACCTCGAGTCGTCTTGACGCCGAACATCATGGAATTCAAGCGGTTATGCGAGAAGATGGTAAGTCACAACCTTTCTTGCATTCGACTCTGGTCTTCTTGCTAATCGAAACACGACGGCGATATCGTGTTATCGTATAGCAAATCGACACCAAAGCCGACCCAGACACCCTATGCCCTCAACTCGCTCGCGCTCTGCAGAACACGACCATCCTCCAAAAAGGCGCCTTTGACATCGTCTCCAACGGCTTGGAACTGCCCTCGGCTTTACTCCCCGAGAACCAGCGTAACAGTAAGAAGGGCAAGAGGGAGATCTTGAAGAACGAGGTCAAGGGTGGTTTGAAGCGATGCGGAGGTCAGGGAGATATTCTGAGCGGGAGCGTCGGGGTGTTGTTGGCTTGGGGTACCGAGTGGGTCAACGGGACGTACGCGTGAGTCTGGACGACTTTCTCAGCAAACAATCCTGGATCACGGCACACTGATACCCTGAGTCACGTCTCTTCTCGTTGACAGCGAGGCCGGTCACCCGGCCCCTTCGAAAGATTCGCATTTCGGGGAACACCTCGCCCTCCTCGCCGCCTACGGCGGATCAACCTTCAACCGAACATGTTCCCGCCGAACGTTCGAGCTCAAGGGTAGGAGCATGCAGACGCAAGACATGTTGCCCCTCATCAACGACGTCTTTGTCGAGGTCTTTGGCGGGGAGGATGTCAGGAGCGACGAGGCTGCCGAATATTTTCAGGACGGTGGAGCCGATTACATTCAGTGAGCGAGGATTGAGGGCGAGGTTGTGATTTGCAGGAACGAGGTAGACGTAGAGATGTATCCGCAGCAGAAAAGTGTAGCACACATGAACGAGACTAGGACTGCACTGCCCGACCAATCGACTCGCACTTTTCGATTCTCTTTGGGCTTGGTTAAATGTTTTCGTGATAGACCTCAACATGACAACCGTTTGTTTGCTTGTTTGTAGGGGGAAAAGAGGACGGTAGGAGCTAACCTCCTGACAGCAGGCAGGCGTATGGGGGGTAGGCGAGATGAATTGGATATAGTAAAATATAGAAAGGTAGGTAGTGGTGGGGGGTTGTGGGCGGGGCAGATTGTGACATCTAAACATCTCTCTTCATTTCTCCTTCACGCTGCGCTTAATCGGTGGTCTTGAAGGTGATGGCCTGCTCCTCACCCATGGCGGCGATGATGGTAACGCTGACCTCCTTGCCAGACTCGAAAGCGGCCTCGATGTCGGTTCCGATCTGACCCTCGGGGACCTTGACGTCGTCCTTGGGGGTACCGTCCGGGAGCATCAAGTTGAGGAAACCCTACAAGCGTGGCGAGCACAAAAGTCAACGGGTCAGCTCTTGTCTCAATAGGTCTAGGAATCAGGGCGTGACACCGAAACTCACGTCGTCAATGTTGATCAAGGTGTACTCGGTCCTGGAGACGTTGGGGACGTCCATGTTGTGGGTGGAGGGGGAGATATCCTCCAACTTCTTACCGGTGAAGATCTGTCATTTGCACACCAAACCATTCAGATCAGCCTTTCGTTCTCTCTCGCGACTCCATCCACTCTATTCCAGCAGCAGCACTAGCCGGAAACCCCGGCCGTATGCTATTTGATGCGGACGAGAGGAGAAATTTGACTCACGTCGATGGCGACCAAGTTGACCTTGGCGTGACCGTGCTTTCCGGTCTTGGAGGTGGACATCTATTCTCCCCCCATACATTCGTCGTATCACATTACATCACATCCGCACGAAATCAGATCCAGGCCAATATGTCGTTGTTCAACAGGATCGATATGCATTGGGCGTCGGTATCGATTTTATTCCGTTCGAATTCAAGGTATTCGGTGTCGTTGTCGATTTGTTGTTGCCGTTGTATTGCGTAGAATCGTATTGTAGTTACGTTTTAGAATCCGTGAAAACAACGAGATTTGCACCAGAACAGTCCGTTTCGTCCCAGGTCGATATCAAAGCCGATGAGATCCAGATCAAATTCACATCCGATTTCCATCGAGTATTTCGATTGCCGGTCCCGATCCGAAGTAGACGTGATCGTAATCGCGGTGGATGGTCCCACCGATACCGTGTCCATGGTGATATACGCCGTAAAAAAAGCGAGCGGAGCAAGAGAGCAAGTAAAAGAAAAGAAAGAAAAAGTAATCCCAATCGATGAATCAGCCTCCCATGCTATCATCCAGTGTATCTGAAAGCCGCGAATGACTCACGTCGACGATCTTGCAAGGCCTTCCCTTGATACAAACGTATCCGTTCTTTCGGAGGGCGGAACATTGCATACTGTGGTCCGGTTTTAGGCATTGTTATTCGCAGCGTATTCGAGTTTGAAAGCGAGGGAGGTACCAGATGATTGTGGATTAAAGAAATGGAATGCAGGTAGATTGAGGTTGAGAGATGAGAGAGAAGGAGCGTATGGCGGCGAGATCAGTACAAGAGATAAAGATGGTGGGCTTTGAATTTGATGGAGAGTGGCTTACGGGTAGGTGAGGGCGGCTCCGGCGGCTGTGACGAGGTAAAAGCGAAGATCGAGGGTTCTGGATTAGCCATCCCGTCTCCTACGCTACTACCGCGAAGAGGATCACATCGACCCCTCGTCCATTCGAATGAAAAGAGCGCAAAGAAAGAAACTTCGACTCACAGGCAGACTCGAAGGTCTGGTGCTCCTCCTCCCTCTCGGCGTTCTTGACAGCGTCAGACATTTTTGGTTTTTTGGGGGTGGTGGTGTTGAAGAAAGAGGGGGAAAGAAATAGGTCTAAAGAGAGAGATTTGATGGCAAGAAACACGAAAAAGAGGCAGAGGGGATCCGAGCGAGGAGATCAACGAAGTCGTCTCTCGAGGTTCAAAGGGCGTCGTCGAATATGCTGAGCTGCAGACACTGGGCTGAGGGCTGAGGGCTGGCCCCGCGCGCGTGCGAGAAAAGAAAACCGAGAGAGAAAAAATCAATCCAAGGTAGAAGCGCATCCGCGGCGCACAAATGGGAGGCACGCGAGTAGTCAGTACGACACAAGAGCAGACAACACGCAACACGATCGATAATATGACACCAGAAGGACTACCAACATGGGCTACTTCAGCGGTTCACAAACAGCATGTGCACAAGCTTTACAATGCGGCCCAGATCGCTACCTTTCAAGGTGTCTCACCTGTCTAATTGCACGACCCAGGATTGGCTCACCCGGCTGATCTCCCGGCCCGCGGCACAACCCCAGTCGTCACAAAATGTCAGGCTCGCTGAACACAGGTCATCGCTTTCTCACGCGTCGACACTCGCCACGGTTTGAGGTTCGAGTGTTTCATCGCAAACTCAGATGAATGGATATCGCGATGGCGATCTAGCGATCGCTTTTTCTGTGCGATCTCATCTCCTGCGATCGGGTGACATCGGCAAGATTGTCCGATTACCTGATTCTAATGGGCATTCTCGTCATGCTCGTCATGCTGGTGATGCTCGTCACTCGTCCAACTCATCATAGGTGGACATCGCATCGATGAATATACGCGATCGTGATGACTGACTTCAGATTCGATCAAAGTGTCAGGTCATTGTATGACCATTGCCGCTGTTGAACGCTATCGGTCCAGTCGGGCCAGCTTCAGTGTTCACCTGACCTCTTCGTCGAACACCTGATGTTGCTCAATCTCATAAAACCTATTAGCCAAGTCACTGGGGTTCTTGATCGCGCCACACACCTGCTCCTTTCATTCCCGAAACGTGACTCTTCAAACAAGCATTTCGACCGGGGACAACATCTCATGCTCGTTCTGCCAAGACAAACATATTCTGAGGAACTCCTTTCATCGACCATATCAGGTTCTTCATAGAAGCGCGATGACCACGTTCACGTTCACGTTCGCTGTTCCCTGCTTGCTATGCCAGCACGACTTTGCATATAGATCGACAGTATCAGGTCTCTCTTCATTGTTGTGACCCGAAGGAAAGGAAAGACGTGATAACAGACGCACCAGTAGCTTTGAACCACTTAACCTTTCACCGACATGGACCTTGAAATGCTTTTCAATGGAGTTGGCGATGACTCATCGGACGAGTCCAGGACTGGTTCACCTGTCCCCTCGTCTATCGCCAAGCCAGACAACCTTTCCTTCGATGAGGATCGTTTTCCTTTCCCCATAAACGAATCAGACGACCCCTCTATTCTCGAAACAGCCGACACTTCAGTGCTTTCAGCCGATGTTCCCTCCGAAACGTCGGGTCATACCTCCATCGTGAGGAAACAATCTGGTGAATCCCTCCGTTCGATCCTCAAAAGACCCAGGTTCAATTCCAAACAGGTCGAACAGGTCGACCCTTCCAAGTTCGTCCGCGAAGACCAGCATTTGAACAGGTTTGACGCGGACGAGTCCCTCCCTGCGTTCAGTGCTACGGAGCTCCCGCCGTCTTTTGCTGAGGGGAGCATTGAGCCTCCTCAGACAAGTACACCGAGTACACACAAAAGTGTCAGATTTGCCGGCATACCAATCGATTGGACGCAAGAAGAACTGAATTGGACACCTTCGACTTCCTGCGAGGAGCTAGACAGCGATCTCTCGGACGAAGATTCCAACCAACCCCCGCCTCGGCGTGCCTCTCCGCCCAAGCCGAAGCCGGCGTATAAGCAGAGACGGGCTCCATCTAGGAGATTGACGAGCGTTAAGCAGGAGCTGAAACACTTGGATCACAAACTCTGGGCAGGCCGTACTTTGTCGAAATGGGACGTGGAAGACCTCTCGTATTGGTTGAACATCTACAAAGAGGTAAGAGGACAAATCCTCAGCGCCCCTCAGGAGGATCCAGAAGTTACGCCTACAATCAGGGAACTGCAAGGACGCTACCAAGATGTATACGTATGGCTCGAAGAATTCCGGGAAAGATGCCGAAACGCTGGACATGACATGGGTCTAAATGACAAGGAATTTCAGGGACTCAAACTCCTCGACTCAGAACTCGAATGATAAGGGTATCCTCTATGCGTTGTACTCTATGTGTTTATTGTTCCATCTCTTTCAGCCATGAAATCGCAATGGACAGAATTTCGTCATCTTTATCATGCTAATCGTCTTAAGTGGCGCGCTGAAGCTCTCCTTTGTCGATCATGGTGTGCTGCTTGCGTGTCGCGCGCGCATGTCTCTACGGCCCATATATGGATGGTGGGGACCAATCGTTCGCGAACAGGGACTGAATATCACGATGGCGATTTGACGATGGCTTTTCCCGCTGAACCTTAATCTCCTGCGAATGCGCTTGTTGACGACCTCGGTCATCGTAGCTCATATGCTCATGCTCAATGCGTCCAAGACACATAATGCGCTCGACTCGTCACAGCCGCGATGAATGTACGATGAATTTCTCAGTGAGATGGCTAATGACTTTTCAACCTCAGCACCTCGCTTTCGTGCCGCAGCCTAATACTGTTCCATCGCGATCTTTCGGTCATATCGGCCCAGGTGCATCCCTTTAGAAGAGGGGAAAAACGCCCCCCTGTACTTGCCTCGTGTCGTGTTTTCTGCGTCCTTCTTCACGTGACGACTACCCTAATCCACTTCAGGGTTCTCGATCACACCATCCGTCATTTCCTTTTTCCTCATCGACTCTAGATTGCAACGTCACACGAAACAAGGTCATTGATACCCACACTACGATCACAAGTATTTTCCTCTGCTCTTTATGCCGTTAAGGTCACGCCATGTGCTTTTCCTTTGATCCATTATGAGATATGCCATTGATTGGGATCCAACGAGAGGGCGACGAAGAGGAGATCGTCGGCACTATACCCTGCTCGACTTGGCGACTGATCGTGTATATATATATATATATATATATATATATATATATATATATATATATGACTTTCCGACCCGAAGTCTCCGGTCGATTAGTGAGAAGGCGGGACATTCCGCAAATAGCAAACGGATAAAAGTTCGACTTCGTCGAAACACTGTTATACTGCAAACACAGACCATATCGTATAGACAATACGATGCGCGAACCCGCCACTCCTATTGATGACTCGTCGCGAGAGTCTCTCTCTGATTCGACGGGCACGCTGCTCGAAGATGATTTGGCCGACCCAGGAATCGCCCGATCATCCGAGATTCTCGGGGACAGCGGATCCTGCGCGGGGTCCGTCAGCCCCTCGAACATCGATATAACCACTGTTCCGAACAGCACACATGGTACACCGTCTATCTTCGAATCAATCGAAACTGTCCCTGCTAATGGACCATCCGATCCCTTGACCGCCGATCTAATGAGCACTGCTGTCGAAGATCCATCGCGTGGTACTAGTACACATCATCCACCGCGTATGTCAAGCATCAAGCGTCAGGCTCCACCGCCTGCGGGCGACACCTTTGCTGGCATGCGGGTCCCGTCCAGTGTTTCATCAATCCAAAGGAGTGTCAGATTCGGTGGAAGCAACGAGGTCAGAGAGTTTGATGGTTCGGAGATCAGAGCGACATCCACGAAGTGTGCTTCAGTTTCAATGAAGGAATACGACGGGGTTTCAGGGTTGAAGGGGCGGGATGACAGTGAACATCTTCAGCAAAATTTATCTGCGAAGAAATGTGACAACTCCAAGGCACTTGAGGAGAGTGCCAAAAGCGAAGACCAAGGATCCACTCTCGAAGCCGTCTGGACCCAGCTCCAAGCCGTTTGGAGCAAGGGCAACAGAGAAGAATTTAGATTCATCTGGTCTCATCTCGTAGAATGGGAAGTTTATGAACGTTGGGAGCAGGAGCCGGCAGACGATAGTACAAGCCTAGATCGAAGGAAATATGCAGCGATGCTGATGGTCGAAATCGATTCGACCACTCGGAATCACGTCGAGCGGGTGTTCAGATATAACTTGACACTGACTACAAGACAGTTAAGAGAACTGAGCGAGGCGTACGACTCGTTTTCGGAAGCCACGCAACAGCTGAAGCCTTCACTTGGTGAATTTCCACTGGAACAACCCACGGCCGCGAAAGTGCTGGAATGCCATAATTACCTCTATGGGGATTTTCAAAAGCTTTTCAAAGAACTCAAGCAGGAAGACAATCTTAGGGGTTTGCAGGAGCTGAGGTTACGTGATGGAAGATGAAACACGTGTTAGCTTTTATTATATGTTCTCTTAATTACCGAGGAGTTACTCTCAACGATGTCATGACCTAGACTAAACTCAAGGGACTGATGAAATCTTGGTCTGGAACTCGACACCTCAAGCGACATCACTCCTCTCATAATCTTCACCTGCTTAGACCTATACCTCGATACCTCGCCACTGATGAAGCAGCATGGCTGGCCGGACTTCGAGCGTCAGCATTGGGAAATTGGAAAGCGCTCATCAGCTGACGAAAGAATGAAAAGATGGTGAAGAGACGAGTTTGGGCTGTCCAGTCACTAAACCAATGATCGAGAATCCGATAGCGTGCAGCACGAGACCAGGGGAATATCGCCTTCCTTTCATAGACCTTACCTGATCTCCGCCGCATGCTTCTCCGTTTGCCTCTTTGCAGCTTCATCAGCGGTCACGCCGCTGTTGGACTCCGGGTATAAGGACAGGCTTGCAATGGGCGGAATTGTTCGCTACGACCCTATTTCGACCTGTTATAATCTCATATAGGCAACTTCTAACGAATCAAGTTACATCATGTCATCTTTCAACCGTGCCTCGATCAACCAATGTGACCTGGGTCAATCGCTCGCCACGACAGGTAACGATTCGCAGGAAGCGGTCAATAGGGTCTGTACCCCGCCTCCTCCCACCGATACGACTTCTACGTTATCGAAGATGACTTTACCAAGCCATACCAAGCCGTCTGAGCATCATTCACCTATCCCTGTCAACAAACCAAATGCCGTCGAAGATTTGCAAGATGGCCAGCCTTTGCAACCCAGTCACATCGGTCAAATACTCATCGACTTAGAATACTTATGTACTGTGATCGAGGACATGGAGCGAAGCGTCTCGAACTACACCTCGCCTGAAACGTACGACCAACAACGCAAGGAACTTCCTTTTATGGTAGAATTCTACCAGCATTGCGAACGCGCTCTCAGCCAGATCGCGGGTGACCCTGTTATCATCGGACAACTAGGCGAGAAAGAAATCCAAAGATGGCAACAACGCATGTTCGTGAACGGATGCGAACTGGGACGGATCAATCATCGACTAGATAAACCTTGTCCAGTATGCGATCTGCCTCGGTCCATCGCTGACTGGAACTAGAAATTCAGGGACAAGGTCTAAGAGCCACAGGAAGTGACGATCGATAACAATGCTGCTCCTTCCCTAGATATGCTCGTTGTATCCCCAATCTCATCTCAGCCATACTGTGACCAATTTGTCCGCAACACGGGTTCCCTTCTCACCCTATGCCTGTCTGCTGAAAACCTCACATTTTCAGGTTCCTGTCGACATCTCGCATATACTGACAGCAAGGAATCCCCTTCGATTCGTTCTACGGATCGCAGTTTAAGAACGCCCTGGACGCTGGTAGTCGACCTGTTCGAGATCGTCTCTACCAGTATCATTACATCCCACAGCTCAAATTGCCGACTCTCGGAATGGGTTGGTGGCGATACATGATTCGAGAAGCAGGTTCCATGCTCACCAGTCACGCGCCCGCCTCGATCGCCCAGTTTCTCCCTGACACTTCTGACATCCTTTGTACGCGGTGAGAGTACGTAGTGATCAGTTCCAGGCTATCGAAGAATCATGACATGGCTTTGTGTCTTGGCGTGACCTCATGGGGCATCGTGGCCGTAGCAGAGTACTGTATAGTAGTGCTTGCCCTCCTTTGTTTACACGTGAGGCATGCGGCGCGCAGCAATCACTCGCCATGCCGACAACGCCTGACTCATTCCTTTCTTCGTATACGTGACGGTTACGATCGCCTCTCCATACTAGCCTGGTCCTGGTACACCTATCACATCTTGTATATCAGCGGCTGACATCCGTGATTGCATCCATTCGCGCAGAATGTAGCAAGAGCCGGCTGAAAGATATAATCGACATTTCTTTCGTTCACCAACCTTTTTACGATGTCGTCAAGGTCAGAAGATCTGTCCACAGGCACGACTCGTCCCCCTTTATCAACTATCCTTCAATCTACGCGATCTTCGACAAGGCTTCCGTACTACCAACAGTTCTTCTCTGGGACATATAGCGATGGCAAATCCAATTTCCACACATCCTCTGGCACTTATGGCGGTTCGAGCGCAAGGAGGATCACATTTGGTATCCCGGACGAGGATGAGGTGTTGGGCTCGGCGATAAAGCAACTCGAGGGTGCAGCCAATGCCCTTGAAGGCCCGTCCGAAGCTATCAGGGACTTCCCCAAAGCCAACCCCGCAAAGAAGCGTCATCTTCTTTGTCCTGACCACATGGCTACTTTGTACACGATACTGCAAAACTTCGGCAGCGTGAAGAGAAACGCCATCGCCGCAGCGGAGACTTGGAAGCCATACATGTCAGCACCCTCGGAAGAATTCTTGAAGGCCTACAAGAAGTTCAGGAAGGCTTACGGGACCGAAAGGAAAGCTCTGATGAAACTCTGCTTGAGCTGGGAACTAAAAAGTGAAAGAGCGATGGTGGAGGGATTGAAGATCCCCCGGGCAAGAGATTTAATCATTTGAAGCCTTATGCAATGCAAAACAGATTTTGTAGTCCTTAAATCGAGGACAGCAGGTATAGGGCGCTGAGTGAACAATGACGATAGTAATGATGATGCTACAAAGCGACAAGGTGCTGATCTCGTAAGATGATGACTAGCAGATATCTTCACTAACGGGGTAGCGCACGCAGCTATAATATGCGTCGGCCAGGTGTCCATATGATCTCTCTCTCTGTTCGAGTGCAACGATCGATGATCAACAGCCATCACGGATGAAATATAAGCTAGACAATGCTCACTCTACATAAGCCAGATCGATCTCACCCAGAAAGACTTCCATTAGTGAAAACTGAGAATCCAGAATCAGATGGTCGTAGAATATATCGCTTGACTGTTAGGCAAGCTATAACGAACAAGTCAAGACTTTGCATCTGTGTATAGTATACGTCATCGATCAAGTTCTATCTTGGTGCCGACAGCTTTCTCTGCGACGATCATGACATGAGTTGGCGAGCGACCTTTGAGCTCAAAGGCAGATGCGCGATGGTCCAGATTGAAAGGCGTCAGCTTGCCGCGCCGACTTGCAGCTGTCGGCGGATGTATCCCTTTCATGCACCCCCTAGTCGGAACCTCAAAGTCATGCTTCTCGGTTTGCTTCTTAGAGGTTCTTGGTCGGCTTTGTACTAGCCCGCCTCCATCTTCAACTCTGTTATCAAGCAGAGATCAATGATCACCGTTATATCGCCCCCACTCACATCCCGACATTGACACACCAATCATTCCCAACTAGATCTTTCACAAGTAGAAAATCTGCCCAGCCAATCATCGGAACAGGAATGAACGACCTCTCCGAAGAAACAGTACTTACAAGTCTTGCAGAAAGCTCAACCATTCCCGCTGGCACCGAAAAGACTGACAACCCAGCAACGCTTTCGCAGTCTCCAATGTCTCCGACCGGCAGCTCAACCCTTGCCAATCAGCCGTCAGGCACATCCACGGAAGAATCGCCTGACCGAGAGGTACCTGATGATACGCATACTGGTCAAGAAGCGAAAGAAGTAGCTGATGACGCCCTCGTCGTCCAACGGGCTCTCGACGAGTACGCAGCCAGCATTGAGAAAACTCTTGGCGAGCTTGAAAAGATCATTACGTATGTGATGGATCCAAGCAACAGACCTGGTACCGATGACAACAGGAACCGAAAGATCTTCATCAATTGTCAGGTATTGCTGGGGAAGATTGAAGGAGTTCAAAAGAACGTTCACAAAACTCTGGTTGTCAGCGGGGCGTTTGAGACCAGCCAGGAAATTCGGTCGCAAATGGTTTTGTGGTTTGCGAAACTGGCTTGCTGGACGAGAGACGTGGCCCGTTTGTATAGGGCGGCCTTGGTTGCCATGTCCCCAGAATCTCGAGGACGGCTGTTCAGAGCGGATGGGCCGTTCCACTTCGAATTTTTGTGATCTAGATAGCTTGACAATGTGAAAAGCCTTTCTTGTATATCACAAGTGGCGCGATCAGTCTTATTCATAATTGATCGCCGAAGTGCTATGTACCTGAGTATTACAGTTGAGCCGTTACTTCGGAAAGCTCTGGTTTTTATCGGAGGATAGTACGGTCAAGTACAAGCAACATGAAAATGGTAACAAATATATCTTGTCCTTTCTTTATATGTTTGAACAGATCATGACTCTTCTTCACTGGTTCATCTGTATAGCTGACGCTTCAAGATAGCCTGGTACAGTAGTCTCCACGAGCCATCCTGACAGGATGTGCTGCAGTGCACCTTGTACCAGTAAGACTCGGACCAGGTCCCCAAGAAAGATGAGGTCAACAAGCTGTGTTGTTGCGCCCGAGATTTAGGCGTCAATCCTAGCGCGGCGGTCGAGCGGAGTCAGTGGTGCGGTAAAGTCACTGCTTTGCCAAAAAGACATCACACATGCCGAGTAGCCAGTGAGACAATGGAATCGAAAGGATCCAAACCGAAAGGATAAAGGGCTCCCGCAGCCAAGTTGAACGGAAAGACAAAGAACGCTGAGCGCGATAAAGGTATACCCTTGATCTCGCCATAAACCAACAAAAGAGGCGCGTTTCAACCGGCTGTACTTGACAATGGTAGGTCAGTAGTCAAGTCCGATGAAGGGAAAACACCATGAACGGATGTCGTTTGATGTATGATTTCAAGGGTAGAGTGGACAAAGTTCACGAGTATATATACCGGATCAGGTAGGCCGATTTGCTCATGGTCTGTGAGAACAAGAGTTTGATCACCATTATCAGCTCACTCAATCTCAGACCCTCAGCACAACCTCAACTACATCATCCGTCACACAATGCCCCGTCGATCACCCAGACATGCGTTCGAGCTCTCTCGCGCCACCGATGATAGCGTCGCAGAAACCAGCTTGGCTGAAACCCAACCCTCCGAGGTTAGCTTCCGCACCGAGGAAGGCACTCGTGCGCCTGAGTCTACCCTAGGACAATCGGCTGCCTCGACCACCAGGACCCCGCGTAGGAACCCAAGGAGGCAAGTGAGGGACGGACAACCGGAAGGCCACGACAACAACAGCATGGAGATTCGGGACTCCGGAGCGAGCATGTCGCACACCTCTCAGCTCAGCGTACCGGGCTTCTCAAAGTGGACCTCCTTCGCCTCTTTCAGTTTGAGAGGGCCTCCAGCGCAGGAAGAGAGCAGAAAGGAAAGCCCAGACTGGGTTCACTGGTGTGAACACAGGGAAGACTTCTTGAGGCACTACGATCTCTTGAGCCCGCTGATGGTGCAGCTCGCTGCCGGACCTGGTCCTATGTGGACCGTAGAGGGACCGAACCGGGGCACCCAATGGATCGATACTAAGCAACGAGGGGTTGTTGACGATCTCAACAAGGTGTTTAAAGCTGCGCAGGATGCGGTCGGAAGGATGCAGGGCTGCGAGTTTCGAATGGAACACGAGGAAAACCTTGTCAGGGCGAGTGCAAACCGAGCGAGCCTAGCGGTTATCATGCAGAAGGCATACGAGGAGTTCGTTCTTCTGGCTAAAATGAAAGGGTTCACATTTGCGCCTCCTCGATCTGCGACCGCCCCCCGTAGTGCAAACTCCGGTGGTCAGGACCAACAATCCGCTTCAGGAAGGGCTCAACCTGATGTTCAACCCGACGCGACCAGGTCCGATCACGAGGATTCGGATGAGGAGATGCCTACCGCTTGATCTCGTTGAAAGTCCGTCACAAAGGGGTCAACCCTTGTTTCCTGTACCATGTTCTATCTTTACTTTCCATATTAAAACGAGAATTTGTTGCCTACTGTACTGCTTTCTTCAAAGGCTTCGACCGTGCTAGCTATCCATTTTCAGCTTCTCATCATGCCAGGCACCGTCTCGGCGGGTTCAGGCTCTGTGAGGTGAAACGCGAAAGTCTTGAGCGAGTCAGGTGATGGCGCGCGAGGGCGAGGAGGAGGTCGATCTAACCCCCAGCTATAGAGAAGTATCTATCCCCTTAGAGTGCAAAGGAGTACGAAAGGCGTGGCCCCTAACCGCGAGGCCGTCAACTGTTTCCCCTTCCTGGCGAACAAGAGAACTTCAGATCGTCTTCGCTAGGCCGCGTATACAGTACGTTGCTGATCGATCGACTTGATGTCTGAGTAGAAGGCGTGGGGCCTTACACACGATGGCCGCGCGTCAACGCAGAAAAGGTGTGTGATACTTCTTAAAACCGCGATATCCGATCTACGAGGTGATGTGCTTAGACGCGATGAGCCGTTGGCCTCGTGACTATTGTATACCCCCTTTCCCTGCTATGAAAGGAATGCGATGGTTCTCAATGCAGAGAACCGGCTATATATACCGGTGGGGAGGGGGGAGGGAGGGGGGGGGGGATGAAGGGCTTTCTACAATTCTACAATCAAATTGTAAGACAATTCCCCTAATTTATCGAATTCTAACCACTACTACTCGAACTCAGTCGACTCGCCAAATGGAAGGTCAAACTCCCGCCCCGAGATACCGAACCCGTCGCGTCACTCGCTCCCATACATCTGGTAGCGGTTCCCAAACAGGAGCAAGCTCATTGGATCCCTTCGCCGCCTCTTCCGATCGAGCTGACACTGGCGGGTTTTATCCGCAGTCGACCCTCGAAACCACAGAGGCTGACAGAACGATTGCGCCTACACTCAATCCGAGCCAGGTCAGTCAACCAGAACTAACTCTGCTCGATCCGTCGAAGCCGTCATCTGTAGCGATTTCTGCTCCGAGCGAAGCGGAAGCCTGGGAGATGATCGAGAAGATTGGCAGATTCCCGGAACCTGATCAGCAGGAGCATTGGGAGCTACACCGCTCGATTTTGAGAATGTATCTGAAAAGCTACGAGGCGGCCGAGGGGAAACTTATCACTGCGCGAAATGCTCCGAAAAGCACCAGGGTGCGCAACGACGGCGTTTGGTGCTCTGACCCGAGCCAGGATACATGGGACCTCATTTCCCGTGCAATGCACGCTTACATGGCCCTCGTGCATGGCATCTTAAACCTACAGGCGTGTGCCGGTATAAACGGCATCAAAACTCTTCCTCATATTTGTCTTGCGATCAATTGGGGTGCTGCTCAGAAGATCATGGCTGAGAAGGCTAAACTGTGGTCCGGCTTCGCCGCCTTGATCAGAAACGAAAGACTCTTGCCCGAAATTGTGCGCCTTGGGGCCTCGGGAAGAGTGAAAGCTCAACCTGAGCATGCTTTGGGATTACGGTTCGTCCGCATGAGTCCGACCAACGGCCAACCCGAAGTCATCTCAACTATACACATCGAGCAAGACGTCCAGGCTTCTGCGGATGCCAATCACGAAGAACCACATGACCCAACAGACTTTTAGTCCATGGGGTTAGCCCGGTGCGCTGTGTCTGAACTGCAAATCCGTCTACAGTCAAACGCATCTTTCTCTGCATCCTTCTGTATCACACCCTTATGTATCAATGTCATGAGATCATGTGATGGTATATTCCAGGTCACAGCGGTGATGAGTTGTTATAGCGTATGAAGGGACACTGCTAAATCATGTTTGTGGTTCATTTAAATTCTGCATGCTGGCCCCAGTCCTTCCTCCGATGCTTTCGTTTTACCTTGCCAGCCCTTCCTTGCGTCCGCTGTATACCACATCAGGTCCTCTCGATCATGAGAGGTCGATCAAAGGAGAATACTTGATTCCGATGATACGGCATGATAACCATCATAACGGCATAGCACATCTGTATACACTGAAAGGAAGGTTATGGTTCTTGGTCAACCCAGAACAGAGTATATATACATGTACTGACCCATCCTCCCGAAGAACTGAACAGTTTCTGCCAGCGGATCAAGATCGAGTTCCGCCATTAAATCGCCAAACGTTATACAGTCTGTAGACAAAACATGCCGGATCCACATCGTAGCCACGGCAAGAGACGACGTCTATCAAACTCCTCAGCGCCTCCCGGTGGCAACGAACTGGGATCCCTCTACCCTTCCATAGTGTCTACTACTGAGAGTACAGGGTACATATCGACAGAATCCATCGGGTCAGAGTGTCCATATATGGACGCTGGAACGCAAACTGAACCTAATGACCAGGCTCCGAGCGATTTGACAGCTACCGGAGGCTCGACATTGTATCTACAAGGCTCGTTTGAAGAGGTCAGTCGGACATACATCAAATCGATCTACCTTGGGAGCACGCGGGACGAACAAGATCATTGGATCTGGCACAAAATGGAGATGCTACATGCTCTCAACAGCCTGAAGAGATCAAGAGACTCGATCGACAAGCTTCCTGACCCCAAGTTCGTTCTTCCTCGCGAACCGCCAGCATTACCCAAGATGACCCTTCCAGAAGAGGCTCCACAGGCTGTCGGAGATCTCGGATGTTCTTGGCAAGAATTTCGCGCTGCGGTTGCCGTGTTCTTCAATTGTGTCTCTCGGAAACCCCAGATGCGACAAGCCTGCGCGGGAATGCAAGATCCTGGGTTTCTGAAAGCCATGAGACATCAGGCAACATTCTGGAAGGATTCTCTCAGTTACGAGTATGAATTGAACGCTTCCAAACTGGCGTCGAAGTGTTTATCGGGTCTGGTGCTTCTTTTGCCTGCCACCAAAGAGAGTTATGCCAAGCCACGTAACCTTCCCAACAACCCGGTCGGTCACTTCGGTGGTCCTCCAGCTGGGGGCGTGAGTAATCCTGGCATCTAGTACACGATCATAGGCAGCTTAACTGTGCGTGAACTGGGAGAAGGCTCTTATGATGCTGGAAGTCGTCTTTTTCCCTCCTCAACAAATGGTGCTCCCATATCCCGTGTATATGTTTTCGCATGTCGTATCTGTATATGTTCTCGCGGTTCATATACGATCGTCATTCGTCACGAGATGAGGTTCGGATGGTTCGGCGTCCCTGCCCGATCGCAATGATCAACTCGCAACCGGATTGATCGTCAAGAGAGATCTAGAGATAGCGTTATGGTTGTTTGCCACTCTGAGCTCGTTACGTAAGTATGCCGAGATTTGATGTGTCACGTGACCAACTCTATCAAAAGTCATCGCCTCTCCACCTCCCCGCGGGAGGTCGTTCTTGATCTGGCTCCAAGTCAACTCAACCATTGTCAAACATCTTAGAGTCGATCCGACCTCGTTCAGCCACACTGACCATACTCCCTGACGGACGAACTAAATTAGACACATCGAATAAGCCACAATGGTAGGTCCCCGCGGTTGACCGGAGTGCCCTTGCGTCGAGTTCGCCCATTGACGATAATCTGCCTTTCCTCCTATGCCTTTTGGAATAATAGCCTCAGGTGAGTGACTCTTCTTTTAGGTTACATGAGGTCCTAGTGCTAATGTATCGTGTTCCGCATCGTAGAACGAGTATATGGAAGAGCACAGGAAGAGGTATGGTAGGAGGCTCGATCACGAGGAACGAACGTGAGTCTCATCTTCCCCGGACAGACCTGCACGTACTCTTACCGTCCATTCTCGCTAACGTCGCTGAACCTGCTTGCAACCATCCAGGCGAAAACGTGCTGCCCGTGAATCCCACAAGAATTCTGCCGTCGCCCAAAAACTCTACGGTATCAAAGCCAAGCTCCACCACGCTAAACGACATGCCGAAAAGGTTCAACTCAAGAAGACCCTCAAGGCTCACGACGAACGCAACGTCAAGCAGTCCGACGATTCCGCTGCTACCCAGGGAGCTTTGCCTACATACCTGTTGGATCGAGAGGGTCAGAAGGATGCCAAGGCCTTGTCGAGCAGTATCAAGGAGAGGAGAAAGGACAAGGCTGCCAAGTACAGCGTACCCCTGCCCAAAGTCCGGGGGATCGCCGAGGAGGAGATGTTCAAGGTCATCAAGACCGGTTCGAAAAAGTCGAAGAGCTGGAAGCGGATGGTCAACAAGGCCACGTTTGTTGGAGAGGGTTTCACCCGAAAGCCCGTGAAGATGGAGAGGTTCATTCGACCTATGGCTTTGCGTTACAAGAAGGCCAACGTCACGCATCGTGGGTCCCCGCTCGCTTTCTTATCTTGATTCCACTTAATGCCAGCCAACCTTGCTTACACCGTCCTCTCCTCGCATACTGCTTGTGCTCAACTCGACCAATACAGCCGACCTGAAAGCCACCTTCCAACTCCCCATCATCGGAGTAAAGAAGAACCCTCAATCTCCCCTCTACACGCAATTGGGAGTGATGACCAAGGGTACTATCGTCGAGGTCAACGTCAGCGAGTTGGGTATGGTAACTACCGGAGGAAAGGTCGTCTGGGCGAGTGAGTACCGGGTCGAAATTCGGCCGTTTCATGCTAAGGTGAACGCGAGTCGCTGATACGTGGCACGACCGCGTTGTGTAGAGTACGCTCAGATCACCAACAACCCGGAACTCGATGGATGTATCAACGCCGTCCTGCGTGAGTTCAATTTTTGGCTGGAGCCTTCTCGTCATACAGTTGCTGACTGGTCACTCTCTTTCACTTTCCAGTTGTCTGATTTCGTTCCAACTCTCTTTGCGCTCATCTTTCGGTTTTGTATGTAGCTCTTGTTGTATCAACAGTACGGGTCTTTCTCTACGGTCTTTTTTGGCAGTCTGCCGACCGGTCCCTGCATGCCAGACTATATACATCTCGCATGCCCAGGACGTCATGCAATAGAGTCGTTTCCTATAATACAACATTGCCTCGCAACTCGTCCTCACGAGTTCGGGCCTTACAAAGCGATGGTGTGATAGTTCGGAAAGACCATCTCATCCACCAGCGTCTTCCTGACGAGCGTCAAGACGAAATTCTCCACCTTCCCCACGTTCCTCAGGGCATGTACGTCCGCCTGCCCTATCTCGCTCTCCACCTGCAAAGACGGCAAAAGCCTCGTCCCGATCGGTTTACTCTGTTCCCCAGCAAACGACCTCGGCTCGTACCGATCTTGAAACCCATGCGGGCCTGACCGCGTGTTCGTATTAAACCCCGGACCTGGTGTTGAGGGGTACGAAGAGTCCGGGGACATGTACTGCGAGACTGACGGCGCATAAGAAGGAGCAGGGGAAGGTGTAGAAGCGTCGGCTTCGTCGACTATACAGAGGTGTAATCGCCGTTTAGGTCCGTTGAACGCCAAGACCACATCGGCTGAGAGGGTGAAGCCCGTTATCCGGAGTTTTAGGGGGAGGGTCATGAACATCGGCGAGGGGTAGTTGATCTGGAGGGTGGTGTTCATGGTGATGCACATGTTCGGACGATGGTCGATATGGACCATAAATTGTAATGAGGGGAGAGGTTGTGGTTCTGGTTCTGGAGGTTGAATGGGGATCTCGATAGGGGTGTAGTTGAGCGTGAGAGGTGGGGTGTGAGAGGCGGATCTACCGCGTTCGTCGTATTGGTTGGCGTGCCGGTGATATCGATTGCCGTAGCCATTTCGATGGTTACCATTCTTTCTCGGACCCTTGTGAGATTGTGTCCTGGAGTGCGAGTAGAGCGAGGCGTTGAACGGAGATGCACCACCGTGACCCAACATCCCCGCTGCGAGATTGATTCCCATCCCCGCTCCTATCCCTATTCCTGCTCCTCCCATCCCCGTCATAGCAGCACGAGGCGATAACATCCCACTCAATACGCTCGTCGTCTCATCGTCCTGATCCCACCGGTCGTCGAACCCGTCGTACGAATCGGCCAGCGGTCCATCAGGTCCGGTCGTGTGCGGTATCGGATACTGATCCGCATGCTCATCCTCTGACTCGGCATCGTTCTCCTCAAAGACCTTCCATACGTCCCCGATATCCCTGATCTCCACATCGGGACCGACCGTACCAAACGTAAACTCGGTGACCTGGATAGGACCGAGGTAAGATGGACGTGAAGCGCTGTCGAGTTGCTTGTTGAGAGCGACGAGTAATCGGTCGGCAAGCGTCTCGCCGCTCGTCACCGCGGACAACAAGCTCCAGTCGATCTCTACGGACATTGGTGAGGCTATATCTTCATCTCTATCGATATGAACGGCTTGTGGAAGGCGTTGTTGCTTTTGGTCGAATGGAATTGACCCAAAAAGTTGAAAGCAACGATCTGTGTGATACCTCTAGTTAGGTCTCGAGATCGAGGACTTGACCGAAATCTCGCAGCGCGCTTGCGGTCGCGAGCGCAATCACATCGGCATGCATGGTACCCAATGATGATCGACGTCTCAATGGTGGATCCCGAGGGACTCAGTATTGGCCTTTCTACAGGATATCCCAATATCCAGGCTAATTGGACCATTCCCAGTTGTCCTCCCGGTCCCGCCTTCCACTACTCGCATGAGTTACCAGAAGACGTCACCTTCACAGACACAAAGGATCCTAACCCTGCGGCGCATACGGTCATCCCGAATGATTCAGCCAGGCGAGGGTTTCACGAATTGCTCGCCCACCACGAAAGCACCTCTCGCTCCTCAACCAGGCTGTCTCCAACGATAGTCTCGTCCGCCCATTAGGAAGGGATGTATCTCTTGAGTCAGAGGCATTATTGTACCAAGATCACTGAGGCCGTGTTCAAGGTTCAATCTAGCCCATGGGCAGTGAGTAGCAGGGTCATGAGTACGAAGCACAACTCGTGCGATAAGCAAACCCCTAGTTGCCTTCCATCGATAAATCATACATTCGACCGGTCTACAAACGGGTTCCTCTTATTACCCGTACTGGACCGACTGGAACTTCTCCCCCTCCCTCCGTCGAAACTTCTCGCCAGAGGCACACTGACCGGTGGGGAACTCCCGATCAACAGGTAACCCCCTCCGACCAGCCCATGTCGGTGTAACGAGGTCGTAGATCCTCGTTTCCTCAGTGTCTGTCTTCTTATTGCCGTTGGGGCCGTGTATGTGGGTACGGCTTGTGACGAAGGGACCAGTAACGGTTCTTCTTCTCGTAAAGAATCCAGCCTTCTCAGGCCGGGCGTCTCGACCGCGCTCGAGCCGTGTTGAGAGTTGGCATCATGCTCTTCTTGCGTCTGCTTGTAGGTCAGGAGGAAAACTCCCACGAATGTGGTTGCCACCTGAAAGATTGCGGTGTGAGGACTCTCATCAGCTTGCTGATCTCGAAATCCTTCTACAAGGGAATGAACTCACACCAAAGAGGAAATTGGCGAATCTAGAAGTTCGCAAGCATGTTATGAGCTTATTGTGACGGGTTAAGTGCTTCAGGGCCGACTTACCGGCTTGCAGTGAGGTCCCTGAATTCCTGGTACAGTACCGCCGAACCGACGATAGCTGCGATAAAACACGAAACCATATTCAACATTGACGATTCCGCGGGGTGGGGGGTTTCGTAGTAATATCGGGAACGCACCACTAATGGAGAAGAAGACGAATTGAGTCGGAATGACTTCCTATCCTCCTCAAAACCCCATCAGCCACTTTGACTACCTTCTCCGTACCACCACAACACAACTCACCCGGCTCTCAAACGTCTGCAACGCCTTGTTCAGATACTTGATCTGACACAGACTAGTCCCTACCAAAACCGCTACCAAACACCAACTCAGCGGGAGCGTAAACGCCTGAAAATAGATGCTGGATAAGAGGGAAGAAAGAGCTTTTGTCGATAAGACCGTGAACCCGCCGAATAACGAGCAACTGTAAGCGAAGTGGAGCGAAGTGGAGCGAAAGATGAATCGATTTTTCTTTATCAGCTTTGTATGGGAGATAAGACGAGAAAGTGAAGTAGACGCGACTCACATGAGGACATCGATAACCACCCATTTCTCGCCATACCGGCTCGAGTGCGTCAGAACCAGCAGGGCAGTGAGGATGACGACCACGGTAATACAATATCCGATGAACGGCGGTTGCCTGAGCGCCAAGACCAACGCATCCGGATCAAACTGTAAGAGAGCACAACATATCAGCCACAATTCGATGGCACAGTAAGTATGATTCTACAAGATCGCAGTTGCCTTGGTCTGATGACGTACTTCGCGATCCTGTTGTTTGGCCGACAAGACCACCGTCACCGCCCCCAGAGACGCTAGGACGACCCCAGCCGCATCTCGGTAGCCGAACCGTTCTCCGAGCATCAAGGGGGAGATGAAGCAATTCGCTATCAAGGCTGCGTAGCAGAAGGACACGGAAACAAGACGAGATTCAGTAGTGTCGATCACTTTATGCTTGTGGTTGAGGATCAGGGTTGATAGCATTGCGAGACGGGTGAGAAGGGAGACATACCGACGGTTCCCAACGGAGCTACCACCGAAGCAGCAGCCAGACCATACGAGATGAAATTCGCAGACTCTCCTACGGCCATCAAGAGTAATCCTAACCACCACAACTTCGACCTTAGGTACGTCTGCTTTTCTCCTCCCTTTTCCTCGTTCCCATCTTCCGAATTGTCTTCTTCCCGGATGGTCTGGGCAACAGAATGGCTGTATGAATGACGGGAAGACACCCTCGAAGCGGGTACGAGTACGGTATGTTTCTTTTGCAACTGCAAGTCGGTAAATCTTCCCGTATCCGTAGAAGGGGTTGGCGGCTCAACCTCTACCCGAGGGATGAACTGAGCTTGTTGTACATCGCTATCGTCCAAAGAGATGGCGCCTGTGGGCGGTGGGCGTCCGTTCGCAGGAGAGGTCGATCGTGGGGATTCGGCTTCCCGTTCGAGCCTGGCATGAGCATATTTTTGTACGTTCCTGTGTGAAGAGGACGGTAAAGCACGACGTGAGTTGAGATCAGGACCACCAAGGTTGAAGCAGAAATCTCTCACAGGGCCAGCGAGATGACGATGTTCCCGGCGACCGAGACGATGACGCCGACGTATGTCGGTGGGATATCGATCATATCCTCCTGATTGCTATGGATATGCAGAGCTAGACCTCGACCATGGTGATCATGGAGAATGAATGGAACAGGGTCACTACTGTGTACTGCGGATGATGATCATGGACTGCATGATCTATCTACGTAGGCTGGCTGCTGCTCATCATCATCAAAGCTCTGAATAGAAAGTTCGGCCATCGAGAGAGCGAGATCGTAGGAAAACATCCGGGACTTACGCAAAATACCGCCGGAGTTAGCGATCAATAGGGTCCACATCAAACCTGTCTACTGTCAGACGTTCGGGGAACACAGTAGGTCATTCTCTCAGATTAGGTTCATTTGAATTGGATACAGCATGTTCGATCAGGACGGTAAAGCAGCCATCGCTCAATGCTTGCTCTCTCGCATGCTCTTGACCTTGGCCGAAGCGCCCTTGAAAGACGCTGTACGACATCCAACAAAACATTGATCACATCAGTCAACCAGGTCAAAAGTCCCCAACGAAACCGAAACGATACTCACTGTTTTTTCGGGTGGAAGTCAATGCGGACCAGTTGGCCAGCTTGTCATGATACTTCATAAACTTTTCCAAGTCGGGCGCTTTCAAAGCTTCTTTGAGATCGGGTCCGGCAGACTTGTTGGGCCAGTCGGCGATGTTCTTCTCGATCCAGATGTTCATTTGCGTCTGATACCACATTTACCACATACAGCCACCATCGTCAACTTCAGTAATTTATGCACGAAAGAGATCATCGGCGTCGAGACACTCACGATCATAGGTCCCATCAAGATATCAGCCGTATTAAACCCCTTCGACTCCACATACTCGTCCGGCAAGTACTTTTCCGTAAAGTCCTTCAGGGCCTGGATAAAGTCCCCAAACTCCTTCTGATCCTTCCCCCCGTCCGAACGGACGTAAGCGAACCAAGCTCCGAAGACGGGTTCATATTGAGAGGCGATAAAGGCCGCTCGGGCTTTTTGCAGAGGGTCTTTGTCTACAGCGAACGCAGGTATATCGGACCGAGATCAGTAAGGCTTTCGAGATAATTTATGCGCACTATGGAGAGATATCAAGCTCACCAGCGATCTCTGGGAAGACGTCCGCCAGGAAATTGACCATCAACCCTGACTCAGGCAAGATAAAAGCCTCTTTGGACGGTTTCGAAGGATCGGCATCTTTAGGTGCGTCGTACCAGATAGCAGGGACCTACAAGACGTTCCACATACCATAGCATCAGACAGCCATCAGCCAAATCCGTAAGGGACACCTGTGTAAGACGAGTGGAGGCATACCTTCGAAGCGGGGTTGACCTTAGGGTACCACTCGGGCTTGTTCTGAAGGTCGATCTCGACAGTCTCATACTCTGCACCGGAAGCGGCGAGTGCGATCCTGGCTCGATGAGCGAAGGGGCAGCTAGAGGGTAGACACGAACGTAAAAGTGATCAGTACCGATCGGTTCAGCCACAAGAAGTCTGCGTGCGAAAGCTCACACATCGGCGCTGTAGAGGATAATTCGGGGAGCCATCTTGGAAAGTGTTTGAGCTTGTCTTCTGATTGACGTGCTTGGCATATGATGGGTAAGGCAGGGGGTGTTCAAGATCAGGTCGTAGCATGATATATGGGATGGAACGGGATGACAGATCCATAACAGGTCTGATTATAAACCGATCGGGATTCGCGTTTGCGTCATCCCCATCCACAAAGCACGAGGCCGATGACCGAGGTGGATCGAGATCGGGTTTCACGTGACAACCGGTACCCGACTTCATCGTGATATAAATGTATCTTACGCAACCCCTTAATCTTCATCCTCTTGTTTGCACCCCTAAGAAGAGCTCGTCAACGGTCACCCTGCTCCTCCCTTCCGTCCCTCCCAGTCCTTGCCCTTGTTCTGCTTCCACTCCCAGTCCAGCAACTTGCTCTCGTCCCAAGTCTTGTCTTTGCCTTTCCGATACTGGTCTTCCGTTTGTAACAGACTGTCCGAGCCAAACGTCGACCGGTCTTGTAGTTCTGCAGGCAGGTATTCCTATAGCCATGTCATTCCAGCGTCAGTAGCACAGACTTGCCAGGACATATACGTCGGGGCTCACGTTGTGCACGGGGTGTTTGTATTCCGGATTATAGCTGTAGTGCTTCCCGTATCCCAGCGTTTTCATCAAATTCGTAGGCGCGTTCCGGATCTGTAACGGTACGTCCGGTAATGGTGTCTCATGGGCGAGCGCTACGGCCTGGGCAAAAGACCGGGACCGATTTTTCTCGATCAGATGGAGTGACTGGGACAGCAGAATTAGTAGTGGCTTACTTTGCCACATGCCTGATATGCCCTGGTCGACTTTTCCGCCTCGCTCAGATACGCTACGCAGTGCTGTTGAGACAAGCTCTCATCAGCGGTCTTTGCAATACTCAATTTATACAGAACTGACCGCCAGATTTAGCCTGCATTCCGGCATACCGATCACCTGGCAAGCTTGATGAGTCGCCATTGCCTGATAGCCATCAACCCGAAACTTAAGAAGTCACCCCGAGCAGTCTCCTTTCGAGCCGAAAGACTTACGAGAGGCAATCCATGAGGATCTGCTAAGCCGACGTCCTCGCTCGCGACTACAACAAGCCGTCGAGCGATATACAACGGATCCTCTCCTCCCTCCAACATGCTGAACAAAAAACGATTAAAGATGATTCATGCTTCGTAAATCTTCGGTTTTGCATGCTTACCGAGCTAGCCAATATAACGCAGCGGAACCGTCCGACCCTCTTATCGACTTGTGTAAAGCGCTGATCATGTCATAACGTTCTTCTCCCGTCCGATCGTAGCCTTTCCGTAGACCCCGCTTGATCGCGCTCATCAATTCTTCGTCCTCAGCGTCAGTAACGGCTTTTGCTTTCGCTTCGGCTTTAGCTTTGGCTTCGCTCTCTCCATCGGCTTCGCCTTGAAGGTCTTCCTCGTCTACACTCGACCGTCCTCGATCTTTTTGCAGGCACACGCTCATTGCCAACTCTAGGCTATTCAGAGCTTGCCGAGCATCGCCATCAGATACCTCAGCGAGAAATGCCAGTAGTGTAGGTGGGATCCGAGGGAGAGGTGGAGGATATGAGTCGAGTGCGTTCTTCAGGATCTGCTCGAGTTCGGGTGGAGATAGCTTGTTGAGCGTAAACACTCTGAGGTATATACACAGTCGATGAGCCATGACGTCCAGGCACAAGCAGAGTCGGGACCTACCGACATCGACTCAACAGAGCTCCATTGACTGTGAAGCCACAGGTACTAGCCATTATAAGCAGTAAGAACGAGAATACATCGGCGATCGGAACAGAGCTCACCTTTGAAGCTTGGATTCTCTGTAGTAGCCCCGATCAGCGTTACCGAACCCGTTTCCACAAACGGCAAGAACAAATCCTGTTGGGGTTTCGTAAATCGATGTATTTCATCTATTTCATGGGCATCAGGACGATACAACTCAACGTCACCACTAACACTTCGCACGAGATGCGCGAAAAGCAAGACCACACACTTACCGATAAACAAGACCGTCCGCCTCCCGAGCAACTTCAACTGATTCCTAGCCTGTTCAAAGACTTTTCTTACATCCGCCGATCCTGAGCTCGTAGCGGAAAGTTCTCGGAAGTCTGCATCGGCCTTGTTCGCGATCAGCCTGGCCATCGTCGTCTTTCCACAACCTACAGAACAGCAAGTCCAACGTAAGACAACGAACTTTTTGTGCCAATGACAAATTCTTGAAGACCACATACCTGGAGGGCCCCAGAGGATGATACTACCGAACGATGCGGTTGAAGAAGATGCTGAGGAGTTTCCTGGATCTAGCATCGAACGCAACAGGCTGCCTTGCCCGACGAGGTCTGTCTGCCCGACGAATGTCGACAGAGAGGTAGGTCTAAGACGTTCTGCTAGACTGGAACATTTTGCTTATTCAGTACTGTAAGGGTATGAAAGCCATACTGTCGAAGGCCCACTTACGGCTGAGCTTGTTTGACAGGATCCGCTTTAGTCTTTTTCATTGTCCGACCGTCATCCTGCTCATCTGCTCTTCGTTTCCCCTGTACACTGGACATAGAGAAAGAGCTTGTTTTCTCGGCCCTTTGTCTGCTCTCCTGTTTGACCGAAGGCGAACCGGCAGGAAGTTTGGCCTTAGAAGAACCTGCCTCAGGCTTAGAGAACATGTTGAACACAGGAGCCAGAGTGTCATCCTTTACGCTCTGTTTCCGCTGGGATCGCTCTGAAACCTTGACCGGGCTGTCAAGAATCTCGATCACATCGTCATCGTCTTCCTCTTCATCTCGCAAGGCAGTCTTGTCTAAAGAGGCATTGGCGTCCATCCTATTAGGTGATGCGGTCGATATAGTTCGGTTTGATGCCCACTACGCCGTTCGTGGCGGCTATAAAGCCATCGACAAGCACACACTCTGCTAGCTGCTGTCTTGATTGGATACTCGGCTTGTTCTAGCTCTGTCTCTCTGCTTCAAAAGCTTGCTAGGTATTGATTCTGTGTATCGACCTGATCAACCCCGCTGTGTGAGGTGATGTCGAATTCAGCAAGGACGTCGGTCTGCTACCGAAGTAGGTGCCCCGGAAGCAAATTGTCTCCGCCCGACCAACTCGCCGAAGGGGCGCTGCTTTGAGCATAGCAGCAGGGATTTAACGAATAAAGTCGAACGGCGGGAACACGAGGGGGGGGGTCGACTAGCGCGTGATTTAGCGAATTTGTTATGGTGAAGAATCACATAACATCACTGAAAGACGCGCATAGCACGAACATAACACGCACTCAATTTAATACGATTTAACGTCTTAAATCGACTGAATTGCGCCCGTAGGGCGCCGCTCCGGAGGTTTTTATAGCTATATGTCCGTAAATCTGAGCCAGTTTCAAGCCACAGCGATGTGTTTCAAGGTTGGAAGTTAGGACGTTACTGAGTGCATGTTCGCCTTTATTCACTGAAGACCTTCTCGCACCAACGCTGCAGTATTTGCTATGTGTGGTCTTGTATTCATGAATCTAGAGGTATTATAAACATAAGAACACTTCTCGTATATAACAAACAAGACTGCAGAAACCCCAAGCTTCACCAAAGACTCTATTCCCCCTTGTACAACTTCGCTAACGAACCATCTGGGTTCCTGATCTCGCCGTGGTCCTCGTGCGACTCCGTATACTCTTGCATCAGCAAGGGAGTAGCAGCAATAGCACCTGTATCGGCCTGATCGCGGAGCCTTTCGATCCTGTCGCAGATGGCCTCGAGCTGGCCTTTACTGAAGGAAATGACATCTTCAGGATCCTCGGGGTCGAGTCGTTTGAGCTCTTCTTGCAGCTCCCCGAGCAGTGACGCAGCGCCGTGCGATACCTGCTGCCATCGTCCCTTCCCACCAGGCCTGACAGTCTCGACGTCGTTCCTCTCGAGCTTGTTCGAGCAGTCGTCGCCAGATATCGTACAGTGACAACATTTCCCGTACGGTGAACCTTGACGACACTGCAGTATAATCCCGGGGTTCCCGTCCCGGCCGTTACGCTTGGGGTTGAACATGAGGTCTTTACACCTCTCGCAGCGTTCATCCCCCACGTTCACCTTCCCGTAGTTGGCGAACTGCATCCTCATCGCAGCCTATACAACCCAAGCAAAGTTTGGAGTTTGAGTGTGTTATGGACCGACCCAATCCCGCACGTCAACGCAGACGCAGACGCAGACACCAACGCAAACGTAAACGCAACCATCAACACCTACGCCAACACAAACGTTAACACCAACGTTAACGGCAACATCAACACCAACGTGAACGTTATCACTAACACCAACATCAACGTGAACGTTTGCCACCTTTTCCTAGTGTTTGCCCCCTTTCCAAAATAGTATATATAGCAGGCCATTCCAGCCTGATTGTACATTCCCTATCATGTTCTCTCTTCTTTCGCAAGAAGAATTATCATATGTTACATCCCTAAACCTTAGCCACCAGACAACCTCTCACTACTCAACACTGGAGCTCTCGTCAAGCCCTTCACGGTCAGCAAGCAGATTGCGCACCAAGCACTTCCCGTTGAGTATCTCTGCCTTAGCACAATTACCACTGACGCTTTCCACCTAGGCTAGCCTTTCGCTACCACTAGGCCCGACCGTAACAGCATAATTCTTCTTCCAAGTTTGTGCTTAGGCAACGCACTCTTGGATTTCGCCTATCCACCCTCCAACCACACACACACCTTTTTACCCTTTCAACATGTCTACTACCGGAGGCAGTCGAGCTCCTACCCAAGGGGACAGGATTACCCAACTGGAGGAAACTATCGCACGCATGGAGGAACAACTGCGTAGGACTGCATCGCTTTCCCCTGCTCCTGCTGCTCCTGCAGTCCGCCCCTCGGAACCCAAAATCGCTGCTCCGGAATACTTCCATGGACATCGCACCAAGTTGACTACCTTCCTCACCCAAGTCAGCATGGTGATCGAACTTCAACCCAATCGGTACCCTACGGAGAGGTCCAAGGTTCTCTACACCGCCTCCTTCCTTAGGGACACCGCTTTCCTTTGGTTCCAACCCAACCTGGAGAAGGACCCGGAACCAGAGATGATGACTAGCTACAAGAGATTCTGCAGGGCTCTCCGCGACACCTTCGGAGACCCTGATGAAGAGGCAACTGCCGAAAGAAACATCTTCTCCCTGCGACAAAAGGGAGCGGCATCCTCCTACATCTCAGAGTTCCAACGCAACTCTACTCTCACTCAATGGGACGACCACGCCTTGGCCGCCCAATTCTACCGAGGACTCAAAGAAGGAATCAAGGATGAGATCGCTAGGGTTGGACGCCCTCATACCCTCAAGGAAATGATGGACACCGCTCTCAGGATTGACAACAGGCTTTACGAGCGTTCTCTGGAACGCGGGTCTGGAACTCAGTTCACTAGCACCACCACCACTTCAACTCGCTCTTTTGGAGGCAACAAGTCATACTCCAACAACAGCAGCTTTACCCCTCGCTCATCCCCTTCTACCGGTACTACCACCTCTACCACCTATACTCGTCAATCATTCCCGTCCAGGAATGACCGACCTACTTCATCCTTGCCCATCAACAACAAAGGAAAACTTACCTCCGAGGAATATCAAAGGAGGAAGGATCAAGACCTTTGCCTCTACTGTGGCTCCAAGGATCACACCGTTGCCAAGTGCCCACTTGCAAAGCCCAACTCTTCGGCTGGGAACAGTGCCATCCTCACCCGTGACAACCAGTCAAAAGGTCAGGCACTCCGCACCCAGAACGCCAGCGCCTAGCGCGGAGTCGCCAAAACGCTAGGCAGGACTTGCAAGATTCTCAGGACTCTCTGGACTCAACGGATTCTACTTCTACTACGACTTCCACTTCGGATTCTACTTCGGAAGCAAGGAATCACATCAGTCTTCCCGTCACTCTACCCAACTCTACCAAACCCAGCATGGAATATGCTGCTCTACTGGACTCTGGCGCTTCAAAATGCTTCATGGATTACCGCTTCGCCAAATACGTTCAACTCCCGCTTACCAAGAAGCGACACCCTTCAAAACTCCACATGATCGATGGCTCCATATCCTCTTATGGCAGCATCAAGTACACCGTCACCACCTCCATCAAGGTACCCAACTTCAAACTGGCAACTACAACCTTTGAAGTCACCCATCTAGGGGTCTTCCCGATTATACTCGGATACCCATGGCTTTACAAACACAAGCCTTTCGTCAACTGGGAAGCTGGGGAAGTCAACCCCCCACTTGAAAAAGCCAGTACTCTTATCTCGGCATCTGAGGATGCGACATCTGCGGATGTCACCTTTGGGAATACTACCAATGTGTCTGCAGCTGCGGCTGATCCCATTCCGGTGATGGATCAAGACATCATACCTGCCAGGTATCACGCCTACCTGGATGTCTTTGATAAGGCTAATGCGGATACTCTACCACCGCATAGACCATTCGACCATCACATACCTCTTGAAGAAGGCAAACAACCTCCCTGGGGACCAGTCTACTCCTTATCCGAGAAAGAACTAGGATCACTACGGGAATACTTGGACGAAAACCTAGCCAAGGGTTTCATCAGACCTTCTGAATCTCCGGCAGGAGCACCCATCCTCTTTGTCAAGAAAAAGGATGGATCCCTCCGTCTCTGTGTGGATTACCGAGGTATCAACAAGATAACCATCAAGAATCGGTACCCACTTCCGCTCATCTCAGAACATCTGGATCGCTTGCGCCAGGCCAAATACTTCACCAAGATCGATCTCAGAGGAGCCTACAACCTCCTACGGATTGCTGAAGGTGAAGAATGGAAGACGGCATTCAGGACGCGCTACGGCCTCTTTGAATACCTCGTCATGCCATTTGGTCTCACCAACGCACCAGCATCATTCCAACACCTGATGAACCACAACTTCAGGACGATGCTGGATCACTATGTCATCTGTTATCTGGATGACATCCTCATCTACTCGGACACACTGGAGGAACATTATCAGCACGTTACCTCTGTCCTTGAGACACTTCGCAAAGCAGGACTCTTCGCCAAAGCCGAAAAATGCGAGTTCCACCAACACAGCGTGGAATTCCTTGGCTTCATTGTCGGAAGAGATGGGATTACTATGGACGTCAAGAAAGTGCAAAGCATCTTGGACTGGCCTACGCCAACCAACCTGTTTGAAGTCAGATCCTTCCTTGGATTCTGCAACTTCTACAGGCGCTTCATTGCTTCTTATTCCTCCATCGCCCATCCTCTCACTCAGCTCACCAGGAAGGACACTCCATTCCTCTGGACCGACAAACACTCTCAGGCCTTCGACAAACTCAAGAACGCCTTCACCTCAGCTACTCTCTTAGCTCACTTCAATCCGGAAAAGCCTCTAGTCCTAGAGACAGATGCTTCGGACTTTGCCCTTGCTGGAATCCTATCTCAAGAGTCGGAAGAGGGAATTCTAAAACCCATCGCATTCTTCTCAAGAAAGATGGTTCCCGCCGAACTCAACTACGAGATCCACGACAAGGAGATGCTTGCTATCATCTCGTGCTTCAAGGAATGGCGTCAATACCTTGAAGGCACCTTTACGGAAGTCCTTACAGACCACAAGAGTCTAGAATACTTCACCACCACCAAACAACTGAACAGACGACAAGGTCGCTGGTCTCAGTTCCTCCAGGACTTCCACTTCATCATCAAGTATCGACCTGGTTCACAAGGAACCAAGCCGGATGCTCTCACCAGAAGACCGGATCTTCATCCAATGACCAAAGGATCATCCCTCTCACCGGAAGCCAACCCTGACAATCATCAGGCTCTGCTCAAACCCGGACAATTCCTATTCGCCACCGGATCTTCTGAACTCCTCCCTCAGTTTCAGCAAGACATCATCACCGCCTTGCAAGAGGAGACTTTCGCTCAGGACATCATCACTTCACTGGACAAACACCCAGGATATACCTTACAAGATCAACTACTACTCTACAAAGGACGTACCTACCTTCCCGACAAGAAAGACTTACGGCTACGCATCACTCGAGAGCACCATGACTCCCTTCAGCACGGACACCCTGGTCAGCGTAAAACCTTGCAACTGGTTCAGCGCAACTACTGGTGGCCCAAGATGAAGGAGTTCATCCACTCTTATGTGGACTCTTGTGATGCTTGCCAACGGAACAAGTCAAAACGTCACAAACCGTATGGGGAACTCAAATCGCTACCGATTCCGCCATACCCCTGGTCCAACATTTCGATGGACCTTATCGAGGACCTACCTCGTTCCAACGGCTACAACTCTATCTTGGTCATTGTTGATCGACTCACCAAGATGAGCCTCTTCATACCAACGTCCACCAGCATCGATGCACCCGAGCTGGCTCAACTCTACCTTCAGCATGTCTTCAGCAAACACGGGTTACCGGAACGGATCATCAGCGATCGTGGTTCGGAATTCACCTCACGCTTCTGGCGTGCTATCGGGTCTTTGCTGGACATCAAGTTGGACTTCTCCACCGCCTACCATCCTGAAACTGATGGTCAGACGGAACGTACCAACCAGACTCTGGAACAATACCTCCGGATGTACGCCAACTACCAACAAGACGATTGGTACAGACTCCTGCCTTTAGCAGAGTTTGCCTACAACAACGCCAACAGCGAAACCACTGGCGTCTCCCCCTTCTTTGCCAACAAAGGCTATCACCCTCGCTGCAACTTCACCAAACCTATTGGACCCAACATCTCAGAAGGCGCAGAGCGCTTCACTGCAGACCTATCGGAATTACACGATCAACTCAAACTCTGGATCAAGAGATCTCAAGAGCACTCCGAAAAACAATGGAGCCGTAAACACCTCCCTTCACCAATTTACAAACCTGGCGATAAGGTCTGGCTTGATGCAGAAGACATCAAGACCACTCGTCCAAGCAAGAAGCTAAGCAATCGTTTCCTTGGCCCATACAAAATCACCAAGAAAATATCCTCACACGCCTATCGCCTGGAACTCCCCTCCCAATCGAAAATACATGACGTGTTCCACATCAGCAAACTGGAACCCTTCAAGGAGAACACCATTGAAAATCGCAAACAACCTCCGCCTGAACCTGAGATCATTGA